TGGAAACGTTTCACCTCGTTATGGCTATGAGTAAAGATCTTCTTTCCATTTTTAGTTTCTTGCTGGCCTAATTTAACTCGCAGGTAGCAATTCACACTTGGGCGGATGACAAATGTTAGCTCGTGTAAAAAGGGGTTGGTCAAGGAGCTACCACTTTACTCTCTTGTTGATTCTCGTTTGCGTTTTGTACTTCTTGAAAGGTATTTATTATTTCATATAGAGGTTAAGTTTTCCAGGTAGAACAGTTAGTTATGTGCTACTTGCGTAGCAATGACAACTTGGCTTTGGGTATTCTACAAAAAAAAAATGTATGTGAAATGTGAAAAACATATGCTTTTGTTTTTCTCAAGGCCATACCGCTCATGTGCGGTGTTCCCTAACCCACCTACAGAAAATCCCACCGACAAATCCTCTGGATAATTTAACCGTTTATGCCAAGACACTATCTAAAGTCTGTAAATCACAAAGCTAAACAACTAGAACTTGAGCTTGAACCGAAAAGTTTATGCACAAGATGTCCGTTCAAAGATTTTGTAAGAGGGTCATGTATTCGGTTACCTTTGGAATCTTTCTTTCGTCTTCCCTTCTTCCAAGGCATGGTGCCTAAAAGGAAAGATAAGCGATTTGAACCTAAAAATTTAAGAACCATTCGATCTTAAGTACAGATCACGGTTTCCAAAGAAAAATCAATCTATTTAGAAAGTATATCGGATTTAAGTTGTGGGTTATTGTAAAAAAAAATTTACAATAATAACGTGAATTGGAAATTTTAAAAATAAGATGATATCAGTGGTCTGAATAATTTTACGTAGAAGTAAATCAGTGAATCAGTGAAAGTGAGGACTCGAACATATGGAAATAGATTAGAGAACTTAATTAACTGCACTTTTACAAATTCTTTACATGTTTCGTTGGATTAAAATAAGAATCTGTCTGTTCGTTCTTGAATAATCCACGAGGATTTTCCTTGTTTAGTACTTCGAATAAATTTATCCATAATAACTCAAGCACAGTATAGTCCAAATTCCCGTGAAATAGCACAGGTGCGCTTGTCGATCTGTTCTCACAGATCTGCCATAGAATTTGAAGAAACGAAGATTACCGCACTTGAAACGATTAGGTAGAAAGTTCAAAGTCCCTCAGATATCTTGAGATTTTGATGCACCGACGGTTTTGGCTACTAATGCTCTGTGATGAAACAACGTTTTCAGTTTCAGCTTTTTTATTAATTTTGATTTGCTTCTTGGCTAGGCAGCACGGGCCCCGTTGTGATGCAGCTTCGATAGTTGTATAAATTTCTCTGAAATGCGACCCACGATATTTTAGGAGCCCGTATGATAGAAACGTTTTGGCTAGCAGATGCCAACAAATTCGATCGCACTATAAAATTTAGACAGCCAGGTGGCATGGCGTAATAACAAACATTCTGTGTTTTCAAAGTTGGAAAACATGTGCTGAGAAAGGCCCTCAACAAAAGCGTGATGACAATGAGGTATAACATTACAAATATATTTCTGAACACATTGGGAAATACAAAGGAAAACCCTCAGTTTGAAATCAAAAATCCAAAAGCCCCATAAAGTTCTGACTAATGACACATACATTATCATTTCAATTACGTCACAAAACCTAAGTAAAGTCTTGGAACGTAATAGAACAATATAGAGAAAACAGTTTGTATATAACAAATAATGGAATATTTAGATTTAGGATGACTTGCAATTGCCGATCAGTTTTATGAGCTAACTCACTTAACTTGGCCGTAGATGAACGGGGGAGTTTTGACGACACTAGCAAAATTTCGATCTGGAATACCTCCGACTGATCGAGAATTTTTTTCATTCATTTCTATGATCTATGATCGGGAGCTTTTCTCCTTTCTGAATTTCACAGACCTAGTAGTTCACCGGTATGCAAATTTGAAAGTTCGTAGCTGAACGGTGAAACCTGAAGAATAAAGTGGTTAATATTCCCTTACCTCGCTTAATTACGCATCCCAAATCTAAAATTTAGACTCCGGGGACGACTGCTTTCATCTTCATTTGTTTAGATTCCCGTATACGGAGAAATAACATGGGTTTCCAGTGCTGAGTAGCCTCGAAAATGTTGCTTTCTCATATAATAACTTTGCTAATCCAATTCTGGGAAAATCGTCTGATTTTAATGAGATTCCTATCTTTCTAAGAAAAGCTATACGAAAAACTGGAATGGACAACGGATCGTCCTAGGAACGCGTCCGTTTCATTTTTAAGAGAACAAAAAAAGGGTTATTGGGTCAGGGGTTAACGAAATGGAAGAATTTAGCAAATTTTCATTATTTAATCATTCCCGGCGGAAGTGAGATGTCAAACTGATATAATTGCTTTGAAAAAGTTGATTTTATATTTGCAGCAAGGGCCTCTACGAGAGAGTTAAAAAAGGCTGGATGACCGGAGAATGCTGTATCCTGTTCACGGATCCTCACGGATCCTAACCGCCGCCTGGTTAGCTCAATTGGGAGAGCGCCGGACTGCTGTGCGGGAGGTCGAGAGTTCAATACCGGCCGGACCAACACTCAGGGTCTTAAAAATTAACTGAGAAGAATATGCTTCCTTTCTCAACATCAAGAAATGGTTAGATATTCTAGTCTTCTCGGATAGGGACGAATAAATGGACAGGGTTAGGGGTAGGAGACGTTAATTTCCCACGCACGAGACTGTGTGATGGATGTCCTCCCCTGGGGTGGGATGGGGGGGAAAAGGTGAGGTCGTTACATGGACTAAAGCGGCTGCCAGAGGCGCCTGATTATGCTGACGTCCGATCTCAACCTTAGTAAAAATTGTAAGCGCATTGAGATTCTTAAATGCGTATTAAAGAACGTTCATTATTATTATTATCCTTGTTATGGACCGAAGCCGACGACAACGCGACGGACTGGTCCACGAAAATATTTATGTGTGCGCCAATTACGTTAACTTGAAGATATTTTGGTCTCACAAAACGGTTCAGCAAAGGTTGTGAGGTGGTTTAAGCATGGAAAAACAGGTAATCTGTATGACTCTATCACTTCCTTATTTAGAAATTTGTTCACTCTTATTGCATTCCTGTAGCCTTGGATCTTTTTCTGTTTCATGAAGTTTGTTTTCTCTTCCATTCCGTGAATCCAATGACAAAATTTCGCCCGGTGTGATAAATCCGGTAGAGCCTTACCCAGCCAGCTTTGTGAACATTGACCAATCACATCACGTTCTACATTGGTAACCGTTCCTAACACCACTTCCTCCTTTTCCGCGAAACGACAAACGACATGGCCGACATACTTTGCTGTCGAGTTATTTTGCTTTCGAAATCGTAAAACTTTGACGATCTTTCTAAAGAGCGTTGATTTCCATCAGTAGATATAATTTGTACGACGGAAGGAATATCTAGTGTCATGGATAGAGATTATTTTGTGGGTAGAAGAGGTCGTGGTGATAGAGGAGGCAGAGGCAGAGGAAGACCACCAAATACAGGAGAAGGTAGGATTAGTTATTGATCGCTTTAAAGAGGAGAAGTTCTTCTCATACTAGCCCAGTTTACATGGTTCTATCTTGTTCAGTAGATCTGAGCTTTTGATTACGTGACGTTAACTCTCTCTTAGGTTTCAGTGGGCAATTGTTAAGGAATTTACTCCGCGACTCCTAAGTTATTCTCTTGATTCCTAATTAAGACGTGTTTAACCGATACCAACATGAATGAATCTTACAAAAACTACATTCATCGTCGATTCAAATGGTATTGCGACAATTCTTAATTGACGTAACCATCCAGAAGAACAAAATAATGTAGATCGTGCAGAGCTCACGGTACTTTCCAATCGGTGTGATTTAATATGAGGATATTATTCAAAAGAAATTTTTAGGAATTCATGCATCAGTCGATGTCAGCCCTGAATTAGGAAGAACCAAATTCAAGCAGAAATTTCAAATTTCTTTCCGCTGGGGTTATTCTGATTAGGAGACTAAAAACAGGTAATGGATGGGTCGTGTCTGTGTCAGATATTATGATATTTTCAAATACGAATGTATATATAAACACAATTCTGTTTGGTGAATCTTACATTGAAAGAAATACACTGATTACACACCGGTTAAAAAACGCTATTTTTGGTGCATCTTCCTATCCACAGTTAAAAAAAAAATTAAAAGTTGAGGAGTCGTTCTCAGAAAAATATTTTGGAATTTCTACTTCGATGTTGAACTAACGAACGCGGACTAAAATAAGATACGCAAATTTTAGCCTCAGTGATTTCAATTCTCCACGGGAAATCTGCAATTGCAAACAGTCTTTCATAAGTTGCTTAAAACCTCAAGACGAATGCAGCTCTGCAGTACATCTCAACGTAAAAGAATTACACATTGCGTGACACTTGCGTTGTTAAATTTTACTTCCAACGAAATCAAGAGCTGTGATCTCACTTTACTTCAAAAGTAAGAAACACTTTTACGGGCATAAATTACAACATTACGTTGGTTTACCTTGATTGATCCCATCAAGTCTTCCTAACTTTGATTAGTATATCAAGAGCTGGAGATTTAAATTTTCTTTGAATGATCAAAAGGCAGAGTTTCTTAAATTCTTAATCATCCAAGAGATATACAGTTCACAAACATAGCATTACAGTAATCGTAATTTCTTTGCTGCATGAAACCATTAACCCTTTAACTCCCAGAAGTGATTAACATAAAACTTCTCCTTACAATAGCAAACAGGTAATGAGAATGTTCAAACTTATCAGGTAGAAGCTGCTATCTTGATCTAGCACCAAAAACTCATAATTAATTTGCAAGGAAATGTGTAGCAGCCACAGGGGAGAATTAATAATCAGATCTTGGGAGTTGAAGGGTTAAGTAACTGGAACAGAAAAGAGAAAGCTGGTTTATTCTGAAATTTGCTATAATTATCACCTCTAAGGTAGGCAAAGTGGTCCGCATCTTGGTTATCGAAAACTGCAAGAGATAAGATCTACGGAACCGTCAGAGATGGCAATGACCCTCCTTAAGTATCGCGACAGCTTCGAAGTGTTGGTAAACGCTGAGGATATCAAAGAAGATTGGATGACACTGCTTGTGGAAATCCTGGGCAAAATGTGTGATACTATGATGATCCACAATCTGATTGAAGTGATGTCTATCTGCAAGGGATCCGCCCTTATGGCCACTCATTTGCCAAAATACATCTTAAATCTCCCTTTTATTAAAGAGGATATGAATTCAGATCAGTTTTCTTTACTGGTGGAATGCTTGATAACTTTTTTCAAGGAATGGCTTGCCAAACTCCCCCACTCCTTCTGTCACGACGTTCCTATTGATAAACTCAGTGGAGTTATAAACGACATTGACGTAAAAGGGTTTGAAAAATACAAGAAAGAGGTGGAAAAGCTTCTTCTTGAAAGACGCGAGCAAATTAGGAAGGAGAGAGAAGTAGAACAAGCATCGAAATGGCCGAAAGTGAAACCTCAAGAAGTGGAGCCACCCCCACCGAATGACTTTAGAGAAATATCCATTTATCCAAGCGAGACTGAAATTAATTCAGAGGAGAGGGCCTTTCTGCGACGAAACAAAACTGCTGAAACGGAGAAGTACAAAGACCTAAATGATTACTTGGATGTTCAATTCCGCCTTCTTCGCGAAGATTTTGTCGCTCCACTGCGCGAGGGAATCAGAGAAATCAAGAAGAAGGTCCCCAAGAAAAGTCGATCGCAAGACTTGAACATTTATGAAAATGTCGAAATTATGAACACCGGTTATACAATGGCTGGAGTCGTTCATAGCATTCGTCTGGTGATGAAAAACCTCGGAAAGATACCGTGGGAGCACTCGAAACGCTTACTGTATGGATCATTCCTTTGCTTGTCAAAGGATAATTTTAAAACCATGCTGTTTGCGACGGTAGCAAATCGGAAACCACAAGATCTTCGGTCAGGAAAGCTGGACATTCGATTTGTCGACGACCTCGAGGGTACCCATAGAATGCTTGATAAGTATGTAATGGTGGAATCACCAGCTTATTTTGAGGCTTATCGACCCATTCTGCACCAGCTAAAGAATATTACCAAAGATACGTTTCCATTCCAAGAGTACTTGGTCCATTGTAACCCCGATGTCAAGCCTCCTCAGTACCTCAAATCCAAAAACCAAGTATGGTACGACCTGAGAGAGACTCTCAGTGTACTCGAGGGCGCGGACAAAGTGGCCATTTGCGACTTCGAGACATGGCCTGACGTCGATGACGTGAAACTCAACAATTCCCAATTTCAAGCGTTAAAAGGTGCCTTGACGAAAGAGTTCTCGGTCATTCAAGGTCCTCCAGGCACAGGTAAAGTTAACTCAAACTCCACCACTCGGTAAATAGTAATGTAACTTACCCAATATTTTAACTGTTATTTTTCGAAAAGGAGTGTAAATAGTGTCTTAATTTTGAAATGTGCCTTTTAATTTTGCAAAAACTGGTCTATATTGAGGCCTATTGAGCTTTATTGGCCAAAGAGTAGAAGTAACTTGATCACTAAAATACCTTTCCATAACTTATAAAGAGAGGAAATTTGTAGACTAACCTCACGCGTGTTTCCCAATACATGCTGCAGTTTTTAAAGCCACAAGAACCTGTTAAAAACTAATGGCGATCCCATTGGTAATCTATCACTTTTTGAATTACTTCAAAATACTTCAAACCCCATCATCTGGCATCGGAGAGCTAGCACTGTGACAATGCCCCTCCGAGCAGCATGACATAATGACGTCAGCAAACGCTCACCAGCCAGTCACCCCCTTATCAAGGGCGCTGATCAATAGCCAATTTAGTAATTTTTCCCGTTATATTTGAGCTATATATATATATTTTTTATCGTTTAATTAAGTTTCTTTACCTAATTTCCTCTAGGTAAGACGTACGTCGGTTTAAAGATTGTGAGAGCCCTTCTAGAAAACAAGCATATTTGGAACGAGGAAAAGAAGTCCGCCATGTTGATGGTTTGTTACACAAACCACGCCCTGGACCAGTTTCTGGAAGGAGTACTAAAATTCCAACAAACAGGAGTTATAAGAGTTGGAGGTAGAAGTTCTTCGGAGATTCTCAAAGCCTACAACTTACAAGAACACACACAGCCTTCCGACAGCAAGCACTGGCTCAAGAAAGAAATGTTTAAATGTCAAGACGCCATACAAAGAGCACGTAACAGACTGGCGCGTAGCAAGCGAAATATCCTCAGCCTGAAAGACCTGGAAAGCTGTGTCGGCCTGAAACAATTCAGCCAATTCAAAGCAGCAGAGGGCATTTTAAACTTGCAAAGAAAATCAGTACTTGAAAGCTGGCTAGGTCTGGAGCAGATCCCAGCAGCAATGAGGAGTTCATTGAATGAGACTCCGACCGCTGAATCCGTTGCTGACAAAGGTAGTTCCTGTGAAGATACTAATGAAGTTATAGAAGATAGCATCGAAGTAGACAGGGATGCTGAAATTATTCAAAACCAGCGCTTACTAGGTGAGAATCAGTTCCAGCTTCTAAAAAAACAGGAAAACGCCAAACAAGAAAAACAGCGACCTACCAATCTCTCGAGGGATCATTTGAAAGTTCTCGCAGGAGAATCCAAGCTTCAACCCCTCGCTGTGACCCAACTTTCCAAGATTAACGATGTTTGGAACCTTCCCTTTGAGGACCGCTGGAGGCTGTATTTGTTTTGGCTCAGGTTTTTCAATCTAACTGCCAAGAGGAAATTTCAAAGAGGAATAAGCAGTACGAGGACATCTGTAAACGCTTCACAGAGATTAAAACCCAGGGAGAATTGCACGCCCTAAAAGATGCTGTAGTTATTGGAATGACCACTACTGGAGCTGCAAAGTACCGCACCCTACTGGAAGAGATTAAACCAACAATAGTCGTCGTTGAAGAAGCAGCAGAAGTTCTTGAAGCTCACATCATAACGTCCTTGACTAAGAACACGCAGCATTTGATTTTGATTGGTGATCACCAGCAGTTGAGACCGAACCCGTCCGTATACACTCTAGCGAAGGACTATCATCTTGATGTGTCCTTGTTCGAAAGAATGGTAAATAGTGGGATGACGTGTTACCAGCTCAACACTCAGCATCGAATGAGACCTGAAATCGCGCGACTTATGAGGTTCATCTACGAAGATCTTCAAGATCATGAAGAAGTTCATAAATACAAAGATGTGAAAGGTGTATCCAAAAACATTTATTTCATAAATCACCAAGTCCCTGAAGATGAAAGTGAAGTAAATGACAGACTCAAGAGCCATTCAAATAAACACGAAGCAAAATTCATCGCAGCACTTTGCGAGTATTTTATCCTTCAAGGGTACGCACCATGCGAGATAACGGTGTTGACCATGTACACTGGGCAAGTTATTACTCTACAAAGGACAATGCCGAAAGATAGATTTGAGGGAGTCAGAGTCACGGCTGTTGATAATTTTCAAGGTGAAGAGAACGAAATAATCCTGCTTTCTTTGGTGAGATCTAACAAGCAGAGGAAAATTGGCTTCCTTGCAGTTAAGAATCGGGTGTGCGTGGCCCTGTCTCGAGCTCGGAAAGGTTTTTATTGCATCGGCAACTTCTCCTTGCTGGCTGAAAAAAGTGAACTTTGGAGGAGTATTGCCCAAGATATGAAAGATCATAATGCCATAGGGGAAGCATTAGAGTTGGTTTGCAGTAAACACCCCGATCGAAAAATCCACGCGAGGGTTGCAGACGACTTCAAGTCAGCACCAGAGGGTGGATGTACACTGCCTTGCGAGTTTCGCCTTCCCTGTGGTCACAGTTGCACAAGGGTGTGTCATCCTGACGACAGTGACCATGCCCTGTACAAATGCCAGAAAGATTGTTCAACCGAGGTCTGTTCAGAGCATCAAACTAAGTGTAGCAAAAAGTGCCACTTTGGCGAGGTTTGCCTATTGTGCTCTGTAGAAGTGGAAAAGAAGATCCCCAAATGTGGACATCAACAACTTGTGCCATGCGGAATACCTGTAGAGACATTTAAGTGCCAGAAGAAGTGTTGGAACTATCTGCCATGTCGTCATCTGTGCCCTGGAAAATGCTGGGAGGAATGTGCACTTTTCCAGTGTGAGAAAATTGTCAAGAAGAGATTTGAATGTGGTCATGAAATTGAAAAGTCTTGCTGGGAGGTTTCAGAATATGTGCAATGCGAAGAGCCTTGTCGTGCAACTTTGGACTGTGGTCACCCTTGCGTTGGAAACTGCCGCAAATGCAAGCAAGGACGAATTCACGTTCCTTGTGAGGCCGACTGTGAAAGGAGAAGGGTTTGCCTTCACCCTTGCAAAGAGCCTTGCACAACGAACTGCCCGCCATGTCCTGAGAAATGCGAAAATCGATGTTGCCATAGCCGATGTTCTAGACAGTGTATGGAAGCCTGCGCCCCGTGTAGGGTAAGTACAATGAAAACTGTATCCAAATGAGGTAATTTTATTTGAAATCTCCCTCTCTGAACAAAGGTAGCTCTTTAAGGCCTATAACATTTTTATTAGTTTCCTAATTGTCCAGTAAATTTCAAGAGACTGCTCACTGCAAGAAATTGTCGCACAATTGCTGGTCTTTCTTTGATCTGAGCATCTCAGCCTCAAAGGAAAAACATCACCAGTATCCCAGTATGGCGTGAAAATTATGACCAGAAATCAAACACACCAAATCAACCCTAGATGCCTGCAATTTCTTTCTGCCGATTTAGCTTAGTGGTGTGACCTTAGGTAAGGTACCAATGTCACGTTACTAAATACGTCGTGGGTTTCCCTGAGTTTCCGTCATGTGCTCCTCTGAGCATTATCATTTACGGTTGTTCTTTATCATTTTCAGGAACGCTGTGCCTGGGTTTGCCCTCACTTCCGATGCACGAAGCTTTGTGGCGAGAAATGCAACCGTCCTCGGTGTAACGAGTCATGCAGGAAGAAGCTGAGATGTAGCCACTCGTGCATTGGTATTTGCGGAGAACCTTGCCCGAAGTTGTGCAGAATTTGCCATAAAGATGAAGTTACCCGGTTGTACTTTGGAACTGAGCGAGACAAAAATGCAAGATTTATCGAGTTGTCAGACTGTGGACACGTGGTTGAGGTTACAGCAATGGATTACTGGATGGACAATGATAGCCGAAGTAACGATATTAAATTGAAGGAATGCCCCATCTGCCAGACTCCTATCAGGATTAGCTACCGGTATGCTGATATCGTTAAAGAAAAGTTGGCTGACATCGAAAAGGTTAAAGCACGAATGAACCAGGAAGAGAAAAACTATCAGCAGTTGACCGTAGAGTTGAAAAGAAAAGCTTTCTCTCTTGAAAGAAAGTATCCCGATATCAGACAGCAACGGAAATCTTCATCGGAGAGAAAATACGGTGACGAGCAAATGTTCAGCTCTTCAAGTTACGATATTTTGATGGGTTGGCTGCAGCAAAGGAAAACTATGGCCGAGCTGAGCACAATTGAGAACCAGATGAGGATACTGATCCAAATATACGAGATAAGAGAAAGAACAAAGAGGGATCTTTTGAAAAACACTCGTCATGGAGTACTAACACCACCCAGTGTAAGCCACTCAGATGATGTGTTCTTGCAAGCAGCAAGAGACACTGATGAAGCACTTAATCATTTAGAAGAAGATCTAATGAAGTTTCAAGTTTCCTATCAGAGGCTGGTTGATATACGAGATGAACTCCTATGTGTGAGTTTCTCGTTGAGCATTCGAGTGATTCAGTGTAAAATCGAAGAGCGTACCATTACCGTCGCATCTGACCAAGAAGTGTGGCTGAGGACACAGGGCAGGCAGCTGGACACTAGCCAGAAGCTTGGGAAAGAAGCTTACAATCACATTGAGGATACAATAAACGAGATCCGAGAAAAATGTGGTCTAGATAGTCTGCCTCCAGAAGAACGAATTTATATTGCGAGGCCAATGAACTTCTCCCAAGGACTGTGGCACAAGGTGTCCGAACGGGCATCCCAGTAACGTAGAAGGCGAATGCCCAGAATGCGGTGCAGCAGTTGGAGACAAGAGTGACACTTGCTCAAGGAAATCAGGTATGTCCTGTGCAAATTGTTACTTGGGTAGAAGGAGCGTTACTGAGGTCATATCTTTGTCTGTTTTTAAGAATTTACTAATAACCAGACATGAGCCAACATTTATTTAGATATTAAAGGTGATACTTTGATAGGTGTTGAATTTGAGCTCTAATCCAGACTGAAGAAACTTTGTCTCGAAATTGAAATGTGACAATGCCATGTTAAGAATGGGTCACTGCCAGGATGTAGTTTGTTCATACGGTTTTAGATTAGATATTACTTAAATTGACTTGGTTCTTTGTTCGTACTAAACGCATGCACCAAGGTTGATGCATTTTTCTTTTGTCTAATTAAAGATTGCAACAGCAGGGGATGAGGCAATGTATACTGAGTAGTTCCACCAAAGAAACCAGTAGATTTATGGCCCTGAAGACCAAAGACGTCTACTATTTGAAAAAGGACATTTCTGGATCGGTTCCACAGGTTACAGTTAAAACTAAACGTTACAATTTTCCAGCGTTGAGACATTTAAGAGGTGATTAATTTTTACAAAAAACATCATGAAAGTAATTCCCCCTATAAGTGGTCTTGTGGTAGAATAAAAACATGATTGAAATTTGGCAATAGTTCATTTCACAGTTGCATGCTAGGTTGCTAAGCCTTTGAACAGGAGTGAGGCTAAGGTTGACCTTGTTTACCTTGCTGCTTTTCAAATGCAAATTACTTTGTTATCATGCTAACTAGATACTGGTCTCTATCACAACAAGGTCACCTTCAGTTTCACTCCAAGTCAAAGACTTGGCAACTAAATACACAACTGTATAATGGCCTATTAAAAGTGGTAACTCACCTTTAAGGTAGTCCTCACTGCGTATGCTCTCATGGGTGATTAGATTAATTAAATCTCCAATATTCGAAGAAGGATGACTTTTCCTTTCTTTCGTCTCTTCCTTTGAATTGAGCAACAACGTTCTTCACGTTTGATTAATGTAGAGAAACTTTCAGTGTTGAATAAGAGAAAATCTATTTTGCACGTATTAAGCAGATATTTCACTGCATATTTTACTGATATTCTAAGGAAACATTAGCTAAACGTTGGGCATACATGACATGTTTCTCTTCTTAAAAGAGCCGCCCATTTTACCTTATTGCATGACGTTCTTCATACTGTGACTTAAAAATTCATGTGATCTTTCGAAAGTCGTCACAGAAGTCCTCAGGTTGACCTATGTTTTCATTTTTTAAACGATTCTTATAAGCGGTTGAGTATTTTTTCTCCTATACACTCGGGATAGCGATTAAAGCCACCTTCTTTAACAAGAGGAAGTTAGAGGATCTCGATGTCGTATCAAAAGTCCCCAGTTTCAAACATGGGTTTAACTTAAAGAAAGCAAGTCATTCCCTATCTACTAAGCCTACTCAGGGCTGAAGAATGTAAGTTTCTTTTCTGCTGAAAAATTTGCACGAGGCGTTTCATCGTCATCATTGGCAACGTTAAAATCCAATTTCTCAGAACTCCTTGCACCATTCTGTAGGCAATGTATGGTTCCTGAGGAAGGCAACGAGGCACTGAGCTCTTAATCTACAGCTTTGGAATCTAAATATCTGCCTTTGTTTAGAGTAGGTGGATTCAAACACTTTACGGTGTAAAACACCGTGACAAAGAGAAAGACAATACGCAACCAACTCACAGAATCGTTTAAGAAACGAAAACATGTATTAATGGACTGTGGACAATTCGGCTACCTATTCAGATGTGATCAAGTCGCCTTATACAATTAAACGAAGATACACGTACATCGTGTAAGAATTTGTTTCCTAGAGATGAATTTTTAACAGGCTTAGCCTTCTGTCAAGGGGGGAAAGTTTCAAAAGAAATTGTGGTGCTATGCGTGTCAGTTTGCCACAGCGAACATTAGCTTACAAACACTTTACAGTGGCCAGTTTGCGTTATCAACTCAGTTGATAAAAACAAATTATTTTGTCTTCTGTCCGACTGGTTTCCACTTTTGTATGAATCCTTTTTACTCTATTCTTTAGCCCTCAAAATGTTAGAGTGAATAAGTTTTGTTACCATTGTTTATCAAATATAGTGCGGTGTTTCTCAAGGATTTCCACCCCTGAGAAAAGCCGTAACAGCACATGTGAAAAATCACGATAATTGTTTACGTGTGTTTGATATTGCCAATCAGCTGCTGACACGTCACTCGCCTTTCGCACCATTCGGTCAAGTTGAAAGCTTTCGTTTGTCGAATTTTCTGGGATTATGGCCGCTAAAAAAACACTGAAAAATTCGTATCGCTTGCAGACAGCGCGTTCAAAATTTCCCAAACTTACATTCGAACCTGCATTAAGCGACACCGCTCTTGAGGGATAAATCAGATCAGAAAAAAAATCTGTCCTTCACTTACAAAACGGACCTCAAACTCGGTCAGTAAGAGGTATTTACATTTGTGTGTGCAAGCCTTCTTGACTCACCAAGTGAACACTGTACGTGCTTTCTCTGCGGTTCAACGGCGTAAATGAATCTGGTATGTTGGTGGGAATCCCCTTTGAACAAAGGGACATTTAGGTCAAAATTTAAGTTATGTCACTTTATTTGATTAGTTAATCACACTTTTCCTCCATTGTTTTAAAAATGTTCACCAAGTATAAAATGAATTACGTTCAATATACCGGAAAAGTGAGATAGATTGAGATGGTAAATCAAAGAAATTAAGTCAAAATGCACAAAATACTTGGAATTAGGAATTTTGGAAGGACGCCGTTTTCACAAAATTTAAGATATTTATAATAAAACTGCACCAATTTTTGTGCCATTTTCTTATTCACGTCAACAGGTGCGCCTTTCCCCCTCCCCCCTTAAACAAAAAGTCAGTTAGTTAATGGATGAGGAGAGTTTCAATCTCTGCCCACGATCGGGGTTGTGGGGCGGGTACATCCTCGTCCACCATCTTTACCAAGGCAAGAGCGGGGCTAAAACTAAAGGGGCCCGGACTTTTAGGGTCCACTTTTGATAAGAACGTTTTGCAGTTAAGCTTAGCGGTGACAGTTTGTTGAACCGAAGTTGAGACCAGTTTTCCGGCGCGCTCCATATGGACGATGTCAACAGCCAAAAGGGTGGCTTCTTTAATACCCTTGGTTTGATTATAAGTTAATGAAACGTTTTTACACTGCACCCAGCGTAAATTGGGTACCGGCTGTTCTGCACACACCAGACGGCGCGCCTGGTCAATTGAGGCCGTTGGATATGATGTGTTGAAGATCTCGTTGTCTGAAACTGACCCAAAAGCTGGACAGAATAGCTGGAAAGCTTGAGAACCGAGTAGTCTCAGGTGATCTATATTCTCCACCTATAGTAAGGACAAAAAGAAGGGTTACGTGAATACAATTTCTGTAGGCATTCGAATCTTTTTAAACGATCTCATAATAAGAGTTTTTTTACCGCGCCGACGTCAGGCAACAGTCGTGCACTTATGTAATTCTTGCTATTTCGCTTTACACCGCGACTAAATCATTACTTCATTAGAGCAACTAAACGATATCCCCCTTCGCGCCCGCTTCATGGCCCGTCACGCAACGATGCCTATATTGTGTGACACTACGACTGACAAAATAGGTGCGAAAGAGACATTGCAATTGAAAAGAGGGTGCTGAAATTTAAGAGAGTTTGTCGTTCTTGATAACAGTGAGCCAGCGTGCCAAAAACAAGTGCCAAGTCAATTCACAGTCAACCGAACAACTGAAATAAGGGCGAAGAACTACCGATTGCCTTCACCATTCAGTTTGCAGGCTTAACTACAAAACACCTTACATATCAGCCTCCTTCCTTACGACGCTTCAAAATAAAAATGCATTACTGCCCTACGTGATCCTGTCATAGCGTACCTCTGTCTTGACGTATCTCTCTTTTCCGTTCACCGTTATAATGACCCCAGCAGTTATTTTAGCATTTTCCAATTCCTCTTCTAACCATTTTCGTTCCTTTTTCGATTGTTTTTTGAATGCCGCCGCCCCAACGTCGACACAAAAAATATTCCTGTCCAGCGCACAGCTATTTTCTGATGAGACTTTCTTCACTGTTTGGGCGTACACTAAGAACTTGTCTGCTTCTACTGAGCTCACGCCAGTTACCACGGCCTTTTTATTGAATTTAAAAGACATGTCTCCTACGGAAAAAAGTTTAAAAAAAATTTTTTTGAATGATTTATGAAAGCAATTTATCCTAAGGATGTGTGCTTTAGCTTTCAAGCACATTGGCTTCCTCTTTTTTGCAGCGTGTAAGAGATTTTGTGAGAGAAGAGGAGGGTTTTGAGTCACTGTAAATGACTTTTTGAGTTAGGAACATTTTTTAGTGATCTTCCTCAAGGGGGAGGGGGGTGGACATGATCTTTTCGGGGATTCAAGTTTAGAATCGTAGTAATCAATGGCGCTCCAAGGAAGGTTACTTAATGTGGTACGCGTGATTTTTTTTTAGTGCGGTTGTACGTTAAATATTTAACAGCAAGTGTCTTGAAGCATCACGGAATACATTCTGTGCTTTTGATTTATAACAATGCATCCCAGTATTCGGAGCAGTACCATCTCCTCTTGGAATTTGCGCAAACTGAAATACGAGCAGTCTTAAGTGCGCACACGAGAATTAATTCTAACAGCACTCGAAGATAAAACCCTACCTTAAAGAGCTTACGTTATTTTTACTCATTACAGATGATGCTGATGAAGTATCACATGGCAGTTTTTTTAAGACACCAAAAAAAGGTTATTGTCGACGATTCACAAACATAAACAAGTGAGGTTGATGAAGTAAAATATAAACAGACCTCACAGAAATTAAATGACAGTATATCAGTACGACCACATCAACGAACTTATTTCTGAGAAATGAACATTTGGGGATTAAGTCATTTTCAAACTCTCTCTTAATAATCACTAATTCGTGACCTAAAGGTAAGCTTAAAATTCATTTCCGACTGGCATTTTTAACAGCCTAGTAAGACCATCACACATCTTCAACTCTAAACTATTCTTGAATAAAGAGCCTCTTTAAATAAGAAAAGAAAAACATATTTCACACTTAGTAGAGTTGTTTTGGTTACAGCACGAGATCGATAAGGGTTTATTGTATCTCTCACAACGCGCACTGTGATTGGTCAACTCAGTGGACTGTATATGTATTCGGGAACAAAAATTTTAGGTTGTTTTTGCTACTAAAAACTCACATTACATGTGATTATCGCCAATTCTACTAAACTTTCGCAGAAAAATGAAATTTACCCTTTTGCTTTCTTTTAAGTGTACGTTAGAACTTACAAAAAACTGAAAGACTCTTTACAATTGCCAGTCTTTAGAAGCCATTCCGCTTGACTACGAGTCATTTCCCGAATTAAATGGCTTATTAACCATGTCTTCTAAGGCTTTACTGTTATTTACAGTACCTCGTTTTTCCCCTTCGATTTATCACCCACGCTCTTCGCGTCCCTTCACCTATGAAACAGGCCTCAAAGTCGCTTGTAAATACTGCGCCGAAAAACCTAAGCAGCTGAAAAATTAAAACAAAAGACGAAAAAACAGTGCTAACCTTGAGTGATTTAGAAAAAAGCTCAGTCGGCAAAAATAACAATGGAGAAGGAGACGACGTCTGATATTTGTTTTCGTTGAATTTAACACTAAAATAAATATGGTAATTTGTGTAAGTGTAAGGCAATCGAAGGTAACAAAGGCGATAGTCAACAGATTGTATGTAACTTAGGAATAGGCAATTTGATGAAAGAGTACCTAGGAATAATAAATATAACGAAGATCCTTGAGGCTTTCCTATGGCCTGAGGATAAAATAATTTTCCTGGCTGAAGTACGAATAATGTCAGACTGGTTAAGACTTGTGAGTTTTACAGTACCAAACGGTTTTCCTTTTCTCGAAATAATTTGAGACAGAGAACAAATTTACAGAGAAAATACATTAAGCTTCTCAAAACGTCAAAACTGCATCATTGATCGTTTTAATTAGTGACCTTTTGTAACTTTTTGGGACAGTCGGCTTACATGTAAACGAATCGAAACATATTTCTTTTCACAATGTAAATACATTTTCTCGACTGAAATGCTACATATGTGAATTGTACACAACATGAATCATTTGCCTGAGTAACAGTAGCCCTCTGCTCGTCTGCTAGAGTGAAAAAACATTAATTGGGCCAAACGCAACATGTAAATCTTACGACTTGCCTTCATTAATGACATGTTGCACTGTTTTCGGATGGGAAAAAAAGATAGGTAATTTAAATGCTAATGCGTTCTTATGTTTTTACTTAATCGCACTCTTGGGCTTTTCAGGAAGGCGGGCTTTGCTCTCGAATTAACCGGCAGATGTCCTTCTACCCTTGGAAATTAAATACCAATCTTGCAGAAAGCTATTTTTAACAAGTATGGTTGTTTTGGTTAGAATTTAACCCATACCTGCTAAGAGAAGTACAATTGCTTAAGTCTTGTTATATCGAGATTTACGTCGAAGATTGAACATTACGTTGAATACATATCAGGATTAAGTGCTCAGGTTTCTCTCACGAAGAAGTATTACGACGATATTCGGATTATTTGTCATGAATTCTCGGTTTTTATATCCGTGTCTGACCTTTCAATTCTGATTTAGAAGGATATCAATTAAAACCTTCTCTCAACTGGCGTAGTGAAGCGTTCTACATTGTAATAGTGTACAATTACTTTCTTTCCTCTTGTCACTTTGAAAACAAAGCAAAATTCACGTATTGAGCGCTGTTTCGTATGTCCCATTTTAAATTTTCGACATCGCCAGGGTTTTGAAGCTTCATGTTTGAAAACTTCAAAGGTTCATTATCGATTACGCTCTGCATATAAAACACAGATAACCTGAAAAGATTGCTATCATTCAAACACAAATAGTGGCAACCGCATTCCTTATAGATAAGTTTACTTACCTTCGTTACAAGGTTGTTTTGAATACCGCCGCTCTAATAGTCGATTGATCTAACTATTCGATCACGTAACTTCTGAGAAATCCGTGAAATACTTCAGACGATCTTAGCTCATGCTGTGATGCAGTGGTGCGATTATGTTACCGTGAGGTCACTACCGTGACGAAGGAACACGACTCGCGAGTGAAACGATTTTAAAGATTAACCAGCTGAACACTACATTCCAGGAGATCTAGCGTAACGTTGTGTCCCAAGAGACTACCAAAAGAATACTGGAACAGGTTTTGAGGGCAAATATACACAAGAAGGGTAATTAAACAGCGTCAAGGCTTTTAAACGGTGCCGAAATGAGGTAATTATCCCCATACAACAAACAAAGCCCTAAGCTGTTTTGTGTTTACGACTGTTATGCTAATGAAGTTCATTTCTGCAAAAACATACATCTACAGTTGACAGATTTTAATCGACATTTCAGAAATACATTTTGTCATCAGCACGCCTCAGTTAAGATCAGATGCCAGAAAATCTAGAAAAACTCCAAAAAGATTAAAAACATGAATGATACAAACGTAAAAAAAAAATTGCTGTGTACAGTATCTGAATATTAATGTAAAAGCAAATGGAATTACGTCAGGGGCAATTGTAAGGAAGGAGCGGGCCAAGGATTGGGTCTCTTCCAATATTTTTAATTTTTTCCCAAAAATAAATGAATAGATAAACTAATGAATGAAAAAACAGACAGATCAATGTCCTTAATAAAAGGAAAAAAATAAAGGCAGCAAAAAAAAAATCACAATTATCTAAAAGATCACTTAGTTTTTCTATATCACTAAATCTTTCTTCATCACTAAATGTGTTCCTAAACTGAAAATTGGCTTTGTATCTATGTAACCTGATATCATACATTCCTTTTGCGGGGAAGCGCTCATTTGTTCAAAAACAGAATCTTACGCTGCTACACGGTCGAGCTCGCCGGGTCGCTGGTTAGTTCTGACGCGACTCACTTCTTCGTCAGATCAATCATATTAATTTAGCTTTTACGCTTTAGGCATTTACGCCCACAATCTTTGCCACTTATTTCTAGGATACAACAGTCCCTTCAGGGCCCTTTTTTTTGTGTGCAAATTTTCCAGTTTAGCCGCATCTTCCACCACAGTCGAAACTTTCACCGCGGTTGAAACTCTCGTGCAGTATTACGATCATGTAAACCATAGGTAGCCTCTACCGATGTATCGGTCGACGGAACGACTTGTCGAGTGACTAGTAAACGTTCATCGACCGACTGCCGACCGATAGCCGACCGATCTGTCGACTGACCGACGATCAGTTTATAAACCCCTTTACTGTCATATCAACATGTCGTCAGCTTATCGTCCAAAATGTCTCTACTTAATCTCCTTTCCTTTTGTATCTATGCTTGACTGTTCGCAGAGTTTCACAAGCGATCCCGCAAAAAAGTACTGCTACAGCCAGCCCGAAATATACCACTAAGAAAATAGTGACATGAGAAGGCCTCGGGGGAAGATTGTTGACGGCAACTTCACTAGTGTTTACACCGCAGGAAAGAAATGCAAACAAAGAAAAACACAGTTTCGTTAGAGCGCTAAAGAGATATGCAAATTCTAATACACGACTACAGTAGGAAATGTTAAGTAGGCGATGTAGCTTTTTATTTCAACTAGTGCAAATAAACGCTCCCTTATGTTCCAAAACGGCACTCTTATCAAAGCTTCAAACGTTCGTATTCTCTGTCGCATATCACAAAACAGTGTAATAATTGTCGTATGGTGTGGGGCAGAAAATAGGCACGAGTAGAATTTTGATACTCTCTTATTTTAGAACAGTGTGGGAACCATCAATTCGTTCACCGTCATAATGTATGGTAGTGCCGCAAAAGTAATTTTTACTTCCATAGAGGGTAGTATGGTAAAGAAAGAAAAGTTTGCCGAGGCATTAGCTTCAGCATATGATGTAGGCGCTGTGACAAAGTTACTTTTTTCTTTATTTGCATCTCTCGAAGCTGTTAGAAACAAACTTCCCCCGGAACCTATCCAAAGAGGGTCGAACATGGGTTTGGCGGGATGCGGAATGCGGGATGAGGCTTAAAATCGGGGCGGGACGGGATGTGGGATACGAGAAATTTAAAATGCGGGATGCGAGATGAAAATAGGAAGGCGAGAGCGGGATATGCTCCGTTTCAAAAGCGGGATAAAGGATAGGACGAGTACAGGCGGGATCATAATTTAACCAGTTTACGCGACCACACATCTTCAGAGTGCTAAAATAGCAAGCTTCTTAAAGTAAATTGTGCGAGTCGCACTTGTTTCGATGAAGATAGCAGTGGCCATGTTACTCCCAAGTTTTTACGTTATTGTGGTATTTTCGGGAAGTTCATTGGGGCCTTTTTTTGGAGACCATCTTCCCGTGTGTCCTGTAGTTTGAGCTAAGATACAAGCAGTTACATTTGCGTCAAATTGTTGTTCATATCCTTTTGCTATGTTTCGGGATAGATGTAACCATTCTCGGGGTCGGATCGTCGATTAGAACTGTAATTGATTTCTATGAAAAGTACGGGTTTTTTAACCCGTGACTAAAGTCTGTTGTGAATAGATATGGAAAAATAATTTCGCCTCGTTTAAGGCGGTTATCTGTTTCCGTTGGGAAAGAATCCAATAATCTTACACAAAAATGAAGATAATGAACACAGTTCAGAAAGACGGTTGCACGATGGATGAAATCGTCCCTCAGATCCTAGTTCAATGTAATGTTGTAATAATTCTCCGTCCGGGTCTTTAGAGAAAACAAAAGCAATATTGCTGCACTTGATTATGGGAAATAATTGGGTAATAGTACATAGAGTAAGAACTGAAATTGTGCAACAATAGTAAGAAAAAAACCTCGCTTTATTTTTGCATAACACATAGCACATTTGTGCAGTATCGTGGTACAGTAATAAGATATAGAAACCACATCCGATTTGAAACCCCAAAAAGAGAGAATCTCCGCTCTGTAAGTTTTCACATACACCGATCTGGTGAAAAAAGAGGTTGTCATGTCTGGTGCTATACATCGATCCATGGATACTCTTGCAGCATTTAGAATTTATACCTATAAAAGTTAAACCGACTGGTTCGATAATGCTATAACAAATTTGACATATAGCAGAGTTGACTTGTACCGATTTATCTTACGTTCAGAAGAGCAAATCCGCGTGTAGTATCCGACAGTTCAAATACTAGCATAAATTTCCATCACGTCTAGGATCTCGGTAACACATCACGACAGTTGGGCGTATCTACAACCCGGAGCTATTGGATATGGTCGAAATAAACTTTGCATTTTCAGCAGTACATAGATAATCTAATCCAATTAATTGTAATATAAATCCTCTTCCCAAAGCACGTTTTTATTAAATAAATCAATCGACAACCTTTTCCCATTTTTTGTGATGTTGCATACCACTGACCCAATGACAGCGTCCACCTGCAACCGACAAAGTGTTCGCGGGTGGAGTAGTAAGTCTCGAATTCCGCGTTTGCCATTTTCCACATGCGCCAGTTACAATTTTGGACGCAAACTTGTATATCGCACATACGGTCACTTTCTCCGCAAATAATATTCGGAATTATAACGCGCGTTCATAATCTCCGTATGCGTAAATCGCGGTCGTTTTTTTAAAGGTGCCTCAGAACATTGGGCACAAAAGATTCTCTACGACTGAGTCCAAAGCTGATTAGCCCATTACTAGCCTTCTCTGTACAAAATACGCTATACAATAAAACTGAGTTTCATTCAGTTATATTCCCCTCGATCGTATTGATTACAAACCACTTCTTGTCATTCGTTTTTATTTCATGATGGCCGTTAAGATATGAATCTTATATTATTCCCACATCTCATCAAGAAAAGATGGTTTCCTTTCTTTAACGTAATGGTCTCAAAACTTCTTTCGTGGACTGATTATTCCTTCATTACGGTTGCAGCCATTGGCGAGGTTATGGACATATTATGAAGAAAATTTTCGTTTAAGTTTTGCGCAGAATCTCCTCATGGTCAAAGGCAGTCTTGGGTTTTTGACAACTTGCCCGACAGTATTCGTCACCAGTATACTAAAACTACTATTTAGAAGATCTCACCGACTCAGAGGATCAGAGAAAAGCAGTAATTCTGAAATTTTAATCCCATTCCTCCTCCCAGTCATCTTCGGCATGATTCTCTTCTCTACCATCTTCCCCTTCCTCGCCTCCAGCCTCCTCAGGCTGTCCACGGTAGCTTAGGGTGTTTAGTAATTCTCTCATAGCGACCATCAAGTTTTCCACGCCCCGTACAAGCTCTGTGTCCCGTAGAGGTCTGGGTCCACCTTCTGCTCCCTCCACAGGCTGCTCAAGCCTCACTTCCACGCGTGGTCCACTACGGGTCTGAGCACTGAACGAAGGTAGAAGTGAGCGAAAAAACATGGACAGAGGGCCAGAGTCTTCTCCAGCAGTTTCAACCCTTCTATAAAAAAAGAAAAAAAATAAATTAATTTGCCCTTGCAACTTCAATATGGGAAACTCAATGGTTGTTGTAAAATTGTCACAAGTTATGACGTTAATTCTAGCATTTTATTTTTCTTTTTAAGAGAAAATGAAACAGCCCCCCAAAAAAATCATTCAGGATTTCTTTCAACATGCTAAACTACTTTTTATCCTTGAGTTATTATCAGCCATCTTTCTCAAAACTGATGATCTCGTTTTTGCACACTTAAAGGTCACGACTGTGCGCGCATAATCCATGACGCTAACAATATCAATGCATTCAAACATTCACGTGCGTAAAAACGATATCATTAATTTTGAGAACGATGGCTGACAAACATCAAAAATGTCAACTGAGTAAAAACACGCTTGGCTAGGTTCAAAGAAATTCTGTATCAGCTTTGCTCTAGTCTGATACATTCTTACAATAAAATAAGGAAAGAGACGATCGCTGATTGCGGTCCATGTCCAGAATCAACAATTTAGTTTTTACTACTCTTCTGTCACAAAGCTAACATGCATTAACAGGAAAGAAGTGAAAAATAGAGGAAATCGCAAAGACAGTTGGGTACATTGATACACAAATTCTTCTAATCATAGAAGGTGAAACGCTACCTCGGTGGCCTTGAATATCCTGTCACTGAATCACGAGGAGGCAGGGGATCATACGACACTAGGGGAACATTCGCCAAATCCTGAGGCGAGATAGTAAAAATGCATAATAAACAACGATATAACGTGCTTTGATTAGTTGAAACAGCAATTTAACAATTTCAGACTTTAAATCCCTTTAATATTGATAATCAGAAGTTTGTCAGGAGTTCGGGACTATTGAGACTAAGTTGATGTTACACATGCACAACTAAGAAAGATGGAAGAACCACTTTAACCCTTTAACCCCTGGGAGTGATTAATAACTATTTTCCCCTATCAGTATCACCCCTAAAACAAACATTGAGGTCATGAGAATAAAGGAAATGATCACCAACTTAAGAAGCTCTTGATTATCAAACAACTTCTCTTTGTCAGTACCATAGGAAATATACAGAGTTCAGTATGGAGAAAATACATGCTGATGTTAGGGTGTAAACGGTTGAAAACATCTCACCATGGGAAGTGACACAGCAGCATCTTTGATATCTATCGCAGAAAAACAAAAATTTTAACAATAAACGAAGCCATCGACTTCTCTTAGGAAGCTCTTAAAGTCGAAGAAGCCCACGCAGTTCCACACATCAATTACCACGGAATCGGCCAATTCAACTAGCCCCTTTATTGACGATGTCCTATGCGAAAAGAATAACACTCTTCGGCCCCTTCCGTCTCGCTAAAATAATAATAAAATATGCTGAAATGCAATGCAGCGCATCCAAGACCCCCCTTCTGGACGGTTCCTTTAAAAATAGTCAATGATGAAATAAGAAGAATTAGCAGGAAGCAGGGGTGGAGGGCTTAGTTATAACTGGAGTGGTTCGACGGGCGCGGGTGCCACTTCTCTTGGCTCGGGTGTCTTCAGTAACGTCACAGGTAAAAAAATTTCAAAATTTCAAATACACAATATGAATATCAATAAGATTACACCAAATTGTTTGCAAATTAAGTTCCACACGAGTTACTTTCCAACGTTTCATTTAAGTAGTAACACAGTGCAATCGTGATGACGGATGCGAGGATTGTCGAGGCAAGGACAGTTTAGTCACTTTGCTATGAACTCATGACTCAAGACTCTTCGTGCGATTTTCGATTGATGGTTATAAACTCAAAACCATAGCTAACACGGCCAATTAGAGAAAAGGAAAATAAGACAGAGTCACTGAGAAATAAACAGTAACAAACCAGCTGCCTCAAGCGCCGGAAAACGCGAATGATGTCAATTTTTCATCTTAATGTTTGAGAGGGTGGTACGATCTTCATAGACCAATCTCATGGCAAAGCTAAGCAAAACCAAGACAATTCAGGATCATTTTTGACAACAAAGTGCTAATTGCTTCTAGGTTAGGAAAGTTCACTCACCAGACATGACTAAGTGCCGGTAAATATTTCGGGGTGTTCCTTTATAACGCACTTGTCGTCTGAAAATCAATAACGAAAGTTAATAGCTGCTTTAATATATACTAAAACAGTGCGATAATAAAGCCAAAAAAATGATTTTAACTCAATTATTTCTGCAACGATTACAATATTTCGGGGGCAAGTCCTGTGATAGCGTGCCTTCAACGCTATCCACTGTTTAAGTATATACTAATTAATGAAATCGCAACGCTGGGTCTTAATATCTGCTCAGTTGAACCTAACATTCAACAAGTGGTTCTGATTTTAGCTTTATAGGATGTTTACAAAATTTAACCCTTTAACTCCCAGAAGTGATTGACATGTAACTTCTCCCGATAATATCCGTACATCATTCTGGAAACAGGTAGTGAGAATACTAAAACTCATCAGGTAAAAGATATTACCTTGATCGAACACCAAATTCTCGTAACCAATTTACAAGGAAAATGTGTAGCAGCTAGAGGGGAGAATTGACAATCAGATCTTGGGAGTTAAAGGGTTAAGTGATGAGAGAGGTCTACGTTAAGCCTGTTGTCAAACCAAAATCGAAGTAACAATATCTAGTTAAAAGGTGTAGCAACAAAAATTTTGTAAGTAATAAAAATAAAGTCACGTATAAATGACACGTAAAATTATTTAACTCACAATTACTAATCAATCATTTCGAGCGCTTTTCGATAGTGTCTTAAAACCAAAATCAAAGTAATAATAACAACCAATCAGAAGAGAGGAAAATATCTTTGAGAGCCAATGAGAACTCAAAGTAAAACCAACCGAACTGTTTAAAGCGCGGGAAAACGCGAGTGACCAAATCGTGACTTGTTTTAGTTTTGCATCTGATTGGTTGAGAGAGTGGTGCGAGTTTTCTGGACCAATCAAAGAGCGAGGTATAGCAAAACCAAAGCAGTCCAGGATTACTTTCGACACTAGATCGAAAATTGCTCTACATTCACTGCACAGAGAAGTACCTTTGCACAAGACTTGGACTCAACCCGATTTAGTCAGAACAAAAAGTATTCACAAGACAAAACTTACTTTTGTTTGCACTCTTCCACCAAAGCATCTCCAGCCTCTACTCTTTCTACAACTTTTCTAGTATTTAAGACGAGCCAGTCGATCACCTGAAATGGCACATATTACTTCATTAGCTAAAATATGTATTTTTCCCCAATGGGTATTAACTGATTCTGACGAAGAATGAACGCTCAATAAGTCAGCTTTAGAAACTCTTTACGGTGGCCAATTTACATTATCAACTCTTCTGATTAAACTAGATTATCTTGTTAAACGCCCCACCGACGCAGCACCACAGTTTCTTTAGGAACTTATCTCCTTGATCTAACAATATTGGGGGTTCTTAGAAGTTTCGCTCTTTTTCCTTCGCTTTAAAGAAGTTTTTTATGACGGGGCACAGCCGGGTTATTTTGATGTGAGATTTTTCTGAGGAAGATTAGGTACCTGTAGGTTAGCCAGCAAATCTTTGAAACTATGTGGTCGAACAACCCACCTAATTTCATGTCAACCATCAAAAGTTGTTGACGAGTGAAATATCACAAATACAGCGAAAAGTAAACAATAGTCTTGATACTACAACATATCAGCTCGACATTTTGAATAGTTGACTGCGAGCGCCGACTTAAAGAGCATTTGACTTGTGGCCGCTGTTTCATGATATAAGGAGTGCATCAAACTGGTGTTACAGTTGTGTTTCCTACCTCAGGTTCTTTCCACGCATGGTAAGTCCTACCAATGTACAGTGCCTCCAACTGCTTTAAAGCAAGGGGCTCACTACAGACAAAATAAACCAAATATTAAAAAAGAAACCAACTGTGCATAGTGTAATGCATAAAAAGACTACCTTTCTGAAAACAAACTGAAAAAGAGTCTACTATATGAGTGACCAAGAAAGAATTTCTCCTTACAATATCAATACAATACCAAGCAGACAAGGGATGAAAATAAATAAAAATATCAATTAGGGGATTATTAGTTGATCCAATACCAAATTCTCCGAACTAACATCATGGGAATTGTACAGCAGACAGTAAGGAGAATTCCTAGTGAGATTTTGGGAGTGAAAAGGTTAAAGAATACAATAGAAATACCTGTTTGCTTTGACAGGGGAGAAAAATGGATGTTGACTGAGGCTTGAGTCCACTGCAACATTACACTTATCCATGAGAGGAGATAAAACCTAACAAAATATTACGGTCAGTAAAAACATGATAAGAATGAAAACAAAGAAAACGCCAACAGTAAAATCGCAAAGTGACTATTCCTTTTGACTTTTGAATGTTGTCATGACTTTGATTTTTTGCCTCGAAGGGTCTCAAGCTACTGTCCATCTTAAAAAATTTTCGCAGCCTGCGTTTAGCCTATCCTGTACCTCCTCGGAAAATGATACCTGGGTCGGGTTTTTTATCCTACAGGGCTTGTGATTCAAAGGTTTTAACTAGTTGAAGGTGTTTCTATAGGGTGAGGAAAAAAAACGGCTCAAAATACCATTACATGGCTCTTGTAAGTTAGCATAAATCTGCTCGACAACCCTTGTCAGTAAACAATCTAGGTGCTACAGTTTTCAATACTATCACGAAAGAACTTTCTCCTTCGTTTTTTTACCATTCTTAAAGTAGAAATGATCATGGCCATAACCTGAGTGTTTACACTGTATTGTGGAAATTTTTTTAACGGTTAAGTAACCCTTAGGAGTATCAAAACACAGTAAATATTGGGGAGAGGGTTACGGAGCATACTCCTTTAAATTTGGAATTGTCATAATTCTGATTTAAAGTTTGTGCTCGTCAAAAACAAACCCGATAGATTTATGATAAAACTGATAAAACAGACAGCAGTGAAACATACCATTGGGAACATAATCAATGCCGTCTGGAGCTGAAATAATAGTACATCGTTGTACAATTAAAATAAAGAATGAACTTTTGGGTCTTTATGCGGTCCGATTTCTTTTCTGTCCTCTATCCAACAGAGTAACTAACATCGTAGAAATATTGGTAGTACTAGATGTAATTAGACTGAAGTTTGAAAATGGTGTTAGGGAAGGTGGGGGGGGGAAAAGAGAGAACACAGTTTTTCCAGTGCTGGAGAGGGATGATTATGGGAAAAGAAAGTCCTGTTGCACGTTGACTAAACAAAAGCCCCTTAAAATTAGTGGTCTCCTTTCACAAAAAAATAAATTGAAAAAGTTATAAACGAGCATCAAACAGTTTTCCATCTACTTTGGTCTTTTGATAAGACCTCTGCCAAACATTGCTGGCAGTAATGAAAGTGAAAGTGGGACGAAGCAGGGACTGTTTAAATGACCATCGAAAAATGCTCTTTCAACAGCTGTGATGATTAACAAAAAAAAATCTGCTTGGTAGAATTGTTTGGCAAAATTTATACTTAGTTTTTGAATATCAAACAACTGCTGGTAACCCAAAATACTATATTGCACAGAATGTAGAAAAGAAACAACAGCCTACCAGTTCATCTGCTCTCTTGGTCTCGCCATGCTTTCTATTGAATTGGAAATATGCGAGAGCCACAGAAAAAGCAAAGTTTGGTAACTGGGATAAGTTTCTGTGAGGCTGAAAAGTTTGAAAAAAAAAGAGCATAATTTAACCCAAATAAATTCACGACGAAGGAATAAAAGTAGTTGTCAACAATAACATTTATAAGTTCCTGATGAGTTCAGAAGCGAAAGGAAGAATATAGTAAATGGTTTGAATGCAGGAGGTCTGGGAGGAACAGTTGATCTTTCATTCGCTCTGACGAAGGACTAACGCTCAAAACATCAGCTTTACAAACTCTCTGATGTGGCCAATTTACAATATCAACATAGTTGATGAAACTAAATTATCTTCCCACTGACACAGCACGACAGTTTCTTTAGAAACGTACCCCTTTCATTCAGTTGATTATGCTGTCTGGTCATTCGTTAAAAATAATAAAAATAATAATGATGGAGTAATTGTGAAGCGCACTACTCGTATAAAAATATTCCGTGGTGCTTCACAGTAATGGAAAAAAAAAAGTTCATTTATAAACTTCCTAAAAGGTCAGTCTTCAAAGCTAGAGGATAGCCCTGTGAAGGACTGTTATCGGTTATACTGACTGAAGTTTCCACAACCTTCCCAAAGTCTTTATCAGAGTCAAGTGAAGGTTGCAGTGAGTAGAGTGTCATAATTCTGGTTCCTGTAAACTCAGATTAAAACACTCCACTGAAAAATAGCTCTTTGACTATTCCAACCCATATGATCACACAATATGGGCATCCCTTTAAGATATTCATTGTACACTGTTTACCTCCCACTCTTCAAACAATCGTATGAGGAAGCTAAATTGCTCTGACTGTAACGCATAGAAATCGATCATAAGGAGAACACCAAGGGGATCTTCATCTGGGTCTAGACTAAAAGGAAAATTAAACATTGTATTAACCCTTTGAGTGATTAGCAATAATTTCTCCTTACAATATTACCCCTGAATCAAACATTAAGGTCATGAGAATAAGGGAAATGATCACTGACTAAGAAAGCTTTAGATCGTTCGACAAATTCTCCTTGTCAGCAGCTTAGGGAATGTATAGAGAACAGTAAGGAGGATATGCATACTGATGTCAGGGTGTAAAGGGTTAACAGTTGTCTCAATGTATAAGTCCTGCCAACCAGCCAGGTTGTTCAGAAAAACAATATGCTAATCATGAAGTAACTTTAAAGTTACTTCAAAACATAAAAGTTAATAAAGTATTCTCTTTGGGTCTGTTTTTCACCATATTCTAAGTCTAATTTCCTCTCCTCCTTCTAACAAAGAATGTAAAGATGATTTAAGAGTGACAGGAGTCAACATACCAGACACACCTTTAATATCAGAGAAAAATGTAATAACCCAAAATCGAAAAAAAGTAACTAAACATTGAATTTAATTTGAAAATAATCTCACCTTAGCAAGAGCTTGCATAACTCCAGTGATGTCCTGTAGCATCCTAAAATTCAATTAACCAATTACATTAATCACAAAAAAATTAAAACAGCCACAGTTTTTCTCAAATGTTAAAAGGAAAGACAGTTACAAGGAATCTATCACAATCCTGTTGTTGCCATTGTGTGATATATATCATTGCCCAAAGTAGTCAAGCTGAGTTGAACTCCATTAAATGTGATATACCAAAACACTGGAGGAAAAATACATGAGGCAAAAGTATAAGTGTTCTGCATACTAGGTACCTTTTTGGCCCACAAAGATGATCTGGCGAAATAAAGCTATGAAGAATGATCTGCAGAAAGACAGAAAAAAAGTGAACACAACTTCAACCAGCTAAGAAGGTTACAACTTCTTGAATGCTTATATTACACAAAGAAAGGTAAAGTTAAATATATCAAGAAACAAGATTAAAATCTTGATTGTGAATTGCTTTGCTGTACCCCTTCTTTTGCATGATATTACACCTACGGAGCATATTTTACACAAAAACTTATGGTCACACCACATGTTAACCTTGGTGAGACAAAGTTTTTCCCTCTTTACCTGTTTTCTGCTCTTCTGTACTCAAGTCTTGACCACCCATTAGTGAGACTGAACAAGGTATGGAAACTTCTTTCAAGACAGTATAGTGCTCTTTCTGAAATAAGTTGGAGTTAAAGAAAAATAGTTATGACTTGTTCCTTAGCAGTAGCTGCAGCACTACAAGAAATAATATCTTTGATTTGAAAAAAAAACAGCAATAAAAATTAGTGTAGGAAATAAGCTGTCCTTTTTATCACCTGAACAAATAACACAAATTGTGAACAAAAATGTTTTCACTCTTTTTCTATGGGAAATCAATCAATCATTTGGCAAGCCAATTGACAAAACAACTGCTGAGTATTAGCAAAGAAATAACTTCATGTTGGTCAAAGTAATGACAATGTAACAATCCAGCAACTTTTCTTTTTTTCGGCTGCAAACCTAAAAATAATCTGTTCATGATTAGTGGCAACATAGGAATTCAACCAAAAGAGAGGATCAAAATGGCAAAGATAGCAGAGATTGTCCAGTCACCTATCAGCTCTGCAGCCATCTGGTAATCTTCTCCCATCTTGCAGATCTCACTGAGTTGCAGCAGAGAATCAATATGATATGGATGAGTGTTTAAAATGGCCTGAAACATAAAAACACAGACATCATCTAGATTACTGAAAAATAATTTTGCTTAATTGGAAGCTGTGCAGGAGATGCATTGGCCTACTGGCTGGTGCAGAAGAATCTGAGCTTCTGAGGGGTTCAGTTTCTGCCCCTGGCCACATCATTGTGTTGTGTTCTTGGACAAAAATACTTCACTCTCTTTACAAACAAGAGTTTAAAAGTGCTCTCGAGGAAATATCAGGGAAACATGAAAATTGATACTGGAGGTGGGTGGGGGGGTTTGGGTGAACTAGTAGCCCATTCAGGGGGAGTGGCAATAACCCTGGTCATAATCTTTATAATAACCTTTGTAATAATCCGTAATAATCCCTCATGCTTCAGAAACCAGAATAAGATATTGCTGGATGGGCCTTTTGGCTTAAGAGCAAAGATTACAATTGTTTACTGGTGCAACAGAATAATTCACATAAAGAGATGTGGTTTGGATGTAATGCCTCTACTGCCTCTAGAAATATGAATTGGATTCATGGCTTAAGAGCACTTTGTCTTTGTTTAAAGGCTGTGACAATAATTTACTTACAGAAATGTTATTGGGATGTAATGATTCCACTGCCTCCAGAAATAAGAACTGGACCTCTTGATAAGATGGAGAGTGTTCAAATGCAAAGTAGCAGTAGCTATAAATTTACAGAGGAAAAAATATCAAAAAGAAATATTTGTGCGATACAAATAGCTTACACCAATTGACCTAATGTTACTTACACACTAACATCATTATGCATATTCTCCATACTGTTCTCTATATATTTTCTAAGATGCTGACAAGGAGAATTCATTTAACAATCAAGAGCTTCTTTAGTTGGTAATCATTTTCTCTATTCCCGTGACCCTGATGAGTGGTTCAGGGCTGATACAGCAAGGAGAAATTAGATGCTTATCACTTTAAGGATGTAAAAGGTTAATAACTGAATTGTGAAAGGTCAGTGTAATATCATTGGGTCAAGCAACCCAACCTTTCAAAAAGCAGACCTAAGTGATCAATGGGCACCTTACCCATGTCTTGTATACAGAAGCTTCATGCTCACTCCTGTGAAAGCAAAATTATCAAACATCATATAAAAAGCTCAGTTATGCACGCATTCTGATTGGTTCTCACTTATGATCTATTGGAGGACAGTCGTATAGATGACGTCATCATTAAAAATCTTTTTCTAATTCTTTATTATATAAAACAAATAGATTCAAAAGATAAGAGTGGTCATGACATGAAATATGAAGAAACATATATGCATTTAACAATTCAATTTTTACCAGTTGCTTTTATGGGTGGCCATGTTGACTTCACTGTAACCAGCCTGTTGGAATAAAAACATAACTTCTTACAATATTTATGAACTATTTAAAACCAAATTCAAAGCATTACCACCTAAGAAAGCATGATTTGACACTCTTCTCACACCATGGCTACTTATGACAACTTAAATGCCACAACACAACCTTTCCTACACACTCACTGAGACCATCCATGCACATAATGAGAACATTGGGCAGCCCTCCATATCATGTATCATGACTTATTTGGTTCCCTTGGTACTTAACAGAAATCCAATGTTTAAAGGAGCTCAATATTTAGGTCATTATACAAAATGTCTCTTTTTGGCAATCAATTTAGGGTTTCAGGTCACCAAATAAAGACTCTAAAAAAAGGGTACAACATTGAGAATGACAATAGTCTAGATCTGAATTAAGAAGGTAGGAGATGCCCTTGAAAATTGTTTAGGTTAGATTTGTCTTTAGACTGTAATACTTCTGTAAAAACTGCTATTTCTTATCTACTGCAGAAGTTTCAAATGATCAAGTGAAAAAAATCTTTACAGGAGATTCTAAAGATAAATTGCACAAAAAGAAAAACACAAAGTGAAGGAATGTATCCTGTAAATGTATAACAGATATCATATAAATTCACCTTGTTGAACGATGATAAACTCGCTGATGTGCTTTTCTCTGCCTGCAAAAAAATTATTGATTAGTAATGATAATTGAACTGAGTGGAGTGCAATTTTGTCTGAAATCATATGCAAGATTTCAAAATCAAGTGAGTGGCCAGCACTAGTAGTTTGATTTGAAATCACAGCTATGATTTCAGACCAAAATTTATGAATAAATTATGAATAAACACACCAATGGGAGTCAATCAGATTACATGGATCACCAGTGATTTCAAAATAAATGTAATTCCTGAACAACTAATTCCTGATCTTCACATGTCGTTTAAAAAAAATCATCATTAGCAGTAGTTAAAATAAAGCCTGGAAAAAACAGGCTTTATTTTTATTACTGTTTAAGTACTGGGGTAGTGATCACTCTCATTGTCACTTATCAATCTTACCTTTGTTCTGCTCTGACAATGTGAGATCCAAATCTCCTTTTCATCTCATTCTCAGCATTTAAGTTTCTAGTTACAAGAAAAAGTAGCAAGAAATCAGGGTAAAAACAGCATTGCATCATAATTGTAACTAGGGAGGCTTGCAGCACTTCAAGCTGCAGTCATTTTGGTCACAATGAAGAGTAGGAAACTAAATTTGTAATCTATCCTTCATTATTTTATTATAATAATTATTACTATCATTATATAAATATATATGTTTTTTTTTGGGGGGGGGGCACTTCATGACTTTTTTGTAGGCAAATAGCCATTATTATTAAATAAATGAAATAAATATAAATCCAAGAACAAAGGGAAATAAAGCTTCAAACCTATGTTACTAAGACTACAATTTTAGCTGCAGGTGAAGTACTTAAGACAATCGCCAGCAGAGGAAAAAAGAAAGGCCAATTTTTTGTACTTTACTCAACCTAAACTTTCAGGTGAAAAATGTCAATTTCTGGAAGTCTTCTGATTGGTTTGTTCCTCACAACAAGAAAGATAGTTCCAGTATCCTTACCTGTGTTCTACATTTAATACAGCTTTTGTATCCAGAACCTTTGAGGTACTCTCTCCAAAGGTTGTTACTGGACCTGGTTGGAGGAAAAATTTATAATATTACACCACATTGCTTGAAAAGGATTAAAAAATGAGTACAAGTTAAATATATAAATAAATTGGACTGAAATTAGATTTAAACCTACAGCATATGTTTCGCCTTTTTGCTAAGAGTAATGAAAGAACGCAATTTTATTTCATAAAGTGTAGTATTTTACAAGGATTTTCAGCCCTGAGAAAAGCCACAACTGTATGTGCAAAGTTATGATTTTTTTAATATCACCAATCAGGTGCTGACAAATCACTTGCCTTTCTTGTCACTCTTTCAGGTGGATGAACAAATGGTAACTGTTTACAATTCTCAAACCAAGGTCATTTGTCAAATTTCCTTGTTGGTAAAAGCATATGGTGTTTATACAATAAACAAAATGATACATGCTTACTTGTAGATATGGAATTTCCCCTCTTGTGCTCCACTTCACATCTCAAGAGTGAGTGCAGCAAACACAGAGAAATGCCATACAGATCTACATGTACATGTGCTGATGTATCATTCTCTTTATTCTATTACTCTGAAGGACTTTTTGCACTAGACATCAAACAAATCACCCAGATCAGATGTAAATTATATCCCTGAAGTAAGTGAAGATAATACAACACACCAACTGATGGAAACAACCCACTAAATTATCCCAAACATGGGACATTTACCCACATGCACTCTGTCTAGTTATTTTTTTACCAGACTTTTTATCCTCAGGTTTTGGTTGATTGTTCACTTTGGTAATAGCTCCATCAGCGCTGTCTCTTTTCTGTGATGAGAAACCACACGTAAAAGAATTTTAATGAATAACGGTCACATCAAGTTTTTCTTCTGTTAACTTATTTTCTGATTCACTGTCATTGTAATTTTGGTCATTATACAGCAGTTTACCTCCCTTTCAACAGAGTAATAATGTTTAAAAAAAAATTTTAAAAAAACTAGCCCAGATGACTATTTTAATGCCAAAAGTGAATTCAGCTTGAAATTATTTTGAACTTCCAGAGGTTAAATTTGTATTCTCATATGTTGCAGTCAAATCACAATGACTTTTAGGTAAAAAAATTAAAATGGCAAAAACTAAAAAGCAAATTAACTTAGTTTCAAATTATTTCATGTTGGATTCCACTTAAAATCTCCAACATCTACCTCACCATATCTTCATACCTTAGTTTAAATTTGATCTTGAGGTTAAAATCTTAATCAAGCATAATGCACACTTGGATTTAGGAGCCAAAGTGCTTCTCCTCCCCCCCTTTTTTTCCTGTGTAGCCCCCCTGTCACTTCAGTCAATAGTTTATCCTGATAGCCACCATTATCCCTTTACACTCCTGGGGGAGAGAGAGGCACTGTAAGGGTAGAGTGTCCTGCCAAAGGGCATAAATTACTGATGCCACCTGGAGATAAGTTGATCCCTATGTATTAGCTGTTTGGACCCATGCCAGTGTGGTATACACAGTCATTAAGGAATAAAAGCTCTCTTTTCACACAAAAAAGCACCACTACAGGTCCACACAGGGAGAGAGAGGGGAGAGAGAAGGGAGGAGAATGGTTCAAAGAAAATTCAATTCTTGATTTTATCCACTTATTCTAGTAGTTCATTTGTAATTTCAGTATCCACTTACATTCACAACTTTTCCATTTTCTGTTTCTCCTTTTCCTTTCTTCTTTTTTTTCTTCCTTTTCTTTTTAGGAAGCTGTTTCTCAGCTATTTCCACAGGGCTGGGTTTCTCTTCATTTACATTATGTTCCAAAGTCTCTGTTAAACTTTCATCTTCTTGATCATCCTCAGAGTCTTCATCAGATTGCTCATCCTCAACATTTAACTGACAGGGAAGCAATAATAAAGTGTAATTTCAAGGATTATGCAGTAGCATGCAATAAACTTAGTATTGTTAAGAATCATGTACACAGAAACCCCACCTAAGAATCCTGGATTTTGCACCAGAGGTTTAAGTAGTTCACAAAATGTAACTTGCTAATATCCTTCAGAAAAACTACAATAACTATAATAGGTTCAAAATCTTTAACTCAACCCTTTTAACTCCCAGAACTGATTGATATGCAACTTCTCCCTTTAACATCCATAGCTTATCCTGCAAACCAGTAATGAGAATACTGAAACTTATCTGATAAAAGTTGTTATTTTGACCTAAACAAATTCTCTCCACTACAGTACATGTACAAGGAAATGTCTAGCAGATGGAGGGGAGAATTATCAATCAAATCTTGGGAGTTGAGTTCTCTCATTACCTGTTTTAGGATAATGCATGGATATTATAAGGTGAAGTAACATGTTAATGAAGGGTTAATTTTCATCACTTTATTCCCCTTCTAACTCTGAACATGTAAGTCTAATAAGTTAATCATTTGTCAGTTGATGTGGAATGGAAGCTCCTGGCATGCTATTTCTGCTATTTTTGATGAAGTTATTTTCAACTTATTCATAATGAATGTATGAATTAAGAAATTTTGAACCGCTGACCAATTTACAAGAATCGTCTAACAAACAAATAGAAAATAAATGGATAGATTTTGGATAGAAATGGATAGGCCTCAAGTGAAGAAAAAAAACAAAAAAGTAACGAAATTTATCCTTCAAATTATCTATAATGCTTAAAAGAGATATAAACAAAGTCGTTGCGTTGTTTCTAAATCAACTGATGCATTAAATGCATGTAGCACTCACCAAATCAAAAGGATTTACAACAGGTTTTCCTCTCTTTTTTGACTTGACTGGAGCTGCAAGGTTAAAATAATCTTCATCCTCTTCATCCCCATGCGATATTTCTAGTTCATTTTCACCTTGTAGCTTTCTTAAAAGTCGAGAGGACATCTTTAGATTATTGCTGTTCCCTCTTCCGGGGCTTGGTGGCCGCGCACTTTTAAACTTAGCCGCCACGCCAGCGCGACGTTTGAAGTGTCACGCTAACCAGGAAGCTCTGGACGAAAGCGTAAGGAACGAATATGGCAAGGATGAGATCTATTCTTGTTCTCATCACGTATGCGTCGATTTTTCTTCACGTTTCTTGTGGATGGAACACCTACACCTCCAGATTCAAACAATTTTCGCACATCAAGAGTAAAACTCCAAGCGACGTGCAGGAACAAGCAGTGAGCGACTTGATTGCTCGTCTGATTCCAAAGTACGCCTCCAAGTTTGTCATAAAGGTGAACTCTAGTCTCGGACCGCATCGAGATCTGGACACTTTTGAATACGTCTCCGATACCAAAGAAGGAAAACTTGTGATAACTGGAACAACAGGAGTTGCAGCAGCTCTGGGATTTCAGCACTTTCTCAAATACAGCTGTCACGCTCATGTCTCTTGGAGTGGTGATCAGTTGAAGATACCAGAACCTTTCCCTGTTGTGGAGCAACCTGTTACAGTTACCAGTCCAAACAGGTGTGTTATGCCTAGCCCCACTCCTCATGGGTTACTATAGTACACTTACTGTGAAGAGACACACCTCATTAGCTTTCAAACTGGGCCTTAAATTCTTGTCACCTGTTTTCGAACATTTTAATGACATTGTTAGCAAAAATTTGTTATTGGTGGACCATAAGCTCACTGATTTAGATTACTGAGTAACAATTAAAGTGGAAAGTAGCTCATGTTGTAGACTGCCAGACTGCCGTGCGAGAGTACGAAGGTTTAAGCCCCGGGTCGGACCAACACTCTTAAAATGACTGGGGAGAATGTGTTGCCTTTGCTATTACATCTGCAAATAGTTGGACATTCCAGTATTCTCGGATAAGAACAATAAACCGTAGGCCCTATCTCCAGTCTCTTCTCCATAACGGTTAGCAAGGCATGTTAAGGAACCCATGTTTTGTGGTGTTAACATTTTAAAGTTCCCCCGTATTAAAATACTTTCTACGTAGAAAGAGGTGGGGCATTGAAGGAAGGAAGGATAAGTGCCTGGATGTGAAATAAACTCCTTTTCATGTGGATTTAATTGAATTAGAAATAAAAAATTAATGAAACATTACACCTTCCACACACTCAAAGTGCTAACCAGTATAACATCTTCATAATCAATTTACTTTTGTCAGATTTCGCTACTATCAGAATGTATGCACTGTGAGCTACTCTTTTGTTTGGTGGAATTGGACTCGGTGGGAACGCGAATTAGACTGGATGGCCATGAATGGCATAAATCTGCCATTGGCATTCAATGGACAGGAAGCGATGTGGCAAAAAGTATATCTGAGAGTGGGTCTCACTCAACAAGAGCTTGATCAGCATTTTGGGGGACCTGCCTTCCTGGCCTGGTATGTGCACAGTTAATTGGTGATTCTTAATATTAGAACACATTCACACAACTGTCTCTTTGTACATAAAGCAGTCTTAGAATTCTTGCCTTTCTATGAATAAGCACCTCTCTAACTGACCACAATGTTAACTAAGCACCCCCCCTGAATGAGCTGCTTCACACTTGTGCATGTTTATAGGCAAGAACTGCAGCGAGGGATGTATGACATTGGTTACATCTATCACTTTCATCTGGCTTTTTAATAGTTACTGATTATTGCTCCTAACTACATGCTAGGAATATGAGAGAAATCTGTAATCTCAAAAAAACAAAAAAAAACCAATCATATTAAACCACATTGTACAGAACAAGTACCAAAGCCACCCCCCTTACTGAGATAAGGGTCTCCTTGAATTAATGAGCACTCCAAGTCTGATCCTAAATTAAAAACAGGAAGTATGTTAGGTCCTAATTCAAGGGTTCATGGTACCTCCATTCAGGGGACCAAACTTTTTTCTAGACTGAAGAAAATGATGCCCTTACATTCTCTAAATCTGTGTCTTGTGACACCTTTGGTCAGGAGAAAATGTTTTCTTGCATACAAAAGCTTCAGTGTACTTAGGCAAATATAGCTGTGGGACAGTTGAACAGAAAATTTTATGATTTGATTTTTAGTTAAATTTTTATGAGTGTTAAATTTTTTGAAGTCGGTTTGTAGTTATAAATAAGAGCTTACTACAGAAACCCTCAAATTTAAGCAGCATAACATCAGGTCATGATGTTAGTGAACAAAGGAAAACCATAATTTAGATAAAACCCTTTAAATAAAAACAACAAGAAGCAGTGATAATGATACCAGATCTACAAGTTGACTTAATTACCCCATTCACACCAATTTGTTTTTCCTGAAAAAAGGTCTATTTCTTTTCATAGAAGGTGCTTACAAGGCACACTGAATAGACAAATTAGTGACTAATTGAATCCTGTGGGAAGTTCAGTTTTTCAGTTCTCTTTATGATTTTTATTCAGTTAAAACCGGTTTAGCTAAACATGTTTTGCTAGTTTGAATATGGTATTAGTCTCACAGTAATGAAAGGCAAATGCCTTTATTTTAAGCATTTCACTGACACTGCACAGCCAGTTTAGGTTAATGTGTTACTCTGTGACCTTGTTGCAGGGCAAGGATGGGTAACCTGCGTGGTTGGGGAGGCCCTCTTCCTTCCTCATGGCATACAAATCAGCTGGAGCTGCAGCACAAAATCTTGGACAGGATGCGAGCATTTGGAATGACACCTGTCCTGCCAGGTTTTGCAGGACATGTTCCAGAAGGTTTGATCAGAGTATATCCAAAGGCAAATGTTTCAAGACTTTCTGAGTGGGGTCATTTCAACAGTACCTTTTGCTGCACATATCTCTTGGATCCATCTGACCCTCTTTTTCAGGTAGGTGTCGCCTTCTAGTACTTCAAATAATGTTATGTGTCTACAGAAGTAGTCTGTGTGTTAAGGCCCAATGTTGTTTGTTGTAACAACACTTTACACCTTGTGGAAAATGTTAATGATGGTGCACTGGTGGTATCAAGTAACATGTGTGTTCTGTACATCCTTAAAAGTCAAAGGCCCAATGTTGTTTGTTGTGACAAAATTTCCACACCCCTGTGGAAGATGTTATAATAGCTCATGAGTGGTATCAAATAACATGTGTTCTGTATGTCATTAAAAGTCTACATACAGAATCCAGACTTGCATATCTACACAGTTGCCTTAGCTTTTCTCAGTGTCTCTAGCACCTAATCCTTTCTGTCCCAAAAGTGACTAGAAATGAATTTCTCCTTACAATATCATTACATTTTCAAGCAAAAGGGTATTGAGAAGAGAGAAAGATATCAGTGGGTATCAGTTTGAATAATTACATATGAGTTATTTATTGGACAGGAGGTCTATATAGGGTGAAACCGTGTCTAAGATCTTCAGCTGAGGGCCTTTCTTAAGAGCAAGGTCAAATTTTTTTCCCTTGTGTACAAACATAGAAATATGAAAGATGTTGTTTTTTCTCCTACTGGTTTGCTTTGGTTTTTCTGTACTCATGGCAAACTATGACTGTTTCAGAAAATTGGGGGATTCTTTATCAAAGCACTGATCTCAGAATTTGGCACAGATCATATCTACAATGCTGATACATTCAATGAGATGACTCCACGATCAAGTGACACTTCATATCTGTCTGGCGCCAGCAAAGCAGTGTATGAAGGAATGCTTGCTGGAGATCCTAATGCCACCTGGCTTATGCAAGGCTGGCTTTTCCAGGACACAGGTTTTTGGAAGCCACCACAGATCAAGGCATTGTTACAAGGTAACAAAGTAGCAATTGTTTTGTTTAAAAGGGGAATATACATTAAATGACATGAACATTGCACTTATGAAAGGAAAGGCAAGGCTTTCAGATAGAACATAAACCTCTATTGACTTGATGTCTTCCTAAAAGAAAAATTGTCAATGAAAAATCAATTTGTGGAAATGATAAGTATCTTAAAATTAGTAGTTAGTACATGAACAAATTGTACACAGATTAAAAGATGCAACTTAATTTTTTAACTCCGGACTGAGATAATTGAATACTCAGCAGTGAGTAATATTATATACCTGTGGCATGCAATATTAACTTTATTTTCTATCCTTTAAGGGGTGCCTCAAGGTAAAATGATTGTCCTAGATTTATATGCAGACGTTCATCCTGTTTGGCAAAGAACAGAGTCCTTTTATGGACAGCCATTCATTTGGTGTATGCTGCACAACTTTGGAGGAAATATTGGTTTCTATGGCAATTTCATGAATGTCACTACAGGTATTAAATGACATAGAACATGTTATGGGGTTTATGACAAGGATAACCCTGAGGATGAAGTATTCCAGGGAAATTCAGTTGGGATAGTTTGACATGCTTCTTATCCTGTTTCATCTTGCTTTTCATAGGGAATTTTTATTGATGGGGTATTTAACTGGGATAACCCTGGAAATTCAACTGGTGGTGTGGGACATGCATCTTCAAACCTCCCATCCTGTATAAGACCCTAGACGAAAAAAAATTATGAAAACTTGCTGTTATACCTAGTTACTCAAACTTTGTTTCCAGAGAGTATACAAAAGCAGGTTTAACTGGTACAATATGAAATGAAATTAGGGTAAGAACTTGCCTTCAGGATTGAACAACAGAAAAGTAGTTAACATGGTGGGTACCTGAACTACTGATGTACAATGTGAGCTATGATGGTAACAGATGAAAAAACTAGAGTTATTTTCACATTGATGAAACCTTGGTGAGAACATTAATTGGTAACTGTTACTTGAAGTGCTTTTTCTTGGCAATCATAATTATTATGATGAAACAGTTAAGTTTTATGTTCATTTATGATCACTCATTCTTGACAACTTGCTGTATTTATCAGATACTGGTGTGCCTGTGAATCACTGTAAAACCATTGTACTAGTTCTTCTCTCTCTTTGCCCTTGTCTGCAGTTTTTTTTTTCAATTTTTTTGTTTTGCCAGGACCAGTCAATGCTCAAACACATAAAGGCTCCACCATGATTGGGACTGGGTTAACACCTGAAGGAATTGAACAAAATGATGTTGTCTATGAGCTTATGAATGAGATGGGCTGGAGATCTGAAGCAGTGGACATTCCCTCCTGGGTGAAGGAGTACTCCTACAGGAGATATGGTGGCACAACTAACTTCTCACTAAATGCTTGGAAGCTGCTAACACAGAGTGTTTACAACTGCAGTGATAGACATCCAGATCATGTTCGTTCTGTCATTGTGAATCGGCCATCACTCGACATGAGATTCAACCTGTGGTACAAGCCTGAAGATGTGTGGAGTGCATGGGATGCAATGATACTGACAGCAGAAACCTTTAATTCAGTGGAACCATTTAGGTGATATTGCATTAATTTTTGCTTAGATCACTTGTACAGTGGTCTTGATGTATGCAGCTCTGCCACAGTGCATACAACTTCAACTTGAATCTATCAGGAATCCAATTTATTGATGCTCATGTGAAACAAAGTTAGAATCCACTTTATTTGCTTATTCACAAGCACAAAGATCCAGTAGATTGATTGTGTGTAAATAACAAGCATTTTACACTCACCTGAGTGTATTTTTATTACATGCATTTCCAGTAGTATAGTTAAAAATATGAGTAAATTTTTAAAAGACAACAAAATTGCATTCAGGAGCCCATAGAGCAAGTGCAATTTGTTGGAGTCATCTTTTGTCATAAGCTTTTAGTTGTTCATTGTGCAGGAAGTAACGCCTCAAAAAAAAAAAAAAAAAAAAAAATGCAGGTAAAAGTTTCGACACTATTTTTCTCCATGGTCAGAACATACCTGTACCAACATCAGGCTACAATTCCATTCAAAGATATTTTATATTTGCTAGCATAGCAGCACCTGTAACCATAGTTTACCTTTTCACTCTTTTTAGATATGACCTAGTGGATGTAACTCGACAGTCCCTGCAACTGATTGCCATCACCAACTATGATGACATGATTGCTGGCTTCAAGGCCAACTCAACATCTGCAGTGCAGGCTGCTGCTGCCAAGTTATATGAAGTATTTGTGGACATGGATGCAATTCTGTCATCCAATCAATACTTCCTCCTTGGACATTGGCTCAACAGTGCAAAGGCCCTTGCAACAAACTCTCAGGAGAAAGAATTGTATGAGTACAACGCTCGTAACCAGGTTACTCTGTGGGGTCCTCGTGGGAATATCGATGACTATGCTAATAAGATGTGGGGTGGACTGGTGAATACTTATTATAAACCACGCTGGGAGCTATTTGAGTCGTACCTTGTTGATGCAATTTCAAATGGAACTAAGTTTAAGCCTGATAAGTTTAATGCAGCTGTTTTAGATCACGAAACAAAGTGGACACAGGGTACAGCATCCTTTCCAGATGCTCCTGTTGGTGACACTTTGACCATTGCAAAAAAGTTGCATGGAAAATACAGGCCCAAGAATGATCAATTTTTTTGTTGCTCTGTGAACATCTAAGGCACATTAACGACGATGGAAGACAACTGAATGATTCATACACTTGCAAAGTATTGATTGTTTCTAGCGCAGTTTGGTACTGTAGTGAAGGACTACAATACACAAACATGCCCAATATGAAGTTCATTATATATATATATACATGACTGAAAGCAATTTTCTGAAAAGAAACTTAATTACTTTCAGTGGAAAGTAGATTATGATAAAATGTGAAGTCACAAAAATTTTTACAGAGTGGTCAAAGAAGAAATATATACGCAAGGTTTTCCCAGAGTTTTTTTAAGAAAAGTACTTGCTGTCGAGAAAAAATAGTTTATCGGTAAAACTGATTATTTTACAGTAATGATTTTTTACGGAGTGATGAAAGCTGAAATACATACAGTGTTATCTCTTTAATTTTGAAGTTTGTGTTTGTGGCTTTCAATTTTCCTGTGATCTGTATCATCACCTTTTGCTTTATCCTGGTAGGAACACTTTTTTTCCATTATAATTTGGTTTTATTAACTGAGTTGCTAATTTAAATTGGCCATCTTGAAGAGTTCGTACAGTCAAAGTTTCCACCGCTAGCACTTCGTTTGTACTGACCAAGGGCTAACACTCGAAACCTCAGCTTAAGCCTCAATTCTTAAAGGTGGCCAATTTACACTATCAACTCAGTTCAAAGTACCAAATTCTCTTGTTAAATCCCCACCGACGCAGTACCACAGTTTTTTTAGACACTTACCCCCTTACTTTTTTACATTGTTTAGGCGAGCAAAAGCAAGGGTAAGGGGCATAAGGAGAAGTTTCTTCTCTGACACATGACTTGCTCTTTCTGATCACCTTCAAGTTTGTGTCTGTTCAATTGAAAGATACAAAAAATTATCCTTATTCTGCATATTTGTATCTATTTCTAGTTGAAGAGGGGGGTGAAAGGAGGGGGTCCTGTACACATTCTACGGACATAAAAAATTAGAAATAAAGCGTCACGAACTATGGGATGTACGATTGTAAAATTCACGTATTGTGAAAAGCAAAAAATTCACAGTTCATGGGGTTTTCATTTCGCATTTTCATCGATCACAAAATTAAAAAGACTTAATCCCGTTTCATGCAATAAAAGAAACATTTGAAACGGTAAGAGCATATTCCGTAGAAAAAGTGAACGACATTAATGCTTTGTCTGTTCGAGTTATGCAGACTTAAACCTAGTAGAAGTGTGATTGTTGACTTTGAATTAAAACTTAGACATGAATTACAGCGCGTGGCATGGCACCTTTTTTATACAAGACTGATTAACCAGCTCGGTTTCCAAGATCTTGGCTCTTTTCTTTGCAAAAGGCTCAATGTGTTTATATGGAAAGATAGGCTACCCCGCTCATCGATATGTTGGTTTTTGAGACCGAGATTTGCAATTTCCTTATATGAACACTCCTTTTCGCTTCCTGTTCATCTCAGTGACTGAATTGAAATTTCTCATCAGTAAAGAAATTGAGCGGAGAACTACGAAGTTTATTTGACCCGCAAGTGAAACGCACAAATTCAGTCTAAAGTATTGCATTGCGTTTTGTTTTCCACTAATTTAGTTCAGTTAAATATTTTTCGTCATTCAGGTGGTCTCTTCAATCGATGATGACACACCTAAGTCACTTAAGAGAGATAGCTCTTTGTTCATAACCAGCAACAGTATTACATATTCTTTTGGTTTTAATGGATAGCCTTAATGTTGTTACGACTAAATGTCAAGGGGAACTAGCTATCGAGCACACCACGCCCGGCGAAAGGCACTAAGACTCTCAAACCGTCTTTTTCTGCTTTCTTCAATTACTCGGTTCTCCAGTACACAATTCCACTAACATCCAAGTTTATTTCATTCTGTGTAACTCTGGTTAATCCCTTAGGCTCTCACACGCTGATTCTCATTGGATACTTCAACTTCAACTGCGGAATTCTGACTCTACTCTACTGCACACTGTCTACGTCAGTTCTTCTCTGCTCTTCTTTCTATTTTCTCTCTTCTCTTTTCTCTCTTCTCCCCACTCTCTTCTCTTTTCTCTCTTCTCCCCACTCTCTTCTCTTTTCTCTCTTCTCCCCACTCTCTTCTCTTTTCTCTCTTCTCTTTTCTCTCTTCTCCCCACTCTCTTCTCTTTTCTCTCTTCTCTTTTCTCTCTTCTCCCCACTCTCTTCTCCCCACTCTCTTCTAAGTAAACTCTAAAGAACATGCATATATATTCACTACTGACTGATATGCGTGAGCATACCAGGTGGCTGACCTTGGGAGATCAGACATCCGTTGTTAAAACGCTAAACCAAACAATATCACGAGACTTTCGATCTGAAAAATAAAGTACTTAATCATAATGCTTCCGGTCAACTGAGTCAACCACTGACTGCGTTAGTCAAATCAAGAACTTTCGTGTGGGTCCAAGGCAAGGTCAGCAAACAAACTAAGCACGTCCACTTGAGGAAGTTACGGAAAAAGCTGTCACAATTTGGAAACTCATCACGACAGCTCAAATCTAAATAACTTCGGAATTCGAATTCTTACATTAAACACTTGCTTAATATAAACGATACACTGAGTTGCAGACGGCGCATATTTACTTGATGTCTCTAGCTGTTCACTGTGTTGAACTAGTAGATCTATGGAATGTACAATTTATAACAACACACTTGGAAAAGAGAAATAGCTGTTTGTGCGTATTAACCCTTTAACTCCATGAGTGACCAAGACAGAATTTCTCCCTACAATATCAATACAATATCAACCAGATAAGTGATGAGAATAAAGAAAATATCAATTTGGGGATAATTAGTTGATATAATTCTAAATTCTTGGAACTAAAATTATAAGAATTATATGGTTGACAGTAAGGAGAATTACAAATTTGATCTGGTAGTTAAAGGGTTAAGCAACAGAATACCATCTATGTTATATGAGAATGGCCGTGATGTTATTCAAAAGTATCTCAAGCTAACATCGGGCTTATTTACTGATTTACGTAGGTCATCAACTATCGCATGACATGATACGACTCGAAGTAAATTCTTAGTTTAATGCAGCATTGTTAATCAGCGTTGTCCCTAAACTATGATGGAGTATGCACTATAGAAGGGGAGTAAAAAAAAGGTAACTGCTCATTTGAAATAACCAGCATGATATAACGTGGCATCATCCAAAAGTATTTCAAGCTAATAATGTGCTTCCTCAGCGATTCTGATTTGTCATCAAGTTCATTGGTTCATTAAGATAATTAAAATCTTAGTTTAATGCGTCATTGTAAATCAACATTGTCCCCAAACCATGATGGACAAATAGCCTTTCGGTCCGAGCTGATCATGTATAATTTATACTTCATCCTAGAATCAAAGCAAACTTCGACTGACGCAGCATGACTTTCGAAAACAACTATTGTTAGAGTTGACTCAGATCAGTCAGTTGAGACAGGGGGTAAACCCCCTTTCGGAAGGAAAATGAAAGTAGTGTTTAATTGCGTATATGATAAACAATATTTTTGCTTCATTCCAGCTGTGAGTGAAACAATTTTCACGAAAACCCTCATAGCAGAAGCGTATCATAAGATTAGCAGTTTGGGATTTTTCTTGAAATCAACAGAGCGTGTGTTGACGAAAACACAAAGTCTGACACTTATTAAGTGAGGAGCTTATTTATAGATACACCAAAATGATTAAAACATGCCTTGTCTGCCTTAATGCAACTTTTCAACAGATTAGAGAGGGAATGATCATTTTAGGGCTTTTTATCGCAGAGGCAGACAATCTTGAGGGTCTGAGGCCGTACAGCGTCGGGTTTTTATCCTTTTAATTGATAGTTAAAATATTTGCTTTAATTTGCTTTGGTCGATTGTCGTCTTTGCCTTGATTTAAGCGATCAAGGCAAATTTTGATAGGCCTGAAGTTAGAGGGGAGTTATTGACGATATCCTGTTTTTTGCTCTTTACGGAGCAAGTTTTATCAAGATTTGAGAAGAGATGTTTATGATAAGAGATTGGGGCGAGAAAAGAACGACGCTGGGTCTAAGCTATATGCCAACCTTGTTCCCAGGGTTCCTCTCCCTTTCTCCTTCGAAAAAGTACTTTTGTGAAGAAGGACGAGAAAGGAGCCTAGGAGCGAGGCTAGGTTTGTGCCTCTGCTTTTCCTTTACTCTCAATCGTTGGGCCGTAAGAAAAAAAACTGGTTACCTGAGGTCCAGAGATCAAGTCAGTTGCGCTGGCGTGTTACATTTGTTAGTGAAAGGAAGTTAAGTAATCCGGCTAAGTTCTGGTATGTTTCGGCTGTGACTGGTCTTGTAACCTCCATATTTTGACTTGTCCTTGTCTATTTAGGGGTAGGGGCCGGTGCAGGGAGGGAGGGAGTGGGCGTGGTCCAGACATTCAGATGAAGAAGCTTAGACCAAAGCATGTTGCTGTCGCAAATGCATAAAATAACTTGGGTAATATTTAGCGATATTGTGAGATTTATACGGATATTTTTTCCTTTCCGATCCTTCCTCTAAGATCTTACGCTTTGACTTAACCCTTCGTCTTTCGCTCTGACGAAGGGCTAACACTCAATAGTCAGCTCTGAAACCCTTTACAGTGGCTTCTTTACATTATCAATTCAATTGATAAAACCAAAATTATCTTGAAAGAACGAAGTAGCCTTTTGGGTGCTAACCCAGCAGATCGTATGGGAGATCTATCTGTCATAAAAAAGGAACGTCACCAACCGGCTTGCTATAGCTCGACGGCAATAGAATAACAAGCAGAGTAGAGATAAAAAGGAGGGTAAGGGACTGGGTGAGAGGGAAAGCTGTTGCTCCGTGTGGAAAGAAGCCAACCACTGAGTCACATGACCGAGAGTGGTGCCTGATATCCAAGCTCGCAACTAACCACTTAACCGGAAAGTGATTACATGGTTCTTCCTTCAAGGGAACTATCTAAGGAACTTACATATTTGATGAGAATAAAAAAATTAGACAATTTTCCTAAGGTGCTGTATACTGTCCCGTTATCCTTGTGAGAAAACTAAATGCAGATAAATTAACTCCCCATAAATCTTTTCTTTACATAAAAAAGCAACAATATATCAACATGAAATCATTTCATCCGAGCATATAGTCTCACTACATCAGATATATTTTTTTAATAGATACAAGTAATGGAAGTACATATTAGTAGCTTTTAACACCTGAACTGAGCTTGGCTCAGAAAGGATAATCTGAAAGATAAGCGAACTGATGACTGACATATAAGTGAAAATTAAAGTAAGGCACTATGGTGTTTCATTACAGCAACAGAGAAACAATCAATAAGCTTTCTGCTAAGCGAGAACAAGTTGCTAAAGAAATTCTGCAAATTATTGCAAACACTATTTATACTTAACACATATCAGAGCAAAGCACAACATGCAAAGCCACAAGTCACTTCACCAAAGAATAGCCATAAAATAGTATTCAACATTTTACGAACTTAGGTAATAGCAGCGAGAACAAGAACTGCTCTTCCCTTCTAATAAAATTACCTAATAAGTTCTTTGTTAGTCTAATTTAATTGCTAATTGGCATGTTCCTTAAGGCTAGGGCAACAAAACACTACAGGTCTCTGTCCCTTCACTCCCAAGATCCTATAAGTAACTCTCCTTACTTTCTCCTTAATTCTGTCTTGGTCTTTCTTGGGAGTTGAAGAGTTACACATTGAATTCTGAAAAGCGAAATACCTCCTACCACACCAAAACGAAAAAAAAAATTCACATGCTGAAGGAGAAACTGTCATCAAGAGTTTACTTTATATCAAGTTATCATCTAAGTAATAGATATAGGCATGATTGTTCAAAACCCTAATCGACAATAATCTGCTGCAAGCTATACAAAACCAAACTGTTGCCGTGAAAGTTAAACTAGACCAATGTTAAACGAGTGGAAAGCACTTTCTACGATAACCATGTAAGACCATTAGTATCATGAGTGCATCCATTAAATTCTCAATCAGCCAATAAAAACTTAACATTAAATTATGACTCTGTTAAACTTGAAAAAATATGCATGTTGAAGTTCAATTTTATTCTGGTTTAAGTTTCATTTTCCTCTCCTTCAAAAGCATTAACATACATTTCCATAACCAAAACAAAGGAAACTGAAACTAACCAAAGGTAAATTGAACCACAAGTCAAGAGTAAATTGCATCTGTCTTTCCGTTTGTTAATTCTATGAAAAATTTTCAGTCTTTAAAAACAGAAAGATAGTCTAATCTGATACTGATGACAGTTCCTCCTTAAGAGCATGCAAACTTATTTTTCCCAAGACACTAAACAGGTTTACTTGCTTTCCTAGCCTCTTTTGTAACATGCATATTCAAAGTTAATTTTTATCAGTCACTCTAATAAATGATTCCAAGCATTCTAACTATGGAACAGCTAAAACTTAAAAGGTTCTGCTACTAAACAATGAAAGTTCCCTAAAACGGAAACAAGCTTTGCAGCTGAAGTCTGCTAAAATTTAAATACTTCCATTTATATCAGATAAGTTAAATTAATCCTAATTCTACTTTTTTGGCCTAAAAAAATGGACAAGAAAGTGGAGGGATAAACCTTTTCCAACTGATTAACATTCCCTGGCCCAAGTGGCAGAGAACAGAAACTGATACGTTAACTGTTTACCTCCAAACGTCTCATTTGTAATTCACCTCTGTAGCTGCAAATTTGCAAATTCATCAACACGTGGCATGAAAATTTTGTGGGTATAAGGTTTGATTTCTCTAATTGACAATTTTTTGTGTTTTGTAGTTTTAATTATTTGTTAGAAAATGTTAATGTAGATCATTGTTAAGGAAGGAAACCAAATCTTTTCAACTTTGCAACCTTCAAATACGAAATAAGCCTCTTGATTTAAATGTATCATAGTTTTTTTTGAGGGCAGTCAATGTTATTTCCAAATTTGAATGCTAGAAGACAGTAAACAGTTTTTAAATCAAGTTAACACCCTATAGCTGATAAGCTCATCTATTCTCCTAGGCTATTTGCTGAAAAATGTGTTTAAAATGTGAGAAGTTACAAATCATCACCTCTGAAAGTTTAAGGGTCAAGGGTGTGACTTCTAAACCTTGCTTAAGGGTTGCTACCTCCTCAATATACACATTACTTCAACAATGTTTTTATTTACCAACTCCTTAGGCTATAAATCCTGAAGAACAGTTTGATACAAGCTTAATTGCAACTTTTTTTGTGTGAAATTTATCAAATGCAATTTAATTCAGTCTTTCAATAGGATAAAACTTCAATGACGTTAAAAGAATGAAACAGAAGGTCTTCGTTTGGAAAAAATTCTTTTTAGACAAAAAAATTATACAAATTTTATAATTGTATAACTTAGTGTGATTTTATTGTTGTATGTATGAAAACTGATTTTGAAATCAAGTGAGAAAAATGCACCAATCTTATCACAGAGAACAATGGGATTCTCCTGTTGACCTATTCATTGGCAATTATTTTTACTTATTGGTGACTAAAAACAAAAAATTATTATATCAACATTTGTAATTAGCATTAAAATCAGACTGCTAAATGTGCCAGCTGTGAATGAATTTAGAGTCAAGTAAACTTAAATTACTATGTTAAAGCCATCTCTTTAAGCTAATGCCAGAAGTTGAGTGTATCATTTGACCAATTATGATTGACAGTTACAACAAAAGAACCATAATTAAACTTAATAATACAAAATTATAAATGTTTAATACTTCATATTAAAATGAAAATTAAGATTTCCAAAAAAGGATTGATCAAAGGTTCCTACAACAACACTCTTAATGAAACTTGCTTCACAAGAGATTATAACACATTTACACATCATCTGAGAGGTAAAATAATAGGCAGTAATTTTATTAATGGTTCAGATAAGCAGACGCAGTAAATAATTTTTTTTCCAGTCAGTTGTTTAATTTACATAAATTTCATAAAACCATATTTTCAGATATAATTTAAGAAGAAAGCTTAGGATAGATTTAATGACTAATAATTTAATAGTGATCATTACTAAGAGAGTAACCTTTTCTGAATTGTTGCAGAACTAAATGGCTGCAAAGTTTAACAAGCAAAATGGACACAAAGAACTTAAAAAATTGTGAGTGGGTTAAAATATCATAATTAAATGGTCTACAAGAACTTATGTGTCCAATGCCACTGATGGTGATAAAAACAAACAAACCCAAAACAAAATGTAAAGGATAGTAAACTACTGCAGCAATTCAGTATTACTTGGTCAAAAGTATACCAAAATTAACCAATCCACCATTTACAATTTCATGATTATCTGGAGGCTGATGCTTGCCGTTCCTCAAGCATACTGGTTAGTTTTCGTTGTAACACCTCCTCTGAAGCTGTTCGTTTAGCAGGTGGATGACTGCTCTGATCATCTTGCAAAAGAGCTCTCTTACGACTTGTCTCCCCACCACCTTGCTTCAGCATATAATTGATATCTCGTAGCTTCTGCAGATAATAAAATACACAATGAGAATAACTGCATAACACCTTATAAACTTGAAAGCTACAGTCCTGGGTATCCATAGTTTACTTCCTATTCAAAGATATGTGGCCTGCCCTGCCCAACATGAGATTGAGTTTTAACCTTCAAACCATGAAGCTGGAATTGTTGCAAGTAACGGAAAACAAGTTTTTCAAAATGAAAGAGGAAGAATGATTTATTTTAAAATTATTTAAACTATGTATTTAGTAATCTTTGAGAAGCAACTGTGGCAATTCCATTTGCTTTTCAGGTATGGACACAATCCTTCTTCAGTGCCCTTTATGCCTTGAGAGTTTCTTTCTGTTTCACCTATGTCTAATGTATTATCTTTGAAAGATGTGGATCAGAAAAATTATCATAATAGGAAGGAGGGTAACTAACACTTATAATTACCACGATAAAAACTTTAACAACAAAACAAAATGTTATTTACCTCGGCTGGACTTTCTTTAAAACAGTACAACATTCGTGTTGTTGGTGTCATTGACACTCCTGAGAAATAAAAGAAAAACATTACTTTTTCCACTTCTGTGGACTAAAATTTATCATTTATCAAGCTTTTTATCCAAAATTCATTTCATATCCATAGTATTTCGTGGAAATTTCTTTTGAGGGATTTCATATAATGTCTGGAAACAAATGTTAGAGTCCATCTCTTTTGTCTTCTTGTCCTCTGCATCCTAATTTAAGGACTCTTAATACTCAACCATTGACATCCACTTTATCTTCACATTCAGCTAAAGAGACAGCATTTTTCATTGGTGCAGTTTTTATACAGGAATACACTACTGCACTCTGTCTACATTCTTATAGTCTTCTCTTTTTTCTGTTTTCTCTCTTCTCCCCACTCTCTTCTCTTTTCTCTCTTCTCCCCACTCTCTTCTCTTTTCTCTCTTCTCCCCACTCTCTTCTCCCCACTCTCTTCTCCCCACTCTCTTCTCCCCACTCTCTTCTCCCCACTCTCTTCTCTTTTCTCTCTTCTCCCCACTCTCTTCTCTTTTCTCTCTTCTCCCCACTCTCTTCAAAGTAAACTCTAGAGAACAAGCTTATATGTTCACTACTGACTGATATGGGTGGGCATGCCAGGTAGCTGACCTTGGAAGATCAAACTAATTTATGGACTCTCAATACTCTCTTTATCTTCAAAAAATGCTTAAGAGGCAGTATTTTTCATTGTTGCAGTTTTCATACAGAAAACAACTTACCATTCTTGTGAGGTGAAATATACACTGGATATCGGGTTGAAACTTTGCGTCGTGGTGAGTGTGCTTGGTTTTTCATGACTGGTAGGGGAGACAGGGGAGGAGAATCCGTCTAAAGAAAAGAAATGGAACCATCAGTAAATCTTGGAATAAACAATCACTGTTTTGAATCACTTGCTTGCTGTCTGGACCAGGAAAAGCATTAATTTCATTTCACTAAAATCATTTGCCTGAGTTGCTTTTTAAGATCACTTACCATCATTAAAAATTTCAAAATTTTTATCATATACCAAAAGGAGATTGTAAAAAAATATCATGTAACTATGTAACTTCACTTACTGCTCTGTCTCCAGAAGAGAACTTGAGGGCAAAATTCTTTACTCTTTTAATGAACACCTGATTAAAAAAAAATTGATGAAGATAAGTGGTTATCCATTAGATTTTTGTCAAAATATTTGGCAAATTTTGGGTACAAATTTTCATTTTGATTGTTTTAATCCCAAAAGAATCTTCAGTGGAAAGAATTAGTGACAGAGTTTCTTCTCAAAAATCAAAACTCAGTCTCAGTCTCTACAATTTTGAGAGCCAAGTTTTGAATTCCATTTGAGTGCTGATGTAACTCAAGAAAAATAGATCTACTTGTCATTACCTTGTTGTAAAACTCAATGAGATCTCCTCTTTCACCATCAATGTTTGGACTGTTTTCTGTACTACTGGATCCAGAATTTGAAGCGCTGTTTGGAGGGGGAGTGGATGGCACAGTGCTTACACTCCTTATTGGGCTTGCTCTTGCACTACTGGAACCTTGTACTGGGCTGGCAGGTCCACTACTACCTGGTTCACTTTTAATACCTGTTAATAAATTACCAAAAAAAGTGTGAAGAGCTAAAATACCATTACAATATCTGTGGTGATCCCATGGGATTTTTCTCTACCTACAAATTTCTCTTCCCATTACAGGCAGAGTTGATGTTAGAAAATGAGATAAATGTATGATCTGAACTGAGCTGGCAGCTGAATTGAATTATGCTTGCATAGGAAGCATGGTAGGTTGCAAAGCAATGCACCTTTCAACAAGGGGTTTGGGAGCATGTCTTTCTTTCCCTCCTCCCCCCCTTTACAAACATACACACCACACACAAAAAAAAGTGAATTTTGAAATTCTCTGAGATGTGATTTTTGACATTTTGGGAAATATAAGAGTACCAGTAACTTTTTTTTAAAGCCAGACATTGATGTCAGAATCAGTTTAAAATACTTCTTTTCTGTCTTAGATCACAATTGACAAAGTAATGGGCACAAAAAAACCTGACATTAAGCAGGTCTCCCTGACTATCCCTGACTGGGGCAAGTCTTCCAACAGAGATGCTAAAATGCCATTTGTATCCAAAAGGAAGAGTTGACAAAAAAGAGATCAGTGCAGCCAAATTTCAAATTTGTGAAAGTCACTTCCTGCTCTGAAACCTGAAATATCCATAGGTAGGCTTCAACAAATCCTAACATAAACAAAAGAACACCGATACTCAAAACAATTCTTAATCTCACCTCTTGCTCCACCATCGCTGCCACTGCTGCCAAGAGGAGCTCTTCTTCTTCCTCTGAGAAGCACACTTCTGTAAACCTTTAGGGTTTGAGAAAGTTACCTTTTAATCACATAGTAAACCTTGAGAGAGATTAAAAAATTGAGGTTATTATTTTAAAGACCCTTACATGGCTGACAGCTTGCGGCTGAGTGCGGTAACACTTCATGATGTTTTGGAATGAAAGATCAGCATTTGTGACCTGAAAAATGAACAAGATGAACATGTCAGCTGACGCATGAATGTACAAGTATTGACACCCTACCTTAGAGAAGCAGATATGCTCTACCTGGAAGAACTACAGTAGGTTTAACCCTTTAATTCCCAAGAACTAACAGTAGATTCTCCCCTTCATTTGTTACACTTTTCCTTGTAAATTAGTTACAAGAGTTTGGCACTGTTAGATCAAAATAAGTTCCATATTCTTGTTACCTACTGCTGTTTGCTGGATAACATATGGGTACTATAATGTTCCTTCAGATTTCAAAAGCTTACCCCTTACAACAAGAAACTACACACAAGACAAGGTTCTACTCACAGAAAAAAATGGATTACCTTGCCCATGACATAAATACAACACATCAATATCTGATCAATGTGTCTGTCCTTCATCAGCTCTGTCACATTCATCAGTGTATGTTCAAAGCATGTCCACATCCTGTAAAACAGCAATGGGTTAACAGTTGGAATTGGTAAAATATATCATACACCAGGTGAGAAGAACAAAAAACATAGATAATGATTGTAGATATATGAAAATCATATGTGTGCACTGCAGTGAAAAAACGAATATAAGAGATCCTTGCAGCTATAAACACTACTGAACTGGTAGTTGAAATAAGATCTGAAAAAAATTCAGGCCTGTATGGGATTTGAACCCATGACCTCTGCGATGCTGATAGCCAATATCACTTTCCACGTTTATCGCTGTAGGTTTTCAACCAAAGAATTGCATACTGTATTAGGGTAGGCAAAGCCTGTGCTGGAGCCAAGTGGCCCATCCAGCTAAAGTTTATCCAGGTTTCCATAGCATGAAGCAACTAAGAGTAATACAACTCCCCCTAGGATAGGATGCCAATCCATCATAAGGTTACCCACTAGCATTTTATCCTCCTTCCCTGACAATACCAGTACCCTTTATACTCCTGGGTGGAGAGAGACACTGTGACAGTGAAACAATTTGTCCCATAACAAAACACAATGACCTGGCCAGGTCTCAAAACTAGACATCCCGACCTGGAGTCCAGCATAATAACCAATAGGCCACAGCATCTCCCACTCACACTATAAGTGGTATTCATTAAATCTGGGCAACAATTCCCAAGTAAAATAACAAATTTTGGCTGACAAGATTTTGAAGAGGTCCCCCCCTTCCTAATCTTGTAAGAACCCCTTCTTTAATAGGCCCCTTTCAGTAAGCCTTGGTAATAAGTGAGCCTCACAGTGGCTCCTCAGAAGGGTTTTGAGATAATCAGGAGACAGATATTAAGTGGGCACAAGTGTGAGCTTACTTTAGACGGAGCTCCTCATGGACATCCAGCTTTGTACACAAGTCTCTCAGGCGAACACTGGAAAGATGATAAACCTGTAAATCAACAAGAGAAAGTTCATCAGAAGAGAATGGATGACCTTTGCAAGCAAGCTTGAAGAGGCAGAGGGTAATTCTCCAGTTTTGTAAGCTTTTCTTTGGAAAGGAAAGCAGAAATCATTAAGAAAGTTAACCAAGCACTGTACTTGGGTAATGTTAAAGACAAATGTAAGGAGATATATATACCTTCAATATGTATAATTACACCTGACACACTTATAGCTTTGGAAAACTTCTCATTTCCAAAATTTTGAATATAACGTTCTTTGAGCAGGGTTTGCAGTTAAGGCGGTTCTCACATTACCTTTCTGAAAAATAATGCCAAGGAACCAGTCTTCTTGGGTTTAGTTGGAGTTACAACCTTCCCCTTAGGTGTAGTTGGTGTTGATGATGGTCTCACTGGACTGGATGTTGGTGATGCTGTAGTACTGCTGGTTGTTAATACACTACCAGCCTGAGGAGAAGTCACTTGTACTGTAGTTGAAGTGTTCGGCAACACTACGGCTTGATTAACTAAAAAACCACCACTATTTCCAGGAGCTGGGGTAATGATAACTGAAACAAGAATCAAAGAGTTTGCATTAAAAACCTAAATGCAGGAGAATAGCATGAAAAGGCTGCGAAGAGTTCTCTTGTTTGAATATATAGCTCAGGTCATCAAAATGTAACAAAAAAATTCTGTGTGGTAGTTCTCTTTTAGGGTTGTACAGGATGCATTAACACTGATCCTAGAAATCTGAAAATTAAGCTTACAAGTAGGTGCATTCCTTGCAGTTGTCTGGCGTGTTGTGGGTGACAGTGTCACTGGCTGGGCAGTCTGTGCAGGAGAGGAGCTGCCAAAGTTGACCATGAGATTACGCCGTGCACCACTGCTTGGGGTGACTGGCGAACTAAAGACATCATGGGCTGAAGGTGAGCTTGGCGATGGTAAAACTAAGAAAACAAAATGGCAAGGAGGAGCAATGTAAATCAGGTCACATTTAGACACTTAACCTTAGGGAAACAACATTCAACCCTTTCACTCCCAAAATCAAATTGGTAATTCTCCCCTCAAGCTGCTACACATTCCCTAGTAAATTAGTAATGAGAATTTAGTGTTAGATCAAGATAACAACTTCTAACTGATAAGCTTGAATATTCTCATTACCTATTTGCTGGAAAATGTAAGGATATTATAGAGAGAAGTTTCATGTTGATCACTTCTAGGAGTTAAAGGGTTAATTTCCATCAAGAGGCTAAAAAATCAGCAAACAATAACATTCCAACACAAATAAAAAGGTCCTGAAAAAAATTGTAGAGGAGAGGAAAGTTGTTAAATTTAAGGATAATGGGAAAAAAAATTGTGAGAGCCACTAAAAGCTGGTCTGAAATACACCTACTATGGTGTAAATATGGTTGAAATATGGCAGATAACAATCCATGGAAAGGTAGTAACCAATGATTTAAAAAATTCAACAAACTTATCTTGCTTCTTAGGAAAGACAGACATAGACGGAAAATAAAAATGGTGTTGTAATTCACCTCTCCTTGCAGCTCCTTCTTCTCCACATATCCTTTGAACACGAGGGTGGATAATTGGTGAAGCTAGCAAGTTTTGAGTGGTGTGCACGGATTCTGTTTGGTAAGGCAGGGATACATCTTCACATGAAGGAACAGAGCCAGCTTGTTGGATTGAATACCAAAGAGGTGAATCATGGCTCCATGCAAGGCATTCTAGAATCTGTTCCTCTATCTGGTTGAAAAAAGCACATGAACTGATTAAAATTTGGACAAGATAGTTTTATTACACAATATGCATTCAAACATCTATATTGTTCCATTGGAACAAAAAACAAAAAACACAAAACACAAAACAAAACAAAAAAGACTGCACTTCTATTTTGTTATACAGCCAGGTACATTTGATCTTGCAATAAGTAGTATTTTGAAATCACTGTGGGAGCTCCTTGTGCTGATTTAAAAGCAACAACTTCCTTAATATATTGTGGTTCAACATTTTCTCAATAAAACTTTTTCAATGGGTAATATTTTTCAGTTTTCCTATCTCGTGTTACTTACATGTACATAACCCAAACAAATATATCATAAAGATAACAATTATCTCTTCTTCTGCACCATCAGTCAGTCAAATCACACATAAAGGTCATGAGAATAATGGAAATCATCACCAACTTAAATAATAAATAATTTATTTAATTTATTTAATAAATAAAATAAATAAATAATAAATAAATAATAAATAAATAAATAAATAATGGAAATCATCACCAACTAAAAGAAGCTCTCAATTGTAAAATAATCCTTAAGAAATGTATAGAGAACAGTATGGAGACTGCATACATATGTTAGGTTGTAAAGGGTGTAAAGGAGCTAACAATTTTTTTACTACAGGAAAAAGATCAAATCTGTTCTGATACTCTGGTCATCTACAACTCACATGATTAAGATGCTTCACGACATCTCTTGACAGCCCATCTTCAGCTTTGATGAAAACTTCGATAATTTTGTAGAATGAGAAAGGACTGATTTCAAAGATTTCAATCACCCAAGGGAAAGTCCTAATGGTGAAATAATAACAAAAAAGAAGGTTAATTGTATTAAAAAATACAGATATATGGAGCAAATTTTGATTAAGTGTAAAAGAAATACGCAATTGCTTTGGTTATACTTTAATTTAGTATGTGTTTAATCAAGAAACTTGTACCACCTTGCCAACCAGTAGGATTCAAAACCAAAACTAAGGGTACCTTGCACACCCATGCAGATCAGTCAAGTTTTAAGCATTGAGCTGGGGACTTGAGCACTCTGCATGAATGCTCAAGTCTCATCCATTGAGCGTAATACTTGACAGCTCTGCATGAGTGCTAAAGCATGAGACTCAAGCAAACAAATTTAACTCTCAAGCTAAAGCCATTAATTCTGCCCATTTAAGGTTTGTGATTTACAACTGTTAATTTTGAGATCACCAACTGCTGCACTACTTAAGTATCAAAAATGTAAATTACCCTTCTAAACCTATTTTACTTCTAATTAAGAAGTACCAGCACTCACTTCAAACACTTTTAAACCATGGAAATTCTAGTTCTGAATAAAAGAATGCACATCTTAAGATAAAAATTTTACAAGGCACCACTACTTTTGGTTCCTCTGATTGGCTATTTTGTTTATTTCAGATTTAGTTAGACAGTTACCTTTGAGAGTTGTAAGAGAAAATTATGATTTCCAAACAACAGGCCATCAAGGAACAATGAAAGTTATCTTGCTCCAACAAACCCTGTGAAAAGTAATGAAATATGATTTAAAGCTCTCCAAAATCGAACAAAAATGTAATTATTGCTTCTCCAACTGACCCTTGCAATGCAATTTAATATGTTCACTCACAGTTAAATCAAGGTGTCCTTGTAACCTTTTCTTTTCCAGCAGAGTTATACTTTCAAGAACCTGCAAATATATTCATTTCATTTTGAACCACTCTTTGCCTATATATCTTAATCTCTACTATGTAATAGACTTCCAATGCTAATACACTGTACTAATAGCTTGTGTATTTTGTTTTCCCAATGAAGGTCTCAAAGAAATTTTCCTGATACCTTTTGTAAATTACTTGAGCTTATGCTGGTAACAAGGAAGTTTGATAGAAACAGCTCTCTACAATATTATCACATGATCTACTGTACATTGGAAACACAATCATACAAACTAAAAGAGGTCCATTTAATACTCTAAGATAGCTTGTTACTGTTTTCTGCAAATTTTAAAATTGTCTCAACTTTATACTTTAAAAGTTTGCCAACCCTTCTCCACCCTCAATTATCTTTTTTCCTTCTTTCTATCGTTGCCACTTAAAAAATTAATAGACGAGTGTTTTTCATCTCTATTTCATTATACGTTTACGATTCATGGTAGCCACTGATTTGATGACAGATAGGTACAGCTCAAAAGAAGGTAGAAAAATCTCATAGCATGGCTCCTTCAACAGTAAATGAAGAGTATCAACATAAAAATAAGAAAGCTATTGTTTGGTTGTAGAATACCACATTTATAGACTAACAGTACAAAAAAATGTCTTTTCTTACCTTGTAGTACAAAATTTCAGCAAGTTTTAATCTCTTGGTTGCAAATTCTCTTGTTGAGCAAGGAGACTTAGGTCTATCAGGAGATGGCTGTAACAAGATTTAAAAAAGCAGCAATAAGAACAAATGAAAATTAACTCACAAAATGATATTCACTGCAGTATGCTATAGCAACCGGATTGCACAAAAATTAATTTCAAGTCCAAGTAGCTCATACCTGTACATATTCTCTTAAGAATGTCTCCCCAAGTGTGCTGACACGACTTTCAATGGCTTCTTGAGGGTTTCTACTGCATTCCCTGTGACGAAAAAAAATTAACAAACTGTGAATAAAACTTAGTAGGTCTACATCCTATTGCACTCTGGTAGCTTTCTTTAAGGTTTGAGTTTTTTCAGGGTGTCATCTTGTGCCTGCAAGTTAAATCCCTTTCAGACTGCACGCAGTTATGGTTGCAGGAAAACTACTATTTCACAATAAGTTGCAAACTTACGAGAATATTTTCAGAAGGCCATCACTTGGTCCTGCCTTCAAACCTGACAAAAGAGCTTGTAGTCTACTGACTGATTGTGTTGCTGTTGAAACAGGAGTTATCCTATGTAACAGAAAGAATGCATGTTAACAACTGCAAATAAAAAAGTCACATAATCTATACATGTTGACATATTGAGATTGACCATACCCAGATAACTTTGTTCCAATGAACAGCAAGTACACTCTATCATACATTTTTTATTCCAACTAGCTGAGTAAAAGAAATAAGCAGAAAATGTATTTTTCTGTCACTCCAGTGAGATCCAGGGGATTTTTTGCTGACTGAATGAACCCTTTAACTCCCATGAGTGACCAAGACAGAATTTCTTCTTTGCACAATATCAATACAATGTCAAACAGGTAAGTGATGAGAATGGAGAAAAATATCAATTTTAGGATAATTACTTGATCCAATACTAAATTCTCTGAAGTAACATAATATGAATCACATGGTTGACAGTAAGGAGATTTTCAAATTTGATCTGGAAGTTAAAGGGTTAACTGTTTGTTAAGACTGCTTGCTTATCTTGATACAAATAATTGACACAATTCAGAAAAAAAAAAAGCTCAATGTTCTCTTTACTTATGGAATTTACCACAGAATTTGATAGTACATATGTAATTATACTAAAATAATTATTCTCCTCAAGCTCAGTGAAAATTGTTGAATAATACCCTTGACTGTGTCAAATGGATTATTCAACATTATTCACTATGCCTTTCGCTAACAACTGTTAGTTAGATTGAGAAATTCAACTAGGCAGTGTGTGAGAAAAGTCTGATTATTTCTTCTATTCATTTTTTTCATAATTGGAAAACTTACTTTGGGTCTTTCTCCTTTAAATAACGTCTTCCAGTCAGCGGTGTTGAAGGGGCTAAGCTTCTTGTCTGATAACAAACACAGTGTCAAAAATAACTCTGACTTCATTTAACATGCCCTACTTGTGTAAGAGTTTATCCAAGTGATGAGTGCTTTAAAAATTTAACAAACTTTCTTTCATAAAGAATCATTAGTCAAGGAATTTTATCATGAAAACCAAAGCGAAAGAAGTATATACTCACTCTTGTAAAGTGCTCCTGTAAGTTCCTCCTTAGTCCCATTCTACAAATGAAAAATATCTTTTTAGAAGTAATAAATTGTTTGTGATGTGAAAGCTTAAAAAAAATTCCAATCACAACAGGAAAGTATACACTCCAAAAGTGCTGAGCAACACATATCATCTGAGATATTGCAGTCCGAAATTGTTCATTCATGTAAATGATTGTACCTTTAAGGGTGTGGGATGTTCTGTAACAGCAGAAGAATTCTTTGAACTAAGAAGCTCAAAATTTAATATTTTGCCATCTAGAAATAATGAATCATAGTGAACCTTTGTTGCTCATCCACTTCAGCAAAAGTGTAAGACTTGGCTGGGGTTCCTATTTCAATGTGAGCTTCATCATCCAAGAAGATCCTTTCATCAAAATCACCGACAGACAACACATACTCTTCGTACTCTTTGTTGACAGATTTACTGTTGGGAAATAAAAAGAAAATTAGATCAAAACCTGTAATTTTTCAAAACATCTGGTGCAAGGGAGAAGACATTTTTCAGAAACAATTATTTAGGACTCAAAAAGTTGACAGAGTAGACATCAGTCTGGGTGGAAATACGGCAAGGGAAATAACAAGCCACAGGACTTCACCCTTTAGTCCCTAAGAGTGACAAACATCTAATTTCTCCCAACAATATCTCCCCAAAATCACAGGGTACAGTCATGAGGATATAGGAAATGATCACAAACTAGAGAATCTCTTGATTGTGGAACAAATTCTCCTTTTCAGAACATTAGGAAATATCTACAGGACAGTAAGGAGAATATGAATACTGATGTTAGGGTGCAAAGGGCTGACTCCCAGAAGTACTGGACATGTACCTTCTCCACATAATATCCATAAATTATACTGCAAACAGGAAATGAAAATGCTCAAAATGGCTGCCAGGAATGAAATTTTAGTCATGTGGAAAATAATGAAAATGAAAATGAAACAATATTTATAAAAAAAATGAAAACAAAGTATTTTAGTAGTATGATAATATAAAAAACCTAATAACATTAAAACTAGTGTTTTAATATTATTCAAATGTTTACTTTAGCCAAAAAAAACAAAAGAGAAAACCATTCAAACTTGCTTCCACAACAAATTTAGCCACTCAAGTTTTCTACTACCCTACATAGCCACCAAAAACAGTCACAACTTAAAGGGCATCAATTATGAATCCTGAGATGCATACAAAAAAACTCATAATTTTCCAAAAGTAGATACCCTTAACCAGAAGGCAGTGACAAACCTGGAGTAAATAACTGAACAGGCCTTACCCATTTGATTCAAAATTGCCTTGATCCAGAATTCCTGTCAGGTTCTCTTCGTTACCCTTCAATATCTGTTGGAGTAAAATTTTGCAAACATTATTCCACACTCTTGGGTGAAAAAAAACTGATCAAACATGGAAATAAACATTCCATAATGCCCAAACCATAAATCAAAGTGCTCTGTGAGTAAACTCGTGAATTGACACATGATTTTGACACATGATGTTTAATGTTATCTGGTTTAGGGAATTTTGTGGTTGATTGTCATATCTAGAGTACGAGCAGTAGTTCAGCATTCGCTAATGTAGCAAAGAAACAAAGTAACGTTGGGATAAGAAGGCATTACAATTGAAATGATCATGCTATTACATTTGACAAGGTGGATGATGTCATGTGTTTTAAACGTCTATTATTTTTGTTTCTGGTTCAAAAGAAAAGGTTGGAAGTAAATGTGGGTGAAAAGTGAAATGTACTGTCTTTCATTTTAAATATTAGAAAATCAAGGCAATACTGTCTTAATGAAAACATTAACGATTCCCTTTTTATCAAATCAGACAAACTGGAACGAGTTTTGAGTGATATAACTAAGCCAAGCCTGCCACCGTCATTTTGGATCTCTGCCTGGGTAGATTTAAGTCACGTGCTAGGCAACGTATAATCAATAACAAGATAGAATTTCATTTCAGGCCTATTTATCAATTTTGTGGTGTGTAACTTTCGCATTTTAGTACGTTGTATGTATGTTGAATCTTCAAATTGTCTTGAAACTTAAAAGAAAACTGTTCTTTAAAAATTCACTGAACATCGGTAGCTAAAATTGTTTGTTTAGGTGTTATCTGATTTTCGTGTTAACTTGTAATTTCGTCAGTCGCCGGCATCTTTTGTTGCTTCACACAGGAAAAACACACGCGACAAAACGTAATGATCAATTTTGTCCTCAATCTCACGCTATAACAGAAAAATCTTTTGAACATCTGTAAACTTCGAGCGCTTCGCAGTAAGTAATATTTTCAATGAATCTTCGGATTGTTTTCGAGTTCAAGGATTGTAAATTACAATTTTATGAAAAACGAAGGTTGTTCTGTTATTTCAGTGTGAATCCTTGCATGCCTGCCAGTCGCTGGCGCCGCTTGTTGAAACTAAAAAAAAAAAAAAAAACTCTTTTAAGATTATCATTGGCTTCTTTTTCACCCCACCACTATTCTTAGCAACAAAGGTCGCCATTTCTTCTGTTTACTATTCGCTAAAAACTATCAAATGCACTCAAAAGCCTAAAATCTAAAAAAAGTTTACAGGAATCGACCAATCGAGCGAGCGAATGCCATTCCCCACATGGTATCTATAACTCGCTCTTGCGCATGCGCGCAATTCACGAGTTAAAAAGGATATCAACTGTGCTGAATTCGCATCTCATAAGTACCTTCTTTTCAAATAGTTGCTTTATAAAGGGCTTCCAGTGATGTTCTTTAATTCCTTTTGCCTCCAAGATTATTCCTAATAGGAGATGAATTATATTCATAAGCATAAGTGACCTCCAACATAAAACATAAAGGGAAGGCTAAGCTACTTTTCATATGCTTTGCATCACTACAGGGGTAAGTATGAGGCCATTGATGTTACAGTGACTTTTTTTGATCAAAAGAAAAACTTGTTTTCACAACAAAAGATTTGCGCTTAAAACTCCTTTTGAAGGTGATGGTTTTTAGAACTTTGAAATGGCCTTCTGCATGGATTACTCATCTCAAAAACATATGACATTGACTTCAACTTTTCCTACTTATAATCCCTAATCCAACATACCACCCATTGGCCTGTTGTGTATTTTACAATAGGAAAAGTGTGGATTCCATACTAAGCTGAAGTAAAATAAACAAGAAAAAAAAAATCCAATGTTATGGTACCTTGATGTCTGTTGCACAAGCTTTCAACAATACAAGGCACTTCAGCTGGTACTTTGAAGTCTCTGTTACCAAAATCTTGAGGTAGTCCTTTACAAAGGATTAAAAAAATATAACATAACTTCAATCCTTGTTCCTCTACCATTAATAGTTTTCAACTTAAATAATAAGTCATACAGAATTGAAATTAAATTGAAAGAAGTTAATTGAGAGGCTGTACCTTCAAACTTTGGATTCAGTAGTTCTCGGCGATTCTTTGCATACAGTGCATTTGAAAAAAGGAGATCCAGGCAACATAAAAGCAGATGGTAGGAGTTCACTAGGTCATCACTGATTGCAGGAAAGTGACCTGTTGATCAATACATGGCATGTCATGACTTTCTCCTTCCACCATGGTAGAGGGAAATGAATACTCATGTCACTCAAAGGAATTCTGTGTTTACTCAGCTACAACAATGTTAACTATATTTTTGTGACTCAAAAACACCTCTCAGTAACATTTTACACCCTTACATCAGTATACATGTTCTCCATACTGTTGTCGTTTTATTTCCCATTTTACTGACAAGGAGAATTTGTTGAACAATCAAGAGCTTCTAAAGTTGGTGATCATTTCCATCATTCTTTTGATCTCATCCTTTGATTTGACAGTAATGTTGAAAGAAATTACATTCTGGTCACTCTTAAGGATTAAGGGGTCAAGGGAAGACTTCTTGTTTTTTTGTTTTGTTTTTCTTTTTAATGAAGATTGTGTTAAATTCTCCACTAAAAGGAATTATTGATCTGAAACACACTTACATCATGATACCTCTGTTTGCTATCAAATTTCAAGAACATATATACCTCTTGCTTATTGACTGAGTTTTTTCTGCTCAAATTAACACCCCAAGCATGAAGCAAACAGGCCATAGATCCCAGTAACTGACAGAGTTAGTGAGATATTCATTACATTTCTGGGTTCAAATAACAGCTGGAAATTATAGTTCAAACAAACTTTTGAATTAGTGGGCTGTACAGTGCAACACAGCCCACTAAATTGACCAATCTTAACACACATCTTAGCTGAGAGACATAATAAAACAAAGAAATGCATCCTTCAATGTAGTGGCTACCTTCTATATTATGATTTATACAATTTCCTTCTCATTTAAGATCTTAAATCAAATTAAAGACATGATTCAAAAGCAGTTCATGCTGAGTTGTGTTGTACCAAAATTACAGCAATATTCAGAAAATTGGTCTACTTAGTAGCAGAGAATTCTTTAAATCAACCACAAGACAGTTTCAATCTAGTTTACCATAACTATTACTCTGCTCTTTATTCTAATTCAAAACCTAACACAGTGATGCATATGACCTTGGAAAACTGTTATACATGTAAAAGGCAGTCATCTAGATCAGAACACTACTTCTGCGTGACAATGATAAAGAAAGGCTCTCACATTTTCACAAAATTTTCAAATCTAACAATCAGACATAGTCAGGATTTTTTAATCCATCTATCAAATTGGTAAAAGTACTTTTTCCATTTAAAAGTAGTTTAAAATAATGCAAAATTGGTAACATTGCCATAAATACAAACCACACAAAAAGAAAATCTATAAAAGAATAAATTACTTGTTGCAAAACACAGGAAGTTTCCAGCTGAGCTTTTGTCTTTTGGTAAGACAAACGGGACTAACAAGTGGTAGCAAAGAACAAGATTTTAACTCTCTGGCAGACCTTCTTTATCCTTTGATTAGTTTTGAAAAATGGACACAAAATACTACAAGGATAACATCACTACAAATAAATCTGTGGTTTAAATACTGCTAAAATCAAATTAACCTCACGCAGAGTAATTAAGTGTGAAATGTAATTCAGTCAAATCTGTTATAGAATAAAAGAAACTTGACTGAAATATTCAAAGATACATGCGAAACAGAACATTTGATAGTAAAATTTTAAGATAAGGAAAACAATGTTTAAAACATTCCTGCTTGTGCTGAAAGGTCAAGTTCATGACAAAGGAATTAATTCAAATTGTCAACACTCTGTCAAAATGTCTGCTGCAAATTGACAGACCAATTTCGTTGCTGAGGATTTAAATGCACAGTATCAAAATTCAAGTTTAGACATGCCCATGAATGAAGCAACATATCTTAACTACTTAGCAAACTGACCTCAATATTGTGACAGCTTCCTTAGAAACAGACTAACCACTAAAAGTCTATTAATCATTGGAGTATGACCCCTGGAAACGTGCCTGAACACGTTTGGTGCTGCTGAGCTGTCTCTGAACCATCGATCAATCAATTTATGGCTTAGTTTATTGCTCAAGCATGAACAAATACAAACAAAAGACTGACATATAAATTTGCCTCAGACTTCACTCTGGTTCAGCAAGAGTCAGGTGGGATGATCCCACACAGCCCAATCCCAGACTCGCATTACAATCAAATAATCTTGTTCAGTGAACCTGAAGAAAGCAACTAATGAAAAGGCAAACGTTTAAACTCTCTGTTGCGCTCTGGTGCAAATTTACCCTTGTACAAAAATGTTTGGTGCACAAATTTCCTGTGCTTAATAGCAATTAGCCTTAAGCGAAACAATTTTCAGAGCAAAACATAAAAGATTGCGCTTGAGGCTGAGGTCATGCTCTAAATATCTGCCCATCATTTCTATGTTGCATAATTATACTGATCTCACTGCCAACAGTCAAAATTCAACAAAACCTGTCTCTAAACAACGTTTGTTATGAGTAAAGCCCATGGAAAAAAAAGCCTTTTATAATTTCTACAATTCTTCATCACTGTGCCATATCATCATGAGCTAGGCCATTTACACATGTTCCTTTCCTTTTCCAGAGCGGTAGTCAGCCCGTGAGCAATAAAAATAGAAAAAAATACCCCACAAGATTGCGGTAAAGGAGAATATTGATTACACACTAAGTTCAAATTTCACAAGATGCAGACACCACCCCCAAAATTCTCCAAGAGAATAACAGCAAGTTAATTTCGGAATCCCGTGCGAGCTAAAGGACAAGGAACCAAATCTTTTGTCTTCTGGAATACATGTATGGCATTTTAAAAACTTTCTCAACAACCGGATTTTTCTACCCGCTAGCCTATGCACTAAAAGACAAACCTGATATTTCTCGGACCGGAATCTTGCTGTGAAGTTGTAATTTTAACACCCCCTTATCTGTAAGTGTTTAAATGACGAAGTCTATGCGAGAAGAATTAAACATTAAGTTTAATTCTGCTACATGATGCAAGTAAAATTTCGCGCCAACGGGCACGGAACACGAACCTGGCCGGCCTTTGTGCATCATTCCCGATTATAGTAAGCATTTTTCATAGATAAAAATGCCAAACAAATTTCTTTTGAAAGTAAGAAGGAAAGTATACCAAATCTGTAAATACACTTACCTTTCGCTTGAATATATAATGTCCAGCAAAAAGCGAACACATCACCAACTGAACAGGGTTGTTTCCTGTGCGCGGAGGATAAAAGAATTCCAAATGATTATTGCAGTGAATAAGCCACGAGTTACTCATTTGAATATCACATGTTTACAGCTGATATGCTAACAAAGCTATTTCCACGGGAAAAATTGTGGAAAATGAAAAACACGAAACGAACAACACTCGTAGATTTTCAGCTGTAGCGACGAACGCGATAGGCTTACATTTTCACAAGCCACATAAATCGTCACGTTATTGTTTATACAATCGCAGAAGGCCACGCAAAAACTTACTGTTTTTACCTAGATTTTCGGCCTCGTTGAGTCTTTGTGTTTTCCTCCCTAGGATCTTTAAAGATTTCCAAAAAAATTGGCTCGTATTTCTTGAAGATCACAGTCGAGACGTGAAAGTTCCTTTCAAGCAATTCGATTTTCTTTCGAAAGTCTCCCGCAGCATTCGACATGTCCAACCATTTCTTCATTTTATTGAAGAACTGAATGAGGCTGTAAAGACACAAAAATCCAATACATCACAGGTCTGTTTGTCAGTAGAGAAGCTGAAATAATTATAGATATTTAAAATTACGCTGAAAGCTTACCTTAATTTCGCTGCCCTCAACAATCGAGTAAGAGAAACGCAATTTCCTTCGACAGTTCCAGTGCTGTCGACCGTTGGAACAACACTCTTACGACAGGCGACGTACAAAGCACATGCCAGCCAGTGGAGACTGTCCCCCTGAAAGATAAAGTTATCAAATTTGAAAAATATGTTTGCAAAACGCACTTGATCTCATCACGAACCGGTTGATATCCGCGAAACGACAACCGTTGAGTGGGATGTACGTACGATTCGAAGCAACTATGTAACGAACGCATACATAAACGGTACCTCTAGAGTGTAATTCGTGCTAATTTTCTGGTACGAAGTCCATGCCTCTTGACTCGTCTCCTTATCCATGTTAAGATCACGACACAGATTTTCGAATCGTTCTGAACTATTGGCTTCTTCATCGTCGCTAGAACTCGCCATGATTTTTCGGTTTTGTGCGAAGGGCCCGAATTGTAAACGCTAGCACAAAACCCGAATTGGCGGGAAAATGTGACGACCTCCTAATATAGCAAGGCGACGAGTGATGTTCGCATGACAACTACGCGTCAGCTGTCAATAACAATAAGAATTTAAATGATCTCTTTCCTTATTTGGCAGTAATTTCCCGCCCTTTTTAAATAGCTAAACATGTACAGCTGAGAATTGATACTACGACTGATCGTTCTTGGACAACAGCCTGAGGCCTGCTGGAATGACATGGAAACTTTAGAATCTTCTTTAACGTCCCTTTAGAGCGACCGACCATGAGTTTTGTTGAAAGATGACTTGGAGCTTAATTTTTCTAAATTTGTTAACTTCACAAAGCAGATACGCGTCCATTTACGCTCCCTGAGGATTTCGCTAAGTACCTTTGATCCTGCACGTGCCAGAACAACATGACACGAACAATTTTTACTTTCCCTTAACTCTTAATTTAAAATATTTGTATTAAGTCACTTTAGGTTTTATCCGTGATCTCCTATATTTTCTTCATACATTCTCTGGAAAATCAAAGCGTCAAGACATCGTAGATATTTCATGGGTGACCTATTCAACGATTAAGTCTTCTTTCAGCTGAGATCATGTCATCGGCTTATATTGATGACTTCTTACCTAAAAAAGGGCAGAGCCGGCAACCGCAGATGTACTTCTACGCGACCTCAACATTAAACCTGCCGCTCAAGAAAGACTTTGTATCCAGAAGGAATGATAAACATCGAGTAGAACGATCTCAAGAAATTTCGAGAGTTCAAACTTGTTTCCGCACTGATCATTCGGTACGGCTCTGATGAGATTCCCGAAGGACTCGTTAAAAGGTTGGAAACGTCACCGTCCCAGCTCGTTTCTATTCTTGGTCCCCTCTTCAATATTCATAAGCTGAAGGAAATATTGAAGTTTTGATTTCTTGTTTTGTATCAGATACAATGCCCATTATTTTCCATTGTCTGATCCACTCCTGATTACCTTTCTCTTACATCTTAAATGTATACTATTCGCCGATCACGACATGATCGGTTGGATTGTATTTACTCCTATTTAGATTGAAAAGCAAAATCTAAACCGAATTATCTAGACTTTCAGACCGCATTCAATCGAATAAAGAAGTTGAAAGCTGCGTAAAAAGAGAATTGAGTCTTAAAGAACCATGGAATGCCGACGCAAATCTTTACACGGGATATTTCTGCATCTGAGATCTTAAATCAGCAAGACACTTCTTTTTTCCCGTAATATTTTCTTTTTAAATCGAAAAGAGCAAGTAAAGGCATGATCATACTGATTACTCAAAACAAAGTCTCAACAACTTCGTCCTAAAATGCCCAGCCATAAATCCTTCTTATCTGACAAAATGATCTCAGGGATTATTTTCTTACTATGCTTGAAGTGACAAATGGATAACCAGGGCTGCTCGACCTATACGACCCTTAAGGTTTTTTTAGCCAATGGCCAATAGAGCATGATGTCAGTATCAATCACCAATGATCACCTGATCGTAACTAAATTACAAATTTTTGATTTGTACCCTGACCGGAAGTTTTCTGAAAATCAGGCAAGCTCTAGCTATGGCTTTCTCGAGTGCATCGATTGTGACGATGAACTCCTATTCCCGAGCTTTGTCGCCTTTGGTTGCTTTATCCACTCTCTTTGGACCTGGAGAGAGGCTCTACTCAAAGTTACACTCTTGGCTTGGAGGATTCATTTTTGTCTCCTTGCTCGGCGGAATGACTTTTGTGGCCATCATCGGAGTGTTTGTTCGGACGACCATTGACACGTGGATACAGTTTTCGCTTTACATCGTTCCCTTGATTGCTTTGGTCGCTGGATTTCGCGTTTACACATCCTCAGCCTTCTACAAACTTCTTCAGAGGAAACTGTCTGGCAAATCCATGGTGAAAGGGTTCTTGGAGTCTGATGAACACGTTCCGTGGCACGAGACAAAGAGAAAATCATGGTTGAGAAAAGCTGCCTTGAAAAACTGCATTTATCCATTCGTCTTAGAAATTTATCAGTGGACTGCCTATATCATTTTCCATACGGTATTTAAAGGGGACTATTTTGCAGGTTCTTGGACAGAGAGTCATATTGAATTGTTCGAACTTGACGCAAGGACTTGGTTAGGTCTGTATGGTTTCTTCTGGGTAATGGCTATGTACATAACTGGGTTTGTAGCTTACACTTTCATTCTGATTAGCCGGTTGGCTGTCCGAGATGTTGTTTGCTTCATGTGTATGTTTGGTGACAGTCCATTTTTGATGTACAGGCCCTCGGAGGAACAAAACCTAGTCTTAAAGAACCTTAGTCCATTACGAAGGGTCGTAAATGGCATATTCGGATTTCTCTTCATGGATTTCTTCCAGACTGGAAAGGACATTGTTCTAGTTTATGAAAAGGACGCACCAGTTTTAGATGAAGTCGGGACCACTTTGGACCAAAGTACTCTCGAAGAAGGACACTGTAATCCACAGGAATCCCAGGGATTTGATAATTTTTCTGCGTCGATTGAGGTAACGCGACCAACACAGGGAAGGCTTAGTGTGCCAGAACGACCAAAAATTACGCCAGTAGACGCCAGCAAGTATCTTTCCAATGTCATCAGTAGTATTGAAGCTCTGGCAGGTCTTTTTCAGCCGTTCATCGTTCTAATATCGTTCTTCTCTGTGGCCAACCTTGTGACCCACGTGGGAGCCATTGTAAGCCTTATTGCAAACTTCAAAACGTCTCATTGGTGGACATTTGTGAGAACATGCATCTGGCTTCTACTCTCACTCCGGCTCCTCTGGAGTGCAGCTGGCATTACCAAAGGCTTATCACACGTCTCGCAGCATCTCAATTACCTCTGGTCTGTAGGTCAGCTACATGGCGATAAAGAAGAGTGGCAAAGGTTTTTCAAGCTGGTCGAATCGTTCCATTTGGGGACCAAGACATACGGGTTTCCTCTCACACTGAAGCAAGCGGCATCGATTGCAACCTTCATCAACTTTGCACTGATCATTGTGCTGTCAATCATGAAACCATCAGTACACTTGCCAGCACGTGGTGACTAACACCCCCTTGTTATCAGGCATTAGTGTCGCCATGTACGATTCATCATCAAAATTTATGTAAAACTTAAGAGGCGAGATAGGAACCTACAACCTGCAACCAACCCTGCAACCGTCTTTTAACATGTCACGAAGCCATCTTCTCGAGGGAAGCGTTGCGTGACATCCCAAAAAACAGCTGGTATGGAGACTAGAGATAACTAACAACGCTTTGTGATTGGTTTTAAAAACCAACATCACCTGTTCAACAAACCAAATGTGAACTGAATTCGATCCCACGTGTTTTTCGCGCTTTGTGCCATATTTATCACTACTACCAAATTTGTTTAGTTTTTTTTCTTTCAACGATTCAAAAGTGAAAGAGTATAAAAAAAGATGTAAGCACAAGTTTGTAAAATAATTTACTAAACAGGTGCAGATTCATAAATTTTGTAAGTGGATGGTCTAAGCTTTGATCTAGAAAATGTTTTTGTCACATTAGAGCCAGTAGCCAGTAGTTTACCGTTAAGGACAGTGAAGGTATAATCTCTAACTTCCTGGACTTCGAGCAGTCCAACTTCTTTTTCGCGTCCATCACTCCCAGAGTTTAGCGCGGCGCTGACAGCAGTTGTTTTTTTCGCTGACTCTTTTGACTCGCGCGAGTGACAGATAGATAGATAGATAGTTAGATGACCTTAATTTATACACGATAATATTTTAAGCTTCAAGCTTGTGGAGTCGTGTGAAGGAAAAGGAAAACTACACGTTATGCAAATTTAACTTGATTTTGAAAGTAGAAAATAATACATATTATAACTTCTACGTAAAAAAAAAATCGGTATGTATAAGGCGAGCAGTTGAAGCGGAAAGTATGTCGAATTTTAATTCTTTAAAGTAGTCTGATGAGTAAGCGTTTTTTCAGGTTATTGAGACTAAAGCGTCCAACTTGTTGTTTATAGTAGCAAACAGTGTTCCATAACAAAGCGCCGCAATATTTAAGTGAGTCTTTCATGTATCTTGGTAATTTAGTGTTTTCAACTTTTTTCAATAAAGGTAAGTTAAGCAGTAAATAACATTGGCAGAGGTGCACTTAGGCCCCGACATTTTCTCTACGTCATGAATGAGAGCACAAGTTTTGCATCGTGAACGGGCGCATTTGAAAGTTCCAGGTTGGTCATAGACACTTAAATCTCCTTAATCATTCTAGACAGCATATGGCAGTTTGCGGTATTTCCTTACATATGGGCAGTTCGGAAAGCCGTAAAACTCTACAGCAAAAATTTATCTTCCAAATCGGCACTCTCGATCCCCACGGTTTCAAAGAGTGCTTTTCATTCGACTAATTTATTTTTGTTTTCTCGTCACCATATTCCCACCGATACTTAGCTCCAACTTTTGCAATATAAACCCACACACAACCCACAATTTCTCCTATCGCTCTGATAAAGGGCTAACGCCCGAAACTTCAGCCTTTAAACTCTTACGGTGGCAAATTTACGTTTTCAACTCAGTTGATAACGCTAAATTACCTTGAGACATAGTTTGATGCTACTCTGGTTTGCAGATTTAATGGATGTAACCGAAGAAGTTACAATTCATAGACCCAACGTTTCGACACTCCTGTCTAGTGCCTTCGCGACATTGGAAACAAATTTCCTCTCTTCAGCCTTCGAATCGATTGAAGATGACTGACTGTCTACCATCTTCAGTCGATTCGAAGGCTGAGAAGAGGAAATATGTTTCCAATGTCCTAAAGGCAAATGGCTATACAAAAACTTTTCTCCATAACTGCCAAAAACCAGTTACAAATAGTAACGCTCTTGATGAAAGGGAACCAGCGACTGGTTTTGTTGTTATCCCTTACATACAGGGTGTTACGGAACCCATCAAGAGAATTTTGAATAGCCACAAGTTAAAGTTGCTCAAAAACCTTTTCAGACTTTGGGGGCATATTTTCGCCAAACTTAAGGATCCTGTCATGTAAGGAAAACGAACCGATGCCATTTATTCTATTCCCTGCAATGACTGTGACAACGAATACATCGGACAGACCAAACGTCGGTTTGGTACACGGTTAAAAGAGCACAAAAAAGCGGTTTTCCTTTGCAAAAAGGAAAATTCGGCTTTATCGGAGCATACATGCCTAACTAACCATACAATTGGGTGGGATAATTCTAAAATTATCACCACTAATCGGCGTTACCATCAGCGCCTTGTTTGGAGGCTTGGCATATTAACTCCGCCCACGCTCCTTTAAATCGTGACGATGGCGGTTTGCTTCCTGACGCCTATTTACGCCTCGTCTGAAAAAAGGCCGCTAATTAGTGATCATATAAAAGGACCTCTTATTACAGCATTTAGATCACCCCTGATGAAGGCACTAGACTGGAGTGTCGAAACGTTGGGTCTATGAATTGTAACTTCTTCGGTTACATTCATTAAATCTGCAAACCAGAGTAGCATCAAACTATGTCTGATTGTCCACATGGTTGCCGTGTGAACTTTAAATTACCTTGTTATACTCTCCCACCGACGCAGCACCACAGTTTCTATAGAAACTTACCCCCTTTTTTATGTATCTTGTTTGGAACCTGAGTACTGTTTAAAGGTCGCGTCCCCTCAGAAAGTAACCATTTGAGCGACAGTTAAGGATGTTTTCAGACAGTGTGTCGGGGAGAGTAGCATCGTAGTCTTTGTAGAAAAGCTTGAAGATGTCTTATTTATAATACAAGAGAAGTGTAGGCCACTGGTCGTATCTAAGCCACGTCGGATGATGTCATATCTTTGGGTATATTAAATATATAATTGTTGCTGCCCTGCAGTGTAGCCTTTCTATTGAACCGAATAAATCAGAATGAATTTAAGATCCCCAAAAACAATAAACAACGGCTTAAAATATGACCCAGTATGATTTATTCAGAAGAACTTGCTTTGTGAAAAATGTCATCTTCTCGGCAAGAGATTGTAAACTTGCCGTTGGAAAAATAAGTATAAAAATTTTTTTCGAGTCGAGATTTACCTAAATAATTTAATCGATAGCAAATGTGTGCTTTGAAAGAGTTTCAACAACTATTATCATTGACTGCCACTGAATACTGGACGAAATAAACCCGATGGCTCGCTTCATAAGACTTGAGAATTTCTCCTAAGGTGCGCACGCATAAATGAAGTATTGGATCTACATAAATACTCCATGGCAACCTTATTCCTTTACCTACTATTGCTATACAACCTAAAAAATCAAACACACTGAAACATCCGCCACATTTTTTCCAAAATTCTGACTGTCCAAACAAGAGAATATATTCCTGAATAAATTCAGTTTCGGAGCTTGGAGTAGAACTAAGTATCGTTCTGAATGACGAAATAGCAAAGGAAGGTAATATGTAGAGCTGGGTGTAGATATCTGCAAAAGGTCAACACTAAACGAATTTGTATGTTTTTCAATATAGATTCGTTCATGGTTTTCCACAGGCTCGCGATTCGGTAAATAATCTTATGCCAAGGATATTAAATAAAAAAGGAAGGAGGGGGTAATTTTCTAAAAACTGTGGCGCTGCCACTGAGGTACAAGAAAATTTGGTTTATCAACTGAGTTGATCATATTAAAAGGTCACCGCAAAGAGTTTCTATAAAATTGACATCTCGAGCGTCATTCCTTCGTCAGAGCGAAAAGAGGTGATACTACGTAGAAGTAGCTGCAACGAGTCTCTATGATAAAAAAAGGAAAAAAATTGCGTACCTCTGGAAAGGTAAATAAGTCGATTTAACAAACAGATTCATGTCTATGTACATCTGTTTACTTATCGATCACAGATGACTTCGAAGTGTGGTTAAAAAAAAATGTGGCACACGGCGCGCAACCGAGTGTGTCTCGGTTGCTCTTACCATATTTTGGTCTCTTCTCCCACGACAACATGGAATCTTAATGTATTTGTTTTGGAGGATGAATTGATTGATGATGACGCCAAGAGATCACGAGAAAAATCAGTCCGAATGCTTGTATATGATTATCAAATAATTATATTATTTAATTATTTATGGTTCAATAATACTTTTTGACCTTTGGGACCCACGAACAAGGTTGGGGAGTTGGTAGAGATTTCTTATCGCAACGTTGCTCATGTACTACAGATCAAAGAGTGAAAAATCTTATTCAGTCAAGTGCTGAAGTTAAAAAGCGCGTTGCGTGACTAGAACGAGCAATAGACCCAAACAACCGTTGTGAAAGAAACTAAGTCACGCGAAGGGAATAGTTCCTGCGAAACCCGCTGTGTTTTTCTACTTTCTGTTCTCTTTGATTCGGATCACAAATCTTCAAAGGGACAGTGAAGTATCAAGCGAAAAGAGAAGAGTCACTATTCTGCTCATACGCGCTAAGGAGCATGAAATTTATTCACGTTAGGATTTTTTAGAATATAACTCTTGAAGCCGGTAACCGACAATTCAGTTTCTTTTTTTCAAAAGATTTAAAAATGAGTTTATCAAGCGCGTCCATTTCAACGGGAAACTCTTATTCTAGAGCTTTATCTCCTATGGTCGCCGTATCTATTCTCTTTGGACCTGGAGAACGGCTCTATTCAAAAGTTCATTCTTGGCTCGGAGGATTTATTTTCATCTTTTTGCTCGGAGGAATGACGTTTGTCTCCGTTCTCGGAGTCTTTGTGCGGTCATCTATCGATACATGGATAGAGTTTTCGCTTTTCATCGTTCCCCTAATTGCACTGATTGCTGGATTTCGCGTGTATACTTCCTCAGCCTTCAACAAGTTATTGAGAAGGAAGCTGTTTAGGAAATCAATGGTAACCAGCTTTCCAGAGTTTGATCAGGAAATTCCGTGGCACGAGACACAAAGGGCATCTTGGCTGAGGAAAGCTGCCTTGAAAAATTGCATCTATCCTTTCGTCCTAGAGATTTATCACTGGACTGCTTATGCGATTTTTCGCACGAAATTTCAAGGGGACAAATTCCCAGGTTCTTGGAAAGACAGCAACTTTATGCTGTTCGAAATTAACGATATGACTTGGCACGTGCTTTATTGCTTCTTCTGGGCAATGGCTATGTACATCACTGGATTTCTAGCCTACTCCTTTATTCTGATCTGCCGACTGACAGTGCGAGATGTGGTCAGTTTTATGTGCAGGTTTGGAGACAGTCCATTTCTGTTGTATCGTCCCTCGGTAACTAACCAAACGTCTGTTTGGAGAAAGCTTGGCTTCTTAAGAAGAGCAATAAATGGCCTAAGTGGATTCGTTTCAATGGATTTTTTCCAGACCAAGAAAGACATTGTTTTAGTATATGAACAGGAAGTTCCATTTTTGGATGAAATTCAAGTAAGTTCTGATCCTGGCATTCTTGAGGAAGGCAACTGGGATGCAGTGACACCTCAGGAGTTTGACAGTTTTTCCACCGAGTCAGTTAACTTCTCGAAATCAGTAGAAGGGAGGATAAATGTACCTAAACGACCACAAATCACGGCAGCAGATGCCAGTAAATATCTCGCCCACGTCCTATACAGCATCGAAGCCCTTGCTAGCCTTTTCCAGCCGTTCATTGTCATGCTTCTTTTCTTCTCTGTGGCCAGTCTTGTTATTCATGTCGGAGCCATGGTTCATCTCGTTCCGAATTTTTCGTCTTCCCACTGGTGGACTTTGCTCAAAACGGGCATTTGGTTTCTTCTTTCCTTGCGCCTCTTGTATAGCTCAGCAGAGATCACTAGAACTTTTTCAAACGTTTCACAACATCTCACTTACGTATGGTCCGTTGGTCAGTTACATGGTGATAAAGAAGATTGGCAGAGGTTTTTCAAGCTGGTGAAGTCGTTCCAACTGGGTACCAAGACATACGGGTTTCCACTTACACTGAAGCAAGCTGCATCCATTGCAACTTTTATTAACTTTGCTCTGATCATGGTGCTGTCAATCATGAAACCTTCAGTACACCTACCAACCAAAGGCAACTAGCATTCCACATCAGAGAACTCAACAAGGGTTTCCTTATTTGACGAGGGACTAAGGAGGGAGACTCCTTAAGAATGTTGGCACAACTTTGCCTTGTTATTTTCAAAACCTTTTCATTACCTTGGATTAATTATGCTCCATTCTACCTGCCCCATTTTCAGATGTGGTTTAATAATAAGACTCTATTTCAGGCAAGAACTAATTATGGAAATACTCTAGACTTAAAAAGAATTCAAAATTACCCCAGCTTCCTAAAATTGCAAAAGCACTCAAAATCCACACCCTAATACAGACTTTTACCAGCTGGTGTTTATACAGCTGTGCTTACCTTGGTGCATTGTCTCTTAATAGAGATGAAAGATGAATTCCCAACCCTGCATTCAGTTAAAGGCACTGCTTAAGTGGAAAAACCTCTACTCTAGAACCATATTCTTCCACAAAATAACCTTACCTATACTGCATAAGGTTTTTAAAAAATTAGTTTTTATTCACATTAGCATAGGTAACCATATCAGGGTGCTGTAAGTAAGAAACTGAGAAGTTTAGGCAGCCATCAGATTTATTTTGAGTCTAGGTTTGCTAGAATATGTTCGTATTTCCTTATGTTAAGTAAGTGCATTGAGTTAAGATAATGTTAAAATATCAAACAGGTTTATCTTGGTAAAACATTAGCAAGAGGAAAAATATTGATAAAAAAATATTAGTACATACCACACAGGTAAAGAGTGCTTTTCACATGCTGCTTGGCTGGTTCAGAGGTCATTAGCAAGTACTATTTACCTCGGAGCAGCCAAAGAGTCAAAATTGTAAGTCAATAATTGAACTTTTGATTATTTTTTTGGTTTATTAACGGAAATAAACCAATTTTTCAGTTTCTGTGAGTTATATACCAGAACAATTATTCACCTCAGTGCTGATGAAAGTCTTGGATATTTATCTCACTGCTTTGTGGTTTGGTAAATATCCACCATTGATCACCTTCATTTTGATGAATAATTCTTTAACTATTCATTAATAGTGATCTATTAGTAATACTGGTAATAGTAATAATGGATTCATCAAAAAATGGCAAATGAATCAGTAGTTTGCTTACTTATAAAGATAAAAAAACTTTAATATGAGATTTATTACATAAGTAGAACTTCATTAAGCAAAGTGGTAGCTTTGAAAATTTGTAGTAATTGTCAGTATAGTAGATGTATCTTGATCTAAAGATCAGACTGTGGTAAGGTCAACACTAATCTCCTGTAACAATCTTGGGGCACCTGTTCTTGTCTCTGTCAAAAGCTGAAATTCCATATATTCAACCCACCTATATAAATGTTGTGTTTTAACTGACAAAGGACTTTGTCTTTGTAACATTGTTCTGATTAAATTCATTATTTTTGGTAAATATCTCAAACATTTGTTCTAATGCAAGAGCCACATAACACCAAAATATAAATCAAAGTAAACAAAATATATAAAAATAAATGATATATAGCCTTGCAATCCCAACTGCTTCAACCAGAAGTCAGTTTGTCTCACAGTGTGCAACACTACCAAAAGGCCCGGAGTTTTCATCGACAATACATCTGACCCAAACATTATAATGTGTGTTTCTTAGCAAATTTTCGGTAAATATATACTCTGTCGTATCAAGTATGTATGCCACATAATTATTTTGTCCATTGGGTTGAATCCACACCTCATATTTCACATTGCTACCAGCAATAAAAGGTAAATTTAAGGGTGGTTTCCATGACAACCACAATGCTGGCTGTGACTCCTCTGATGGAAGTTGACAAGTCATTGATAACTTTACTTGGATACAGATTATGGTCATAAGCAGGTTTTGGCCTTACAGATGTCATTCTTTGCTTCTTTTCTACTGTTTGCATAACAAGTAGTAGTGATTTTACGTCAACAATGGTATCTTGATAAATTCTATAAAGCCAGTAAGGGTTGCTACAGCATAGATGCCTTGGAACTTCTTTTGCTGTCCTGATTTGTACTTGTTCCTCGTCACTGAGATGAACAATTCCACCAACTTCTGGTGCTTCATGTGGGTACGTTACCGTATTCTCCTCAATTTCATTTCTCCATGCACCATAAGTAATATCCATCCCTGGTAAATTTGCCAAGGTACGATAAGGAGTGTAGTGATTAGGATTGACACCAAATGGGAACAATTCAATAAGTTTTGCACTGGGTGGTAGAAACATTGCCAAAATCAAGATTGAGCCATGCATTCCAATAAGTGCACTGGCTCTGCTTACAAGTTGGACCTGTTCTTTAAAAGAGTGTTTTGTCATGCTAGTATGAATGACTTGTTTATCAAAATGCCTGGAAATTGCCATTGACAAATCCAGTTCATTGATTATTAAACGGTTGTGTTCCCTTGAACAAAGTAAAACATAAGAAGAATCAGATGCACGTGTTAATCCACTGTCTAGCCCCAACCTCCTTTTAATGAACATCACAAACTGTCGCACATATTGTCCTGTTAATGAAGTATGAGGTAGGGCTCCCTGTGGTTCCTTAAACCCATACTGATACCATGTTGTATATTTGGAGATGCCAACAACACCATGCTGAAAACAAATCAATTGCTTTGACTTTTGAAGATCTCTTTTGAGTAGTGGTGGTTTGTCTGTGAATAACTTGTAGAGATCAAAATAGGTCCCTTCGTTCCATCCCTCCATCATAACTAATCTATATCCAAGATCAATTGAAGGCTTACTCCAAGAAAACTGTCTCAGTGTATGGAATAGAGGCAGTAGATCGTCATGGATAACGTGCATAATATTGTCTGCATTGAATCTGTTAAATATTAAGCTTAAGTCATCTATGATGGTGATGTTAGGAAAGGTATCCAATGCAGAAACCGGATAGTCGACATAATTAAAGTACTGGGTGTTGTGATCGTCTACAGAGGACAAGTCCAAAAGTGCTGGATCGAAGCGGTTTTCAGGCACTCCATCGATCACCGTATCTGGGCCATGAAAGAAAAAGAAGTCATCTTGAACTGGTTGGTAACATAGGTGACGAAATCTGCAGATTCGTTTGGATTTGCTGTCACCTGTGCACCAAAAACTTGAGCCTTCTTTTAAGTTGGTCACGACATTTATTTGCAAAAAGTTGATGGGTTCCTGATTAATGACTGGATTTTTCAGCCATTTGCACGTTAAGTTAAAAGACAAATACGACACAATACCCAAAAGAAAATGAAAAATCGAGGGAGAAATTGAGAAAAATTCCATGGAAAAAACTTATGACAAATTTCCCAGGTTTTGGATTGATTTACATGAAGTTTAAAAGAGACCGCTGGCTCTATGTAACCTGGCCTTTTGGAGGCTTTCATCCGCGACCATTTCCGCTAGTTAACGATTGGTTTCGGGAAAGGGGGTTCCCCGAAATGTTTCTTGCCGATTGGTTCGTTCTTGCGGTGGAGGTGGTACGGGAATTTTCCCAAATTCTAGGAATATGAGACAATGTGTTTTCTAGGATCATCGTCATAGTGAAAGAAAAGAGAAACTGTTGGTGAGTAGATTTTTTAATCTTTTTGGTAAAATTCTTTACCAATAAATATACCGTGAGATAGAATTGTCATTTAGCTAGCGTAGTTGGTCGTCACAATTACGGATCGAGACTAACTTTGTTGAAGTCTTCACAATTACGTTACATATACACTGCTGCATATTTAAACCAGTAGCTTAAGTACTTTTGCTTTGGTGGCAAAAGAAGGATGGGTGAGTGGGTGTACGCAGTACAAGATTATTAAATCAACAGCAAAATCAATTGAACCTAAGACTGAATGCACTGTTTGGCCCACGCTTCTCTTTCTGTTTATTGTGTGCAGTCTCCATTTCTACATCTATGTAATTCTAGTAATTCTATTGGCTATAAGCAAAGCTATTCCTATTGGCCTTTAGTAAGGCTATTGTGGAATTACAGGAGAATTTGAACACCCAGCCGGTTCATAGCAACTGCAATAAGATGTATTCATGACTTGAAAAGTGGGGTATAAGCAGAGTAATTTAGTATTATCAACTGAGCTCTAACGTAAATGGGCCAAAATAAAGAGTTTAAAAGCTGACATTTCAAGTATTAGCCCTTTGTCAAAGCAATCGATGAAGGGCTAACGCTTGAAATGTCAGCTTTTAAACTCTTTACAGTGGCCAATTTTCATTATTAACTCAGTTGATGTTACTAAATTACCCTGTTTTACCCGTTACAGCCCAACATTAGGGCATATTCTAAGTGCATATTTCAGTTGTGAGGTATTTCACGACCATACAACTTAAATTTTTGTAATGACAATTGAATGCAGTCATTTTCATTAAATGCAGAATACCTTGTAACTCCATGACCACAGTAATTACAAGTGTTGATGTGCTAAGAAAAGTGAGGTATGTTGAATTAGATAGAGCAACTACAGAAGACATGGCCACTGAGGTCCGCCTTGTAATTATTGGGATGCAAGTGGTAGAAAACTTTGAACTCTGATTTCTTTTTCCTCAAACTGTGTGTAACAATATGGAAATATATGACTCAAACACTTGTCTATTTACTTGATTCATTCTTAAAACCAACTGAAGCCATTCAGGTTCTTAGTCTTAGTAATGAATATATCAATTTATAGTCTTAAAACTTGGCCAACAAATTGAAAACATGTTGTAATGTCAAGAAATATGTTTTTCGTCTTGTCACAAGCATGAGACAAAGAAAAAATTCTGAGTCACCAATAGGATTTGAACCTCAGACCTTTGGATTCTACACTTTGATGCTCTACTTCTGAGCCATAGAGACTCTATGGTGAGCAAGGTCTATTGCGAAGTTCATATGATGTGCATCCTGCAAACTGCAAGGATCAGCAATGTCAATAGCATCGTGTTTGTAAGTAGGATAAGAGAAGCTTTAATAGCATCTCTCTTATTCTATTAACAAACATGATGCTATCAACATTGCTGCTCAAAGCAGTTTGCAGGACGTGTGTCGTATGAACTTTGCATTAGACCTCGCTCACAGTAGAGTCTCTGTGGCTCAGTGGTAGAGCATTGGAGCACAGAATCCAAAGGTCTGAGATTTGAATCCTCATGGGGACTCAGAATTTTGTATTTCTTTACCATGCTCAAAATTTACCATCTCTCTTGTTCTACGTTGTAATGTTGTTTAGACATAGTTCATGCAAATTACTCAACAGTCTTAATCACAATCACAAGGAATTACAATTTTGTGCAAAAGGCTCTTTAAGGATGTAGATTCCAGCATAGGATGTTAAGAGTCAGTAATTAGTGAAACCAGGAAGTTAAGATTCAGAATATAATGAAGGATTATAGATCCCAAGGACTGCATTTATTTGGTTTATATGTTGAGCTGACACTTAACATAAGCATAATCTGGTCTTGAAATCTGATTGTCTGTTTTAGGGTTGTCCTGAGAACTGATGTTTCAACAAACCAAGGGAGAGTTATCATCAGAATGAAGTGAAGAGGTAATGTCAGAGTAGTGTTGTAAATCTGCTTCGTGTCAACCCTTAAACTCCCCAAATAAATGAACATATAACTCCATGACAGAATGACTAAGAAACTAGTTAAAGGACTCAAAACCATTAGAAGCAGGTCTTCAAACAAGTCTTGCTTTGATGTATGGAAAATTGTCTGTTTCCTTCTTCTCCTGGCTCCATGTATAAGGCAATGGCCCAAGTCAAGAGAATTCAAGGAATCTGTTTTTGGGATCTCTACTACCTTAAGGTCTGTACCAATTAGTGCTCAGAGAATTTAAAAACCACTCTTTTTGGAATTATTTTGTAGTTGAGGACAGATCAATGAAGAACCTATATGAAGAAGATTGTGGAGTATTCTGTCTTTAATCTGGCAACATCATTAGTTCAAATCACAAGTTCACGAGTTCAAATCTACCTTACTGATAATCACATTAATAGACAGATTCTCTTTACCTTTCTTAACAATACAGACAATTTTCACACAACTGTATAAATTTGACGATAATGGAAAGTAGGAACTTTCCAAGACAACAAAACCACCTTTCTGATGGAAATGCAGCCATTGACTTAGGTACTTCTCCATCTGAGTCTCCTGCTCCATGGAATGGTGGTTTAGCTTATGATGCACCGGATGGTACCCTGACAAGAAGTGGGAACCCTGGGGAGAGACTTGTGCATAGTAAGTGCTGGATATCCTTACCAAGTCATGCATTTTTCTGAGCTTTCAGTGTCATACTTCTTCTTATCTTGTAGGCATTGCTTAGCTATTTTTTAATTTTAGTTACCACAGATTTGTTAAGCCTCTAGCATTTCATTATTTAGTATATACAAAGTTAAAAAAAAGGTTCCATGTTGCCATATATCTGTTCAATAACAGATCACAGATGACGTCAAAATGTGGTAAGAACAAAAGAGTGGCACACAAAGCACAGCCAAGTGTGTCACTGATGTTCTTACCATATTTTGACCTTTTGTTGATCCATTTCTGTTCAGACCCATGGAAACATGGAATCTATTTGTTTCTTTAAATTGGAAAAGGAAAAGGTTGTTTATGGTGAAGTCATCTATCTGTCTGTCCTCCAATAGATCATAAGTAAGATCCAAAATGTGTGTATAATTCAGCTTTTCACATAAATTGGTATTGACCATAACCAACTACTAATAACCTCCTTAAAATAATTAAGTAATCATTATTGTTTTATTATCACGTGTTACCCATGTAGGGATCTCTGTTTTCTCAGCGGAAGATTAATCATGCTTTTTATTTCTTGTGATTCTTCAAATTCTATTAATTTGCTAAAATGAAAGAGATGCTTGCTGTTTCTGACAATTTTTTGGTAATAATTCATGAAATATGCTTTCATCAATTTGTGATATTGCCATGATCACTTTATCTCATATGAGATGAGTTTCAAACAGCTTCATTTTTCCTGTGATAAAGATGTTTTTTTTAATTAAATTACCAGTATGACTGGACTTTTGATTATTATTTTTACTCTTTTACATTGACACTAAGAATAAACGTTGCTCTAATCTTTGATTTGCCTCAGGGCCTGTAAACATGCCATCAGAACAATCCAATCATGTTGAAGAACCTACTATAGAAATAAGAGTCAGAAGAAGGCAAACTCCTCTGGAAAATGCAGCGAGACTTTACCATCTCACTGATGATCAGAAAGAAGATCAGTTGAGAATGTACAGGGCAAATGTAGTTAGGGAATTTGTGCAGATGACTGATCCTTCTCTGCAGACACTGCTGGAGAAGTGCTCACTGGTCTTGAATATGGATGTGAATATTGAGAGAAAGTATATTGAACTTGATATTTGGAGAGTGTTTGAGGCTAATGCAGTAAGTATAGAATTATATTGTGAGTATTCCAGTTGTAGGTTTTGTGGTTAAAATGCATTTTTTTTTCCATTTTAGGAGAAACCTCGGTTCCTTCATCTAACACAAGGCTTAGGCATCTTAGAAAAATATGCCTCCAATTTGATCAAGGAAAATCGTCCTCCTTACTGGCGGAATGTGAAGTTTACGAGTTCTCTCGTCCAACTTCATGTTGGTCGACTCATTGGTAGTCGTGATATTTTGTCACAAATGGGATACACGCAAGATATTTCTGATGGCGTTGCCTTCCCTGTAAATGTACCTGAGCCTAATGTTGTCAAATTGAAAGACCTGGCAACAGATTTGTTCTTTGCTAGGTTTGAAATTGACACTCTGCTGGTAAACAAGCATCCATTTTATGAGATGTACCCACCAGTCCCACAGGAAGAAGTGGAACTTCCTAGGTTGTTTCAGGCCACCTTTCCACGATCATATCCACAGCGTTTTCCACCAAGGGTATCTAGGCCTCCGCTTGCTACTCCGGCAAGCACAGAATCTAGTGTTTCAAGACCTAGTCAGCCAACTCCAACCAGTGCAAGGAACCCAACTCCCCGATCTCCACCCACACCATCACCACGGAGACCAGGGGGAAGGTCCCCCATTCCACCACAAGAAAAGGTGAGACTGAGAAATCTTGGATTGCAGATGAAAAGACTTTGAAATAGTGGTGTTTAAATTCGTTGGAACCAGCATCCACCAGGGGCTCTTGTAAGGAAGTCTCATTAACTGCAAATGAAGTGAAAAAGTTGTGTGTTAAGATGTTTCTCCAAGCTAACAATTTTCACCCTAATGTCAAAGAGGTCATTAGAAGGAGAAATTTGGCAGCTTCACATAACTCTGTCAATTACTTTTTATAAGGAACATATCTCAAATTCTTTAAAAGGATGGGGAGCATTTTGCGACAGAGCAAAGTCTGAAATTGGGAGGCTATGCTTTTGTTGCAAGTTATTTGTTCTTCATTTAATACCGGTACTTCACTTTTGTTGCCTACTGAGTTTCTGATTGAGACCCCAGCCAGCAGTAAAACTTTCCAATTAAGTTTTCAATAAGGGTTGCTAAAACAGGTAGAAGAGTCAGCTGAAAAAAGTTCTGTCAGCCAAGAGAAGAGAAAGAGAGATGTTTTGTTTTTGAAAGAGTTAATACTTGTTAGACCTATCTTGGTAAATTGACACTCTTCCCTCACCTTCACTCTATTGATCAACAGAATAATTTTGGGAGGGAAGCAATCACTGGGTGTATTGTGACTTTACTTGTACTCCTCCTCAAAGCTTGAAATTTAAGTCATAAAGGGTAGTGCAGAATATTAATGGAAAATATTCAGGTTTGTAGAGATTCAGCTTAAAGTTCTGTTTCGGAGATTTTTTTGTAATATTTTTACAAAAGTGTCTTAATTCTTATGATTCATGTCTCTCCACCCAAGGTACCAGGTTCTGTGAAGGGGGGGTTAAACTGCTAAGTAAATAATTTCCATTTAGAGGGGGTAAGCCATGTTACAAGGATCTCCTTACTATGGAAACTAGGAATGGATCTGGCATTCTTGGCTGAAAAAGACTTATCAGGAGAAATCAATATAGCGTCATTTTGTCAGAAAAGGTAACTAAATGCAACAGTGGATAGAGCAGTTTTTATTAGAACATTGAAAAACTAAAACTTAAAGTTACCACAAAGACCTATCAGGAAAAAGTTAACATCATCATAAAACAGTGAGAACTCAAAGTAAAAACAGGCAACCTGCTTGAAGCACAGGAAAACATGAGCGACCAAGTTGGGATAAGTATTAATTTTGCATTTGATTGGTTGAGATGGCTGTGCAAGTTTTTTTAGACCAATCATATAATTTTTGGACTTTTTTAGCATAAAGAACAGGCCACAGTTGAAGAGCAAGTTTCTGAACGGAATGCTGAAAGTGAAGGAGATTCTGAATATGAAGATGCCGAAGATGGTATTGACCAAGCCCAAGCAAGTGGGGGTTCTCATACCCAGGTTTCCTCTAATGCTGACTGTCGTATATGTGGAGAATCTATTGCAACTAAGTTGTGCCAAGAGTGTAAAGACACTTTTTGTGTTCCATGTGATGGTTTGTATCACAAGCATGCTTCTCGTCAACATCATGTCAGGACCCAGCTACCCACAGACACAGGCACTCCATCAACAGATCGGCCAGCAAGCAGTGCTGCTGCTACTGCTGCTCCTTCCTCTCCAGTACCACAGAATCAGAGAACTGCTCTGTCTAATACAGCCACAAATGCAACTAATGGAATAAGGTATGGGGAGAGTTCTTTTTGCTGCGTTTCAGTCATTGATAACACAGAAAATATACACTGACAATATTGTCTTTGAATATTCATGGTTTTCTGAAAACTATATGAAGCTGACACTAGCCAAGGTCTCACTTTTGTCCTCCAATGTTCACCTTGAAATGAACCTGTATTCAGCTGAGAGACCTGACTGAGTGGAGTCCAATTTGGTCTATGATCATACAGGTGATTATCAAAACTGGATGGCTAGGATGCAGGAGTCAGATTTGCAAACAAGTATGATTACAGACAGACTATGCAAAATCCTATTTCCAAATAATCAAAACTATGACAAAATTCAAGAAACAGACTATCCATTGGTGAAATGTTTTCATAAATAAAAAAGAACATGTCAACACTAAACTACACAAAATACACAACAACAGCACATGCACACGTTGCTACATTTAATATGCAAAATTGTTATCCTGGTCTTTGGTAAAGTTTTCAGTTAAAGCCATTCTTTTAACAGTAACAAACGATTATATAAAAGCTATAACTGGCTTTTCATGTCTGCTATGAGTTACTACTTACTGTTTATGACTAATTATTAGTACTCAGTTTCAATAATAGAGGGTAGTCATTATAGCCAATCAGAACAGTGTATTTTCCTCAGGAATGTTTTCCTCCTTAGGGAAAAACCCATACAGTTTGTCTTAATTGGGATCTCTGACAAAGATGTCTATTGAGGGAATGTCTTTCCTTAGGCTATGGTAGTTGTCCCCTATTTAGACAGTCCTTTTTAACTTTAGACCCAAGGGTATTGAAGGTGATTTAGAGGGAAAAACCGTGAAAATCAGTTCCCATTGGGTAACATGACAATTACATTAACATCAGAGAGGGATTGTAAATTATTTTTTAATATGCTTAAACAACAAGACAAAACAAAAATGCAAGATTCTCACAAAAGCTATTCATATTTGAGTGATAAAACAAACAGGATGTATTTTTAAAAGTAAAATTAACTCACACCATATCTGGATTTGGAAGCTTTATTTGTAACTTCCACATCCTGATATTTTACACGAATATTTTGACTTCCTATGTACCTGGTAAGATGCAAATTAAAGGAGAGTCAAACATGTGTTAACGTCCTCTACAAGATATATGTTTGCCTATTTCTAGGGTAACCTGGAAGTTAGGCAAAGTTTGTTACAAAGGGAATGACAGCAATCATTATCAATGATAACTCTGAAAAACTAGTTAGAGGAAGGTCTTATTGCTCTGTAGGCTTTGATGAGTGTTTAATACAGATGAGCATCTTGGTAGAAAAGAAAACTTATCTTTGTACTGAAGGGATCACAGTTTTCATGGTCATGATATTAAATCAATTAGAGTTTTTGATGGCTAGGTTCTCAAGACTGATGTAGTCTGACTGAGTAATGGATTCAGTTGAATGGATTAACAAATGTTTGAAGAGTCATTATAACTATTTTTCCAAATTGTCTATGCATAAGTCTTCTAAATTTTAGAGAGTGTGATGCATTTTTCATTTTTGCAGACCCACACCTAGACCAAGGCCTGTACCTGCGCCAAGACGAAACATCAAGCAACCTCCTAAAACACCTGAACCTTATGAGGAAGCTCGTCAACCCTCAATACCCCCAAAACCTGTAACTTCCACTCCTCAGGTGCAACAGAACACAGACATACACCGACCTCCCTCTTCTGCAGCTGTAACTCAACAACCAGCCACACAAACTGGGATAAGAGGTGAGGTCCTTCCACAATGCATGTTCTTGATGGTTGTATAGAGATGGGAGCAGATTTAAAGGCCTAGATATAGCTGTTAATTCCTTGAATCAAATGTTAATTATCATGTTTCAACTATTGAGTTTTGTAAGATGTATTTATAGAAATTACCAAGGAATACAGGGGGCCATTGATTTCTTCAGTATATCTTACAGCCTTAATTATCTTTGGAAGCCTGCATTGATTCTGATGCATTATACAGAAAAATTTCATCAAAAGTCTTTATTCCTAGGATGAGCTAGATTGATTTCTTAAGGAACAGGAAAATACCTTGAATTTGATCTTAAACATTGTGTGAGCCCAAATTTAGCCAATTTCTTGTACTGTGAATGCAGATTTGAGTTCATTGAGCCTATGTTCATATTTTTCTCTCTAGGATCAAATCAAGTCCAGGATCAAACAAGACCAATATTGAGGCCACCTCCTATGCCACCATCTTTTGGCACAACTCAGGGAAGTTCTCAGGGGGGGATTGATGAAAATGATAGAAACTACACAGCAGATGAGGGTATGAATTGTTCTTTGCTCAAAAGATGTTCTTTTAGAGAGGTTTTTCCAAACAGGACCTTTTCAAAAATTATAATTAGGGCTGTTTGCACCTAAGTGTTGAAAACAAAAACCATAGTAAAGACAGTGCCCATCAATGACAACACAACAGAGAAAATTCAAGTAGGAATATTTTGATTGTCTTGTCAATTTTCTAGAGTGCTGATTTAAGAATTGGGATAAAGTTTGAAAAATTAGAGGTCATTTTCCACAAGTCACCATAGCCATAAATGCCGTTCTTGAATTCAGATTTACAATTTTTGAACAGTCTTTAAATTTTCACATTTAATTTAATAGTTCATCAGAGGTAAACAGTATTTTATTCATAATTGACAGAAGTAATTCTTAATTTCTGTCTGTTAAGCCCCACCTCCCTTGCCACCACACAAGCCAAAGACAGCAAAACTCAAAACGCCAGTTGAATCAAGGACACCAATAAGTACACCACCTACCAGTTCAGAGGAAGACAGAGCCCTGTCCTGTCCTTACTGCTTCTTCCTAAACTCTGGTGGTAATAAGACCTGCTTGTTTTGTAAGAAACCTCTTCCGGCAAAATCTGACACTAAGCCTGAAAACCAGTCAGCATCACCACAGAGGCAAGGGTCTGTTGATGTAAGAAATTTCCCTTCTCCTGGTTTGGCTGCTCAAGATCCAGCAAGAAGTACAGATCAATTTCATGAGTCACAAGCAAATGAGAATGCCATGTCAGCAACAAGAGCCAATACTTTTCTCACAGATGAAGGTGTGTGCATGAGTACCTCAAACTTGCTCAGTTAACCCTTAAATCTTAAGATCTGATTCTTAATTTTCCCCTCTAGCTACTACACATTTCCTTGTAAATTAGTTATGAGAACTTGAAGCTAGATCAAGATAGCAGCTTCTACCAGACAAGTTTGAATATTCTTATTACCTGTTTGCTGAATAATGTATGGATATTGTATGGAGAAGTTTTATGTCAATCACTTCTGGGAGATAAAGGGTTAACTCAAATGTTCTCTGGCTCAAACTAAATCCCATTTCTCCTGGATGCGACCTCATTTTTAAGTTCAATCATTTACTACCGCATAACTCAAACTCAGTGAACACAAACTCCGTGTTAACTCCAACTACAACAGTTACAGTAACTGTAATTTTACTCTCCTCTGGCTCAAACTGTGCCGATAACCGTAGCTAAAAACTTGGAGAATAAACAACAAAGCTGATTGACAAATCCCAATCTTTAATTGTGATTGATATTAGTGTCCACTTAGCTCATTGTTTTTATTTTTCTTTGCTCTTCTTCTCCCTTTGCTTGCCCCCCTCCCCCATGGGTCAGAAAAGTACCACACAACTCACAGACTATCTGCTTGTATTATGAATTATGTTAAACCATGTAGTAAGGTGTTTATATTTCACATTTCAACAGACTCTGACCAGCACTGGTCATGTGAATTCTGCACATATATCAATAGAAATAGAACAATTTGCGAGATTTGTTTTAAATCAAGAACTACTCCACTACCTCCTAAGAAGACAAAGCCTGTGAGAAATCTGGTAAGAATTCAACCTGGTAACTTAATGTTGTTTCATAGTTATGTTAAGTTTTTATTAAATTTCATTTTCTAAAAAATAGTTTTTCTTAATGCTTCACAGCTATTCCTCAAATAAATTCAGTAAGCTAAAGGTGACATTTTCCTTTTTAAGGAGCAAGCAGGAATTAAAACTATTCCCTTAGTTTTTTTTTTTATTTATAGTAATAAAAGTAATCTTATTTACAATTTGTCTTAAATTTGCAGTTGAAGTGGTGCTGTGTTTTCCTTTGTGAATGAACCATTATTCAATAAACCACTCACAGATTAAAACAAGTAGTCAATTCTACTACATATTTTTTCTTTTCCTCAAAGTAAGGTACTTTGGAGTGTAACAAACACTGTGTTTCAAGGTCAAAATTCTGAAATGGGATACTGAAGTAAGGAAATCAGCCTTAATAGCAAGACTGCATGCTACTATGTACTTCTACTGTGTGGATCTGTGACTGTTATCTACACTCTCTGGTAGAGACTATTTTTATTAATTATTATTATCTATTCTTTTAATAAAAGACGGAGAAAGCATATCCACCCCGCACTGTTACTAATCTGGCCATGCATACCAGTCAACAAATCCCTGCTGCAACTATGCTAACCAGAAAACCAGACCTGCCAAACTCTCCTGCAGCACCAACAGGGAGCCCAGCCAATTGGCAAGCACCACAAAGAGGAAACCCCATGGGACCACTTGCTGGACCACTCCTTGGAAACACCAATCCATCAGGAGGCCAGCCTTGGGAGGCAGCAGCATTTGTACCAGGAGGTCCTCCTTTGAGAAGTCCTGCCCCTCCAGGTGTGACTAGTCCAGGCCAGGGGGGAGTTCTCAATCAAACTGGAATGGTTTATCCAGGTGTAAACCCTGGTTTTCCCAGATACCCTGATGTGCTTCATGATCCACATGGATTTGTCCCTCCACCTCCATTTGTAGATCAATTTGGTGCAACAGGTGTAGCTCCAGAGGTATGAAATTTAATACTCTCCTGTTATCTCTTTCACTCCTAAGATCTCATAAGGAATTCTCCTTACTGATTGCCATTCAATGCTAATGATGTTAGTTCTGAGAGTTTGGTTTTGAATCAACTTATAATCTCCTAATTGATACATTTTTTATTCTCAACATGTTTCCTGCTTGATATTGTATTGATATTATAAGGGAAAATCCTGTCTTGGTCATTCATGGGAGTGAAAGGGTTAAAATAATTTGATTGGAACAATTACTTAGCAGCCTTCCTCTCCACCTTCTTGAAAAAATTCAAAGGTAATTTCATTTAAATGTGGTAAAACAAAACTTAAGTCATCATAGTCAGTCAGAACAGAGGCAAAAGCTACATTGTGTTCACTTAAATAAGGTGTAGTTTTTCTAACTTTTGTTTTTAACCTCTTTAACTCTCAAGATGTGGATATTAATTCTTCTCTCTAGCTGCTACACATTTGTTTGTAATCAGTTACAAGAATTTAATGTTGTATCAAGATAACAACGACCTGATAAGTTTGAGTATTCTCATTACCTGTTTGCTGGATATTGTATGAATATTGTAGAGAGAAGTTGCATGTTAATCACTTTGGGAGTTAAGGGGTTAAAGAGTTGCAAAGACATGATTTGTCTTCATTAGAAAAAAAACAATAACAATAAAACGGTTAAGTAAAAAAAAGCAAAAAAAAAAAAGAAAAGCATAAACTATGTCTGAAACAGATAGTACCATTGCTGAAACATTCAAAAGCATGTTTACTGTTACTGAGACTTGTGCCTTCACTCTCTACTGTCGTATAATTGCTGCTGAACACTTTTTTTTCTTCAACAGATCAATCCAGCAGCAACTGGAAACTCCCCTCTCCCACCTCCAGTTCCCACACCAGTAGATGAAACTTCCCGTCGGCATCAAGAAGAGATTTACATAGCTGGAGCTCGTTATGTTGAATGGCTAAAGGTAAAATATGCATTCAGTTTATGTATTCTTGATATTGTTTTGATCCTAGAAAATTGTCTATGTCCAGGATTGAAACAAAGTATCAATGACATATAACTTCTTATCTGACAAAGGTTTTGTATACTTCCTATTTGACATAATTGCTAGTGTTTTAGCAGAGTTCTATTAATAAGGATACTTTATGATGCTTATAATGGAGGAAATTAATCACACTGATGGCCAATTATAGATATACATGTATCTCAATTTTTTCAGCTATCAAATTTCCTTTGAAAAATTTAACAAGCTTTTGAAGCCTTTCACTTCAGAATTCTCAACGACACTCTTCTATTTGATATTGTTCAGGATGGCTTTATTAATCACAGCAAAGAATATGATAGTCATAATTGCGATTTTACAATCCTGGTCCATCTATCTATTTTGATCATCATAGGCAGCAGAAACAGAGGGCTTTACAGCAGAGGAGGTGAACATATCATCCATCCTCGGCATAGAAGATCGTCAAGGCCCTATCCATTGGCTGCAGACTATGTGGTATGATTTAATTCATAGAGTCATGGTGGAGCTGAGTGTACCAGAAAACTCCCAGGAAATTGGGAATGTTAGCCCTGAAGAAGCCAGAGAAGCTTTAATTGAATGCACTGGGGAAGTTTCCCGTGCAGCCAGTAAATGCATTGAAAACCGCAAGAAGAAGGTACTTATGTGAGCTGTGGTATGCGTGACATCACATTGCAAATTCTTTCCTCAATCCTCACCTGATTAACCGATGTATAACTTGTGCTGGTCATCTTAATGTATGACACAATGAGTTTGGTGTTCAGTTCAGCTGAAGTGTAATATATCAAATTTTAGAATGGAACGTTTTTTTTGAGGGTTCCTTTCACAACATTTTCAAGACTTACAGAAATTGGAGTTTTGTTACTATTAACTGAGATGGTGATTACTTTTGTTTGATAAACCAACCAGCCTGATGGTAGTTTAGGTAATGTGGTTCTGGAAAATATGCAAAGTGACGGAAAATAACAAAAGTAGGCACAGCCTGTGGAAAAAAATTGGAAATTTGTTGTAAAAGGTTATGGAAAACTGTAGAATTTAACACCTGTGTATGAGAATATTTAGACATTCAGGGCCTTTTTTACACAAACTTCTTAAATTTATATCATTTGTATTGGAATGTTTTAGCGGTGTTTGTTTCCCATTCGAATATTTTGGCAGAGGTTTAAAGGGCAGCTTAATTAATTTTGGTATGCTAGTTGTTCTTTAACATGGAAGTTATTCAGTGCAGACAGAAGGAACTGTAACGCTTCCCTTATTTGATATTTTGCTTTTGCTAAACAGGTAAAAGAATTACAGCAGGCTGGTGTTTATGCCAAAACAGATTGTATAAGTGCTCTGGATACTGCTGAGGGCAATACTGAGAAAGCAATACTTGAACTTGAAAAAATGGCATTGCAGCCAATGTTACAAAGAATCCTCAACAGTTGTCTTCCAGATACAGCAACTCAAGATGATATTTTCAGGGCTTTGAGAAGACAGACTGATAATCAGTCCCCTCAAGACAGAGCTAACTTTGAAGCAATTGTCAAAGACGGAGGTCAAGACAGAGACGTAAGTTTAGATTTTGAAGAATTTATGGTAAGTTTACAGAAACCAATGTTGCTCAGACCATGAGAATCAATCACAGGGCAGAACTTGAACAGAACAACTCAAATTAAAGGAATAGTAAGGATGGCAAATTCCTCCAAGGATTGAACAATACAAAAGTTCACATCTTAATTAAAAAGTAGTGAGTGTTTCAAGTGTAAGTATTCAAAGTTGTTGGGTAGGCCTTTTCAGTATTTAGACACAATAAATACACACAGTTTGTAGTTGCTTGTTGAACATTAATATACCTACATCATGAAGAGTATTTAAAATTTTATTATTCTGCGAGTGAATTGTTAATGAGTTAACTTATGGTGATTTTCCTTTCAGAGACGTATTAGAGCCATTTTGGCAGAGAAAGATGTTTCATCCTGGGGAAGGGCAGATATTGTAATCAAATTAATTGATGATGGCTTTGAAGTGGAAGACTCTCTTACAGCTGCCCGCAGTTGTAGGGATTACAGAATTTGCTTACGCTTTCTCAAACAAGAGTGCCCACTGTGCACAGATGAAAGGCCTAGGACTCAGGTGTGTTTTAACCCTTTAACTCCCAGGTCAAATTTGTAATTCTCCTTACTTTCAAACATACACTTCTTATAATGTTGGTAGAGAGAATTTAGTATTAGATCAACTAATTATCCCCAAATTGTTATTTTCTCATCAGGTTGATATTGTATTGGTATTGTAAGGAGAAATTCTGTCTTGGTCACTTATAGGAGTTAAAGATGGTTGTCTAAGACAGAATTTTTCCTTGCAAGAAATACAATATCAAGCCAAAAAGTGATGGGAATGTAGAAGAACATTAATAGGGGGATTGTTAGTTGATCCAATACCAAATTCTCCAACTAAATATTTTAAGAATTTTATTATGGCAGATGGTAAGGAAAATAACTAGATGAGATCTTGGTAGTGATTGCAGAATGAAAATTTAGAAAGTAGCTAATGTAGTCTCTAGTTCAAATGCATTGAAATCTCTAATAACAGCAATAATTTTCATTTACTCAATGATTGCGGGAAAGAAGCAATATGAGTACACTGTCCTATTAATGCTCATATTGGCCAGCTGATGACCTGTCACATGCCAGTATGTGAATTTTGTCATATTTTCTGATTTTTACAAGTTTATTGTCACAAAAGCACTAAATTTGGTACCTGCATCTGTTCAATAGAGTTTTCCACCATTTTCAGGTGTTCACTTATCTGGAAAATTTTAGAGGAAGAATATACCTACAGTTGTACTGTCCTAGTGATACAGGGTCTGAGCTTAACAAGGTTTTTCTTTTTTCATAGATGATCACATTCCTTCATTGTCAACACAGTGTTTGCCGAGATTGTGTCACACAGTTTATCACAATTACTATTCGAGACAAGAATATAATGCACCTTGTGTGTCCAGTCTGTGGGAAACCTGAAAATTTAGATGATGAAGCTGTAGCTACAGAATACTTCAATAATTTTGACATCATGGTAAGCTGAACAATGAAATATAATAAGCAGGTAGAAAATAAAAATAAATAATATAATGGGGTGGCTTTTTATGTGCACTTTCCCCCAACCCATTGTCTGTGGTACACTATGAGCCTATCAAGATCAGCTAATAACACCGTCTTGCTGAAAAAAAATGAAGAAAATGTTTTAGCCTATCTGCATTTAGTACTTTTTCTCCATGTGTGGTTAATATAATTCTTATCATCATGAAAAATATACAACGTTTATTGCTTTGTTTCCTTTTTAATAAAGATCCGTGGCCTGGTTGATCAAGAAACTCATGACTTATTTCAACGGAAGCTCCGAGACAGAACACTCATAAAGGAGCCCAACTTCAGGTGGTGCTCACATGTAAGTTACATCCTTTTTTCAGCAAATTATCTTACCCATGATGATGCCCATCTGTTCAGTAGCTTTCTTCTAGATTGAGCTAAAACTGGCTTTGCTTAAGTCTACAGAGAAGCTATGGGTGTCAATTGACCCACCATTAGTAAGTGAAAACTTCCAGAAATTGTGATGAAGCCTAATTATGCTAAAACTTAGACCACTTGATTCAGAGTTTAGTTTACTAACAAGTAGACCTCTAGTGTACAATAATATTAATTGTAGACCTCTTCAACTCAAACAATTCACCTCAATCTGGCCCTTTAGGCATGGTTTACAGAGTGGATATTGTTTTTATGGTCACCCTAAAAATAAGAGAATTGGTATCTCAAAGTATTTTATACTTGTTAACTTTTTCTTAGTGAAATGGGAGCGATTTTCCAAAGGATTTGACATCATCCAAAAATTACAAATTTAAGACATTCTACAAACTTCCAAACATGACTGAAGATTCTCAAATATGTTCTGGAGCACTGCAAAGGTAGTCAATATAACCCTAAGATTAAATCTTGGTGCAATCTTGGAAAATTTTAAATGTTATAATAAGAAACATTTATGCTTGTTGTGTAGGACTCTTTTGTGACATTTACCCCTTTTACTGAACTATTTTGGGAAGAAATAAAATAATATTTTCATGTCAATAGTTTCTGACAAAGTGGTGTGATTCAGACCTTTTCATTAGTCACACTCAGCTGGTTGGTATTTGTTTTGTTTAGTGCTCATCAGGGTTCATATATGAAACGCCTGAGATTTTGAAGATGACGTGTCCTCACTGTCACCAATACGCCTGTTTCAAATGCAAGCGAAAGGTATCAACAGTAGTGATAATAGCACTATAATTATTATAGTTTTATAATGATCGTGTTATCATGGCTGCCCCCTACACACTCTTTCTGGTACTACTGCTTTTGAAGCTAAACATGCTAGACCTTTATAAGTCATTAAAAGCTTTTTACTTGCCAAACATCACCTTTTTTTTTTTTTACCAATCAAAGTTTAGCTGATTTTTAAGCCCCCCTGAGCAGAATTCATCACCAAAATTTTAATGATGTCCTCTGCTCTGGTTGCTGAAAGGTTAGTCACTAACACAGAAAACAACAGGGATTTCAGTAGGAAGAGCAGCAGCAGATAAGTAGTGTTAGCTCAGGCTATTAAAATTTAGGTGGAAAATTCTGGTAGTTGTAGAGTTCTTCAATCTCTCTGCTTATAGTAAAAACCTGGGACAATTATACGAAATCAGCTGTTATAACTCCTGTATTTTTCATTTAATTTTGTTACTCAGAATGCCTACACTCTGGACTTTGTTTTAAACTTAGGCTAGATTGATTGCCTTATAACTTTAAAATACTTCTAGTGGGAAGACCAGCATGAGGGTATCACATGTGAACAGTTTACTGCATGGATGGAACAAAATGATCCTGATTTTCAAGCAGCAGGACTGGCAGCCCACTTGAAGAGGAATGGAATTGGTAAAGAAAATATTTTGTGATTTTGGAACACATCAGTAACAAGATTTCATCAGAATGGGTGATAGATAGCAATAAGACCTGATAAACTAGTCACTTCTTAGGAGATTTGACTACAAATGAAGCAGGCACTGTTATTTCAATGCTGTGAACATTGAAATTGTTTTCCATTTTTCAAGGAGATTGTTGTATCTTGAGTGACTTTAAATTACATTTGGACTGTATTATGCGGGTCACCCTAGCTGCACAAAACTGATCAATCATGTTTACAGGAAACAAGCTATAAATGTTGTTTAAATTTGTGTTCTTTGTTACTTTTTTCGGTCCTAAGCACCAGCTGGCACATTGAGTCTAGTTGGAATCATTATTTGTCTCAGTAAAGCAGTTGGTCAGTTTTGTCCAAGTGACACAGTAACAGTAGTTGTACTGTAATTAAGAACTAAAAACAGCTCTAAGTTATGATTTAATTGTAATACACTCATTAGCTCTATGCAAGTCAGGGGTATCAACTTATTTTTTTCCAATTTCAGTGTGCCCCAACTGCAAGTTTAGGTATGACCTATCCAAGGGTGGTTGTATGCACTTCAAGTGTGCTATGTGCTCACATGAATTCTGCAGTGGCTGCTACAACTCTTTTATTCATGCAGAAAGACAGGTACAAACTAGATGTTGATAGTTGAGACTCTCTTACTGGAAGAAAGTAGAGTTCTTTGCTTTGGTAGATAACTTGCTTTACTTTGCTTGAGAACTAATTTGAAATTGATGGCTGTCTCTCTTGTATGGGCTTTGGCCTATGGTTTGACTTCTTTTTATTATTTAAATGAGTTGGTTAAAGACAGGACTTGTTAAAAGAAGCAGTCAATTAAGACCAGTTTGTCTTTTCACATTATTTCTGCTGAGGAATTAGGGCTAAACACTAAACCTAGAGAATATGTACCACCCTAAGTTGTAGGTGTTGTATGGTGTATGATAGTGGAACTCAAAACAAGGAGATGACTTTGACTTGTATTGATCATACAGTCTGATCCTCTGGGTGAGAGTAGTTCTTTATAGGACTTTTGTCAGTGATAAAAAACAACATTTCAACAACCTGTGGGGAATTTGTTATTAGAGTCAAAAGGAACTCGAGACCTGTTTCCAGCTGTTTTTTCACCAGATGTCCTCCTTGACTCAACATTACTTTCAGTTAATAAGGATGGAAATTGAACTAAAATTGTTTAAGTTTAATCAGGTAGAGCATATTTCAACATTTTCCATTTTAGAACTGTCCTGTGTCAGATCAATGCACTGTCAGGGGACTACATGCTCACCATCCACGTGACTGTTACTTTTACCTGAGAGATCTACAGCCAGAAGAACTGCAGAGGCTGTTACGTGACAACGATGTGGATTTCAATACAGACCCACCAGAAGGTCAAGGTGAGCTTAATTTTTAGACATCCAATTCAAATTTGTTGGCAAAATTTTCTCTAGTCACTAAAAGTAAAGCCAGAGACAGGTATTTGCCTTAGATAGAATGCTTGGACCAGTGCCTTTCAAATGCCAGTTAGCTGGTTGTTCCATGAAAGAGGGAGTTGAAAAACAAGTTTGCAAATCCAGAGAATAATGATAAACTTTATTGTTAAATTTTGCTAAATGGCAAAACTGAACAACTTCAGGTGAGAAATCAAAACAGCACTGCAGTTACTAACTAAAGGCAGAACAAAGACTAACTTACTATCAACAGTCTGACACCCTCCCTCATAAAAACTTTGCATATAATTCATGTCATGATTTAAAACCAACTGAAATCACACATATGACAGCAGGCCAGCTTATCTCTTTTACAATATTTTATTTCCACCCCTGAACCTAAAATTATGCCTACAAGTTAAAAATGACAAGTGAAAATCATTTATGACTCATATCAGTGAAGTTGACCCATCCTTTTACAGACCACTTTTCTTTCATTGTTAATAAAGGGTTGTGGTCAGGTGAGTAATTCTCTTAATCTTGCCTTAAATGTTTTAAATAAACATGTTTTATTTCCTCAAATAAAGGTAATGCTGATGAAGCTCAAGCAGGAGCAGCTGCACCTTTGGTCTGCAAAGTGAATGAGCAGAAAGAAACTGTGGATGGCCTGCGTGACGAAGAGTGTGGAGAACAAGTTCAAGCTGGATATGCAGGGCTTTGCAAGTAAGTAAAGAAGAGCTTTCTCTCTCATGGAAAGAAAATCCTGCCTACTTTGATTTTTACAGATTCTTTGGATAGTCCTCAAACCCACAAAAATTATTTTACACAGAGGAAAGTCCTGCAAATCAAAATGCTACAAACATTTACTACCTTGAGTCAAGTGAAATACTCTGGATAGATGTATCTTTAGGTGTCATTTTGATTTTTACTTTCCAGAAAGCATTATGTGGAGTATCTGGTCGTACTGGTCAATGACAACTTGCTAGACCCTGCTGACATTATGTCGCCTGAAGACCTTGGCCATGTATTAAGGCGAGGCTTTAAGGAAACGCCTCAAAAGCAACCCAGAATGAGAGAAAATCAATATCAGCAGCTACTGTTACAAGTAAGACAAAAGACTGGTAGTTGTATTCTTAACTTTAAACAGTATGCATACCAACTCTCGCTACGTTTTTACCTTCTCATTTTTATATGGTAGATGTTAAGTGATTTTTGCACACATTTTTGTTGAATGACTTTGATTGGCGAGGTGATGCAAGTGGCTCATTTACTTCCACTATTGTTGAACTCTTTCTTTCATTTGGTCTAATTCAGGTATGCAGGATTTATTGGTTAGTTGGATCTAAGGGTTCATGCTTAGACTAGGATTGTGTTGTGTTCTTGGGGAAGACACCTAACCTCTGCAGCACCCCTCTCCACACAGAAGACTTAACCCTTTAACTCACAAGATCTGACTGTTAATTCTCCCCTGTAGCTGCTACGCATTTCCTAGTAAATAAGTTACAATAATTTGGTGTCAGATCAAGATAACAACTTCAATCTGATAAGTTTTAATATTCTCATGACCTGTTTGCTGGATAATCTTTTATTATAGGGAGAAGTTACTTGTTGATCACTTCTGCGAATTAAAGGGTTAACCAGTTCCAGCAAACTTTCTGGGGACCCTGGCAACCTTACAATGAACCAGTATCATTCTGCATCACAATGAACCTTCTGATTCTGCTCTGTAAAATTATAATGTTACAGCTAGAGTCAGGTAGAGGAGGGAAATGTTTTCATTTGGTAGCTACTTTTAATAATTTGCTGGTGACCTCAGATATTATTGACAGCTCCCGTAATTATATTTGCTAGTTTCTTCTTGACTGACTGCAATGACAGTGCTAAAAGAACTAGTCTGACAATATGGTATAACTTAAATTGTGAATGGTGGTTGACTGAAGGTGGAGTGTCATCTGATGTGGTCTTAACAATGTCTTCTTTCTCCTTCCTTTAGACTGTTAAGAATGAACTTATGTTGCCACCAAAACCTCCAAGAAAAAGAATATTAGATGATACAGAAGAAGTGCAAATTGCTCAAAATGCTGTAATTTATGAAAGTGATGAAGGAGAGGAGGATGAAGATGCTGTTTTTCCATTTCTTGAAGAAGAAGAAGATGCTGATGTAGAAGGTTTTTAAGGTTCTACATCTCTTGGGTTACAAAATGATCCGTTACCTAAATGAAAATTAAATTGCCTTGGTTTAAACATGCAGAGCTTCCTTTCAGTATGGATTGTAAAAATTCTTATAATCCTGTACATAGTTCAAAAGAACAATTATTGTTTCTACAATGAGCATTGGGCAAATTGTTTTATGATTCTTATTATGATCTGTGGGAACTTTAAAGACATAAGTGAAGAAGCATTAAGTAACTTGATTTCACTTCAACTTCAACACTAATGTATTACTGCAACATGGATATTCATCTTGTTATATTTTTAGCACAAGTTAATTAGCATTTAAAATAGAGTCAAACCTCAGGATATTTTCAAGAAATCTTATTTCCCAAGGGCTGATTTCAGTTCTATACTGAACTGGAATAACAATTTTTTATGTACCTAATTACTAGTACTATATAATTTGGAGGTTCACGATTATTATGCATTGCATGAGAATGCTCCATAACTTCAATTTTTTTCCTCATTGTCTGAATTAATTGAGAATATGTATAGTGTAAATTTTTTTTTGCATATTTTCTTTAGATTAGTGAGAGTTCTTGCCTTCTAGTTTGGGAATGTATTTAGCAGCTAAATATTTTTGGTAGTTATAGTTGTTAAATATGAAGTTATATAAATGCTGTTGTATGCCTCGCACAGAAATTTCAAATGGGGATGACATTTTAAAAAGTTGTTGATATCTATGTTTTCTTCATTCCAGGCATTTCAGATTTTTCTTTTCTTTGTATTTTGGCTTTGCAGCCGGCAACTTGCCCAGTTTGACATTTATTTATTTAATACTATTATAACCACAACTTCAACTAAAAAGAAAATGTGTGCATGCAAGACTGACCAGCATATAGCTCCCACGATGTACCCAGTTTTGATAGGGTAATGTTAACAATAGTTTTGCCACTCTCTGGGGAAGGAGTGCTGGTGTGTCACAGGTTATCCTCTGGTACCCATTTGCATTTTAGGGTGGTTGAGACAAATTAAAAACCTCTAAATCAGAAATGAATTTCTTACTGTGAATAGGTAATTTTTACTCCAAGTAGTTTTCCCATAATTAGTGATAACAATGCGTAATGGGTTAATTTTATTCCTGCATGGTTAATAGAAATCTAAAAAACCCTGTTAATCAGATATATTTTATTTTACTTTTTTGCATAATTAATGAGTGTTTTGTAATCTGAGCACTTTCTCTATAAACAGTTAAATTATGATACTAAATGAGTACACAAGGCTGTTATATTCAGATTTGAAGTTACCCAAATTTGTTTGCAAACAAAGCTGAAAGGGACAGCAAGTAGCAATTGCAAATTAAAAGACCTATTAATGTTATGTCTGTATTTGAAGAGATAAGTAGCACAGTAGTTGATGACAATATATCTTGTCATTAAATACTACAGGTAGTCCTTTTTTTGTTTAGCTTTGACACCTCTTCAAGCTGTATTTTAGAAACAGAATAGGTGAGTATAAGCTAGTCAGGTTTTCTCCTGAACATTACCTTAGTCCCAAAATAAATTCAAAACCATATGAAAATGCAGGATTGTTTACAAGAATGAAAGTAAGAGGGTTAACTCAGATGCATTTTCCCCTGTTTTATTTTCACTAGGGTGAGGGCTCTTCCTCTATATTCAAAGAGTGAAGATTATTTCACAACTCCTATAGTATGAAGTAGTATGGTGGTTGGGTTATAATTACATTGGCTCCACCAAGATTTTTTATTTGGGACTAGTTGTATGAAACATTTTACCACCAAGTTACGGAAGTCCTGCCAACTTTCACATCCTAGGAAATGTGTTCAAAGCATGGTAAGTATCATGGAAATGAAAAGCAAATTAACACACTTTTATTACTGTGTGCAGCTGCAGAACAGAAAGGTTTCAAATCTCATGAAAGCTAAAAGAAAATAAGATCAAAAGGATACAATTTCCTTATGCCTAAAAGGATTCTTTGCTTAAAGATTTGGTTACTGAATGTTAACCAAATAATATGTATTTTTCATTATATGTCAATCTTATATAATTGTTTGATAGGGAGCATACATGGTCATGGTATGCTCCATTTGCTGAATAGCTTCTCTAACTCTCTTAATTACTGTAAGGTCATTATATAGATGTATTAATGAGTGTGTCAGTCAATAGAGCTTATTTTTAAGTTCCTTTATAGGATGGCATTACCTAAGGTTGTGTGCTTTTTGTTAGGAATTAGCCAAGGTGTCATCATTTATATGCATGCGATAGTTATAGCCTAATTGTAATGGAAATAGGGTTAAAGCATCTAGTTTTGACTTAGACTATTGATTCTGTGCTTTTAAGGTTGTTTGTAAAATGTTAGTTTCAAGACAAATAAAAATTCTGTACACTTCAAGTTGAGAAATGATATGCAATCCTATTTGGTTTCAGACAAGTCATAAAAATATCCACAGGTCTGATGGGATTGGGTTCCAGACCCTTAAATCCCTGCCCAGGAATTGCCTCTGACATCACATCCTTTTCATTCTTTCCTCACACCCTCTCTGGAAAAATAAATCCTGCGTTTTCTGACTTTCAAGTCCTTCAAAGTAAGACACCAGGATGAAATAACAATTGAAAATAAGGCAAGTGAAAAACTAAACACAGCACTTGTTGTTGCCCACCCCCACTTCCCTCAATTTTTCCTACGATAAGACACATTCTTATATCCATTTGAATTCTGGCACCCTCCTATACCTCACATTTGGTCTCATTTGGCATTGCCAAAACCTCAGCAAGTTGGCCCAGGTCTCTTCTTCAGTTCATTAAATTCTCATTAGTTGCTGAAGGAGTTTTTTTAAGTTCCTAACAAGTCTATGGCAGCTTTTTTGACACTGTTAGAACTATGATTGAGACTCAGAATATACACCCAAATTAATTTCAAAGGCATCATTAAATTGGATCTGTTTGCTTTGATGCTCTTGGAGAAAAATTTGACTTTCTGCCATCTTCCATGACTTTTGATGGCTAATATACATCTTGAAAACTGGAGCATGTTTCATTTCATTTCTGGCATTCTGATTGGCAGAAAGGAATCATGTTATGAACTTAACCTACCCAGGTTCTTAACCTAGCACTGACAAGTATGGTCAATGATTATGTCAGGAAAGTAAGGTAAGAACTGTGGTAATGTGAAGGAGAAAAGAACGGTTTTCCTCAGAGCTTGAATAACAGAACTAATAATATACACTTCTTAATGTAACATGAATGCCAAGTTGTAACACAAGTGCAACTTACAAATAGTATGTGTGCTGTCAAAATTTTGCCTGTCTTAACTTCTCATGCAAATTATGAACAAGTAACATGATTTCTTGGCAATTTGGTTTAAATAAGCACTTGTAAATTTTTCAAAGACTGAATTGTACTCACCCTACCCTTACACTTGTGCAACTTTATTGTCTTTGAAAAATTTACTTGTGCCTATTAACACCAAATGGCACTGGAAATCATGTTAATCCCTATATGAAAAGAAAGTGCAACTCTTGTATCCACTGAAAAAGCCACAAAATTTGATGTGAAACGATTTCAAGGTAAGTAGCAAAAAAGGAAGTAGGATTTATTTTCTTAATGCATAACATGATTTGTTTACAAGTTATGATAACATTTATGACAATGAAATGTTTCTCGTCAAACCAAATAAAAGCTGTTTTTGGTAGAGTTATTTTTGCGTGCAATCCTACCAAAACAATTATTCTACTCAAATTTGCTGAATATGATACTATTATAACCAACTCAGTGCCTGGAAAGTGATTCTGTAGTCATGGAAAGCTTTGACTTTCCTATTGGAAAACTTGCTAAAATGTATCCAGTAATTAAACATATGATAAAGTTGTTTTTGCACTGCCATAGTTTAATATTAAAAGGCATAAAATAGCCCTCATGGTGGCAAGAACTTGACAGTCAAAAGTTGCTGCTAGTAATATATAGCGCTGAGTTATGATTACTATTTCTATTTTGTCCAAACAACATGTACAACCAACCACTTGTATCTACAAAAGTTACTGAGCCCATACAGGTGTAAGGAGGTTTACACTATACAAAACCTTTATTAAATGGTAAAAAAAAATGCAGGGGTCATCAACTATTATGAGTAATACCTATATACTTAATGAACTGGAAGTTCAATATTTAAATTCTCTACTAAACTTACTACTTAAAACTTCTCAATCAATCTATAGCATGGTTACACAAACAGACCCCTCCTTCTTGTTCCTTTTTACACCACAGCACCTTACAGTTAATTGTCTCAACTTACAACATAGCTAAGATACAATTTGGGTAAACCCACAAAAAATTGAAATATTTTTAAATAGCCATATGACAACTTCACTTTCAATTTGTTTAACACCACAATGATAGTTGAGATTTGGGAGAACACAAGAAAATTCTGGTTGCTTGCGCACTTTTTCACTGCAAAAAATCTCACCGTTAAAACATGGTGATCACTCGTAAGACAGAACAAAAGCAGCCTAAAATAACAAGTGCCATGCAAAGAACACTGGCAGCAAAATTGTTTGACCATTTTGCCAATATAATTTTTTTGGGAAAAAAAAGTAACTCTGTTCTTATTTCTAATCATTAGCTGAATCAGAATTTTGTACATTTGATAAAATCAAGCAAAAATGTTCCTTAAAAGAGGAATTTGTCTTACAGGGCAACCTTTATCAGACTGTTCCAGTCATAACATATCCAATTAATTTATTCCTTGTGCTCAATTGGTTGAAAATATTTATAAAGATGTGATAGTTGAAAAATTCAAAAATCTCCTCTAAAAGATAAGTTATGGGTGAAAGTAGTTTAAATAGAAAGTTACACAGTGTAACATCAACACGTGCAAGGCCTTCATCACAAATCAAGATAATTTGTTCTGTCATATTATTTTTCCAAACTGCTTCCATTTTTTAAATCAATGCTTCTTGAAAATGCTGACATCACTACCATAATATCTTTCTTGTTTTTAGGTTTTAAAATTGCATTCATACTGGTTGTTAACCATAATTACCTATCATCATAAAATCACAATGCTTGTTTAGCAGATGTGTCACACTGCTGTTTGTGTCCAGCTTTCCAATGTTGTACTTGGCATTTCCGGCCACAGTAGTACACAATTTTGCATCCACCACACCTCTTAAATTCTCCTGGTTTTGTTTCTTTATTTCCACATGCAGGGCAGGTGTAAAGTTCAACCTTCACACCATCTTTCTTCTGTAACTCAACAAACCCCTGACACAAGCTCATGATCAGCAGGGGATAGATATTGTGGCAAACCTTTTTGCATAGTAAAGCAAGGCGAGGGCAAGATGAAAACTTTTCTTTGTCAATTGTGTTCATTGTGGTGTTAACATGTTCAAAATCAAAAGCCACCATTCGCCCGACATTATTTCCATCTTTGTCCAAGCACATTTCTTCATTCATGATAACATCTCCAGTAGGAGCACACTTATAGAAAGGCACAGGGTTTTCATCACCAGCTAAAATTGCAACAAAGTGCTTGAAAAACTTCTTGGGATCTTTACAAGGACAAATATCATCTGGACAAACATCAGGAATGTCTCCACTGTTCTCATCATTCTGTTTAGGCTTGTTGGAGGTTTCTGGAAGAGTATCAGCATTTTTCTGGTCATCTCCACCACTGTTGTCACCCATGGATAGATCATCAGCTTGTTGTGTTGTTGTTTCTTGCACAACTTGGTTTTCTGGAAATTTTGTTTGACGATTATATATCTTGTTGAGCTTAGCAAAGGTATCCTTGCAGGTTTTCACTAGTGCTTTTGAATCCGTTGTCAAAATCTTTTGCCTTTTGGCTTCAGGAAGCAAGGTCCATTTCCCTTGGAATTCACTAGCAAAAGAAGGTATCAAAGTCTTTGACAAAAGATCAATACCAACTGTCTTAGCACTGTCACTAGCTCCTGAACTTTCATTAGTTTCGTCTTCTTCCATCAACCTTTTGATGTCAGTATTGACCAAATAATCAAGTCTTGAACTAAACACATCAGATAAGCTTTTTATCTGTTCAAGACCGAGTTTACTCCTGCAGTGCTTTGTGATGGCTACCTTGAATGTTATTAGACAATGATTTGAAAAGTTTGAGAAGATAAGCTCTGTTTTAGCCTTGTTGCGCAATGCTTTCACAAAACCTTGTATGGCTTCCATCTCTACTGCCTCTTTCATGGCTTTTGTTGGCTTAATTCTCCAGTACAGGTTATTAAATGAATGTTCCAAAAATATATGAAGAGCTTCCTTGAAACAATGGGTTGCAGATGTCTCAAAATCATGGTTGGTGCCAAACTTGTAAATGGCTAAAAGCAATTTTGCCATGTTGTTGCGTATCTCTTCTGAGCCAAATTCTGCATTTCCCTCATAATCAACACATGTTCGCACATTACTTGGCCTTATTAATTTTCGCTCAGCATCATAAATATACACATCAGAACTTGAACAAATGTCACACTTGCTACCACGGATTAACCTTGCATCTGGCTTTCTATAACCTTCGTATAATCCTTCATTTGAGAGGTCATTATGAGTTATGTTCAACATTGCATCCATGGCAGGATTTTTGACATCAAGCTGTTTTCCCTTTGAGCAGTCTTCATCAAACCTGCGCCAGGAGTGTACCATGACAGCAGCTTTTTCCAGTTCACCTTTCCAGATGTACCACAACGCTTGTTGTTTAGCCATTCCACTGAATCTTTCGTAGTTCTCTGGAGAGGTTAATTTGCCAGCTGCTGTTTTCTTCCAGCCTTCCGCTTCTGAATAGGCTTGGATCACCCAGCCTGCTTGCTGCAAGAACCCTGGTAACTCTTCATATTTGTCAAAGTCCCCATTTGGATAGTTTGGTGGGTCGGGAGGCATGGGGCACTCGTGAAATACCAGTTCATTATAATCAATCGTCCAAAGATTCAAGTCACCAGAGATTGCATCTCTAGCTTTTGTAATATCACGACCTGTCAAACTTTTCAATCTTACACGGAAGAGCTCTTCTGGACTGGAAAAGCGGCAGAAATGAGCCACTTGCTTGAAACATTCAAAGGCATTTGCTGTCTCGCGGTCCGGAAAGACAAAGCCTTTTCTTAGTGACTTCTGATGAAGCGGTAGTAGAAACAGTGCGGCAACTTGTTCTACCGGCACGAAACACATTCCTGTTTTCTTTTCCGCTAACGAAGAAATGTAGGATTGTAAAAAGCGAACAGATTCGCCCTCATTCAGATCCCCTTGACAGAAACCTTCTCGAAATTCGCCTCCTATATAGCCCACGATGGTAGCAAAATCAAACAATCCTTTGCTGTTTTTCGGTCCGGCGGGTCTTTTGAAAATAGCGTAGATGGGGACATTTCCTCTAACGTCTATATTGGCTACACAAGCTATACCATGCTTAGACCGCGACAGGGTTTCCACAGAAAATTCCGGTATCTTTCCCTTCTTCTTCGAGGAGGCCGCCATGATTTTCTCATCTGACTCCTCGAGGCGTCTGGAATCGAGTAGGTCCGCAAAGCGTTCGTGCATAACCCAGAAAAACACGGGGGGGGGGTGGGCACGGAGGAGGGAAACAGGGAGGGAGGGGGACTGGCTCTTGCGAATATTGGTGGAATTTGAAATAGTGACAATTTAGTTTTAAGTTATACGAGGCGCAACAGATCTTAAAACAATATGAGCACCTTTTCTAATGATGTTCTTGCCTCTCAGACATTTCTCCAATTTTGATACTGCCTTCCACGTACAAGACGAGATATTGATAACTAAAGGTGGTCATTAATAGTGTTCTTTGGTCGCGACCAAGCGAATGAAATATGACACATAAGTTGTTTTGCGCTAAATTGGGAGCATCACAACAGGTTCTCCCCCAACATTTCACCGGATTCCCTTAGAAAGGAAGTGGGGATTACCAGAAACTGAAAGACCGACCTCTAATCAAAACTGAAAACAAAATAAAAACAAGCTTAAAACCGAAATAGCGAGGAGAAGAAAGATCCAAATCAAGGTGAAACGACGAGACAACGAAAATTATGATGCAAATAACCCTGATGGGCAAGCCACTTTGTTTTCCAGAAAAACTGAAATTTGTCTCTCAGAATGGAAAAACACCACGCCTCTTCTCCATTTCACACCTGAATAACCTCAATAGTAATCTACCTGCTAACAAAAACTGCCATGTAATGTAGGAAATGAAAAAAATTGCGGGTGTTCTTTTTAGCAGCACGGGGATTGCTGGGTTTTTGCGCTGACAAATTATTTGCTGTTCCAGGTTCGAGACGACAGAAATGTTTCTGATGAGTGCTAAATTTTGCGATTTTCTGCTACAGTAGCAGAGCAAATTAGCACAGCATCATATAAAAAAATCTTAGATTTGATAACTTACTGATGATTCTTAAATTAATATTTTATGTAACACTAGGAAAACTGACTAACTCTAGACTCGCTTACGAAATGTATTCTTTTACGTTTTGTGGGATATTTTTTCTAGGGCAAACTTAAATTTTTGGATTGTAGACTATCCTCAAAATCCACAAAAATGAAAACATGCAACTCGGTAATAGCGCCAATAAAGACAAGCACGCGCGCGCGAGCAGGTAAGCACGCGTGTCAGTCCCCTTTCGCCTTGCCCGTATTACTCATTTTCTGTTTTTTAACCTTCTGTTGTACACGTTGCTGGAATAAAAAAGTAGAAAACAAGTTCCGAATTCGTGAATATTTTCATTTTTATTTTCAACTAGTTTCGAGCCTACATTTGAAAAGGAAGAAAATTCCGAACGGTTCGCGAATGTGTATCATCCTTAGTCGGTTCAAAAGTGACGCAAAAAATTCGTGAAGCGTTGCAAATATTTCAGCTTTCCGAAATTCCAATTAATTGACGACTGACTGAACACTACGGTTGCTTACGAAATCAGGACATTTCTTGATTTTCTCTGCGATAAAAAGAAAAAGTTTCCAACCTCCGGTTTGATTTTAATGGACTTCACCAAATTTCCCCTCTGGTAAAAACGAAATCATTGGAAGAATGTTCAGAACATCCTAGAACGCGTATTGTTTACACTATGACAAAATTTCAGCTAAATTGGGCCAGAAATATTTATTCAACCATAGTAGCCTTTTTAGTTTACAAAAGACATATTCAAGTAGCTTAGGACTAACCTGCTAGAGGAGTATACGTATTGAAAAATAATAAACTACATTACCAAGTTTAAAAAAGGAAACTTCTAACAATTAAATCCCTAGACACCAATTCCATAACATACTGTCATCAAAACATTAAGCACAATTAAGGTTATTGCTACACAATTCAGACACAGTCTCTAAATGAGATCTATCAGATATAAACCTCTTCCATGATGGCATTATTCTATTATTCCTAGTTTTTTTCCCTAATTCTACTATTACTATTTTATGAAATCATATTTCTCTAGAATCTTAACAAGCAAAATCAAGGCAAAAAGCCCCATTAGACAAAAAATTGATGTTTTGAGTATTATGCACCAAAGTTTCATGTTACTGTTGTTGAGTTGTATGCACTACCAGGAATCACAACTGATATACAACTCCAAACTTAAAACAAAAAATTCATAAAGGGGAAAATAATTATTAAAACAAACATTATACCAATTAAAGATGAACAGAGTTCAAAATACTAAGTAACATATATAAAGAAAAGCTTAAACTTTTCTAAAAAGAACAAACATGCCTGTAACTCTATGTTAGATTTTAAACCTCTATTTTCTTCACACTTTGTGACGCATAAGGCCTTCTTTAGCCTCTACTTAGTAAAAAATAATCTTAAATTTTATAGCCACAGTGATCTTTGCATTACTACTGCACCAATGAAATAAGACGAAAAGCGTGCAAAGATATGTAAGAAGACTAAACAGTTTTTTAAATATAATTTACCAACCAATCTACAGTAATCCAGAAACTTTGAGAACAAGGCAATTACAACATGTAATGTTGATTGGGCACTGGAGATCTCAGAATTTTTAAGATAAAGAATTCTCTGTTTCTACTTTACTTAATCTTCATCTCAATTCAAAAGAGGAGTTTATTCTCCAGCTACAACATATCTTTATGAAAATGCTAACAATACAACAAACCTAGCTCTCTAAACACATACAAAATTTCTGAATCATCATATGATAAATATGTGCATTTCTAGCACTCCATTATTGATAAAAATAATTGGTTTCAGGACTTCATGTGGACACAATCCTAGGATATGTGTGCTTGTAGGTTTTGAAGTGAACATAAAGTTACTCATCATATTTTTACCTGAATCGTATTCCACTTTTTCCTGCTAACATTACTAATTGCCACAGCAGACACAGTTAATAAATATAAGTAACCAATGTGTTTTGGTATGGGAAACTCTTGTGAGGAGGAAATGAGCAAGACAACCTGTTAAGCAGAAAAAAAAAGTCTTTAAGTGATGAACTTGTAATTTCTCCCCAAAATGTCCCTACATTATCCACTGAACAGGTAATAAGAATACTAAAACTTATCAAGTTCAAGTTGTTATCTTAACCTAACACCAAATTCGCATATTTAATCTACAGGGAAATGTTGTTGAGGGAATTCACAATCAGATCTTGGAAGATAAAGGGTGAAGAGGGTCTAATCACTGAGGAAGTGGGGTAGTAAAAATTCATAAGAGCCAAAATACATTACTGTTATTATTCTTCTGGCTGGACTGTCCTTCTATACTAAGCCACACAATATGCATTTCTCTAGTTGTCTCTAATGGCTGCTTTTGCTCCAACCTTAGTCACCAAAATATTTTACCAGTAGTTACAGCATAGAGCCCCACACAAAGAATTCTTATAAAAGAAAAGTGCAAAATGGCACCTTACTTTTTCACTCTTGGTCCTTCACAAGATCTTGACATATCTGCTTGTGGCCAGCTTTCCAATCTTGAGCTTGACATTTCCTGCCACAGTAGAAAACACTCTTACATTCACCACATCTCTTGAAATCACCTGGTTCCTCCTCAACTTGGCCACAGCACTGACATGCCTGGCATTCATACTTGACATTTTCTCTCTTTTCTAACTCTCCAAACTGATGAATGACGCCCATCAAAAGCATTGGAATTAGCCGATGGCATGCCATTTTGCAAATCAAGGCAAGTCTTTTGCACTGCGAAAACACCTCATCTTCCATTGGTAGGACAGCACCACCAATAAATTCTTCATTGAGAGTGATTACATCATCAAAGAAATGACCCTCCTGATCTTCCCAGAGTTTTCCTCGCAAGATTAGGTCACCATTATCAATGCACTTAAAGTAGGGAACAGGATTTTTATCACTGACCAAAATGCTAACCAAATGCTGCCAAAACTTGTAGCTATCAGTACAAGGACAGGAATCGCCACTGCACTTTTCAGGAAACGTAACATCTGTGCCTGCCAGTGACTCGTCACTGTCTGAATCCTCTGATGATCCTTTCTGACCTAATAGCATACCTGGGTTGTTTTCTTCACAGTCTGCTGTCTCTAAAGCATCATACCTTTCTTCGTTACCACCAGGAGTTGTGCAAAGCTCACCTCCATGGCTCCCATTTATTTGTTGGTCTGCTGTTGTTGTTTCATTTAGCTTTTTTATTCTTTCTTCTTCATCAATCTTCTCCATTTGTTTGTAGGATTCATTGCATGCTTCTCTAACACGCTGACTGTCTACCACTAACAAAATCCTTTTTCTTTTAGCAATGGACATGAGTCTCCATTTACGCTTAAATTGTTGAGACATTGTAGGAGCAACAGTTTTTCGCAAGAGATCAATCCTCACATCTTTCAAATTAGGTTCTTTAGATTGCTTTGTGCTATCTCTCTCTTCCTTGTTATACTCTATCAAAATTTTGTCCAGTTTTGAGCGAAATAGCTCTGTCAACTTATCCACATCTTCTTTGCCAAGCTTCTTGCTGCAGTGGTTCACCAGGGCTTCTCTTAACACAGCAGCAGAAGAATCAACCCATTTTGATGCATCTAGTTTTTCATCAACTGTCAGCAATTCAATGAACTTTGGAACTGCTTCATTTTCAGTGTCTGCAGTCATGGGGTTTGTGGGTTTGATTCTCCAATACAACACAGAAAATGAATGCTCCAGAAAGATGTGGAGAGCTTCATGAAAGGAGTGGTTAGCAGCTGTATCAAAATCCTTGTTCATTCCATATTTGTTGATGGCAAATAGCAATTTTGCTATATTCACACGAGTATTTTTGCAACCAAATTCACCATTGGAATCTTTGTCAATACATGTTAAGACATGAAAGCCATTTCTATCCGGTCCCAGAAACACTGGACTCAAGCAAACTTCACACATCTTCTTTAGTGTTAATCTTGAATCAACTTTGGTTTGACCAATGCACATCCCTCTACTGGATAGATTACCGAGAGTTAAATCTAAAAGTTCTTCCAAGACAATGCTGTTTGCATCAAGACACCGCCCTGCTGCCCTATCTCTTTCAAAATCTTGCCAAGCTTCCACCATCACTATTGCACGTTCAGGGTCACCTATCCAGATGTACCACAGTGCTTGCAGAATTGCCATTCCACAGAATCGATCATAGTTCTGAGAATCAGTCAACTTCTGCACTGCAATTTTCTTCCATGCTTCTGAATTCTCTTGCTTTTTCCTCCACTGGCTAGCCTGTTCCATGAATCCTGACATAAATTTTCCCTCTTTCTTCTTCTCATTTAGTTTGGTCAGATTCAGGATAGGCGGTTGGGGCGGAGGTGGGCAGTTGTAGTATAACAGCTCGGACCTCTCCAGCCACCATGACTCCAGCTCTGCTCTGTGGCCGCTGAACTTCGAACGATCTGCCTTTCGGGGAGCTTTACCAAGCTTGAAATCAAAGAAATCTTCAAGCTTCTGATAAGGACATAATTTTGCTGCTTGTTTGAAGTACTCAAAAGCCGTTTCCGTGCTAGGATCAGGGAAATCCACTCCATTCTGAAGGGACTTCACCCGAAGCGGAAGTACAAACATGGCCGACACCTCTTCGACGGGAGCAAAAACCATTCTAACGGTCCTCCCTTTCGACAGATCTATATGGGTTTGCATAAAACGAAGAGCTTCGCCTTCCTTGAGGTTTGTATTGCAGAATCCATCTCTTATCTCACCGCCGACGAAGCCCAAGATGTTGGCGTAATCGAAAACCAGTTTCGAATTTTTCTTCTCCCCTCGTTTGATCATGGCGTAAATAGAAACATTTCCCCGTCCATCGACATTGGATACACAAGCTACACCATGCTCGTACATTAACAAGGTTTCCTCCGTAAACTCTGGCGTTTGATATGATCCCTGTTCGTAGCCATCCGGGAGAGATGAATGTAGTGACGCCATGATGTCCTTTCGATTTACGAGGAAATAAATACTTTATGTAAGCAGAGTTTAAAATGATCTTCAATGCACCTTGGGTAGAGAACAAATATTTCCTCGTCTTTGTTTACCTTTTTTCATCCGTGAATGTTCTCATCTTTGTTTGCCTTTTTTCATCCGTGAATGTTCTCATCTTTGTTTGCCTTTTTTCATCCGTGAAACACTTAAGCGATCAAAATATCGCGCTACCAGACTCAACCGATAGAGAATTTTTCACGAAAGCGAGTATTTTAGGACAGTGAAAACAGGTACAGGGGAGGGGTGGGGGGTCGTTTTGTGGTTACGGATCCCTTCGATACCGTCGCTTCCCCAGCGCTAACCAATCGTCTAGCACCCTGGTAAGTACTAAAATGTTATCTGCCCATCATGCACTTTGCGAAAGTGATTTTGGCGCGAAAGTAGTGACAGCCGCGCTTCGCGGCAGTGCACAGGGAAAGTTTCGCACCTTTCCAGGAAAGAGTTGCTTTCCAAAAAAAAATGGCATACAGTCTTAAATTTAACCCAAAAGTCCTGTCTAAATACCAGCATGGCTTAGGGTACGTCTCGAATACGGATGGAAGGGGTGTTTTTTCGGTTAATGGAATTTTTAAGAGAGGACGAAAGGCCACAAAACCGACCTTTGACCTGGTCAATATTCTGTGCTATGTTGGTGGTGAAATTCGGGACGGATTCTCCCTGGAAAAGTTGAAGGAAAGCGATTTAGTACCAATACTTGAGAGTAATTTCAGTTTGGCTGCGGGGAAAGCTATTCTCCAACCGGTACCAATCGAAGAGGCGGCGAAACTGTTGGTTATCCCTTGTTACGAGAAGGCGAAAGCTTCTCAAGGAGGTGAAACTTTCATCAACAGAGAAGTCAAACGCAGCTTTGAATTTTACGAGCGTGTTTCTCGATTTTGTAACTACAGTAGCGAAGAAGAATTTATCATGGCGAAGGGAGGAAGCGAAGTGAAGAAGTCATTTACCTATTTAGACCCTCGTCGCCCGGAATTTGATGCCTGGTGGATAGAGAAATCGGAGTTAGAGTACCTTTGTTGTCCCTTACCCCCAGCTCCCACGGAACCCCCGGAATACGAGAAACTCCTCCTAGGTGGTGGGACCATGATCGATTTTATGAGCAAAGCCAACAGCCAGAGAAGCAAATTGTCGCAGTGGAAGAAGACGACATTGGAGAAGTTCAGTCTTCCTGTTAACTTCGAGCGACTTACTGGAATATGTAGGCATCAGGCTCTGTGGTATACTTGGAAAGGAGATCTGAGGTTGGGAGTCACCATGCTCGAGTCAGCGAAAAAAATCGTGGAGGATCAGAATGCTGAAAGAATGATTGATGCTAGAAACCCAGTTATGGATGTGTTTCTAAGTTTGACTCAAATCAAGTTTGCACAGATAGGAGGTTGTGAAGGACAAGTGGGCAAGGTTAACTGGCAATTGTCAAAAGGACATCAGTGCAAAACTTGCCATTCCTCTGCAACCATGGAGAGAGCTGATAATGTCTTACCAGGAACATGGACTTTGACATGTGTTGATAAAGATGGAAGAGGTAAAATTGGAACAGAAACCAACAGGCAATCTCTTGTAACTGCACTTGCTGCAGTAAAAAAAGTCCAATGTAAAGAGGAATTTGAGACTTGCATTAAATATCATTTGAAAGATGGCCTAGGAATCTTTTTGGAACACTCCTTTGCAAATTTGTATTGGATGAGTAAACCAACACCTCCCATGACAGAAGCTCTAATCGAAGAAGCAGTGGATCAGTTTGTAGATTCTATTGATTGCAACAATTTTGATCCTATGAAATGGGCAGCATCCTGTACTTCTCTTCTGGTGGAGCTATTGGTCAAACATTGCCATGGCAAACTTTCAGGGGAAGCCATTAATGATGTTGGTGAACTGTTTGAAGGAGTGTTCAAAAGTCAAATTGCCCAAAATATTTTAGAAGTGGAAAAGCTGCCACAGTACACAACCCTTTGTGATGATAAAGCCTCAATGCAGCAACTAAGTTCTGTCATGATGGCAAGAGCTGTTGCCCCTTCAATTGCCCAAAATTTTCTCTTTAAGTGGAAAACCATGGCACGTATTGACAAGAAGGAAGCACTCTCTGGGAGTTTTGTTGACCTTCTTGCTGCAACAAGGAAAGTTTATGAGAAATACTCAATTAAGGAAGTTTCTAGGCATGCCAGTGACGAAGGGAACTCCACACAGACATGTAGTAAGAAAGGATGTGCATGTCAGGACCTGGCAAAATTTCAAGATTTTGCTGTGGACTTATTGTCTGGTGGACACAACCCAGTTTCATTTCTGAGCTGCTCTCTAGAGGGGAAGGTCACTTTAAGTGAAGGTCTGTTTGTGGATAGCTCAGGGGAACTGATTGATGATATGATTTCAAGCCATGATATGTACATCTATGAGAAAATCATGGACTCTGACAACTTGAAAGACTTTTCCAATTGCCCCAGGCTTGCATGTTTATGTCAGTTTGCCTGTTGTGAGATGTACACAATGTTGAAAGTTAATGCTATAGTAAATTTTAAAGAAATTACCTGGAAAGAGAGTGCGGTGACTGAGACACATTGTTGTGGCTTTTGTGGGCAGATCACAAATGAAGAAGTAACTCTGATGAAGTGTAGTGCATGCAAGGCTGTAGTCTATTGTGGCTATCGATGCCAGAGGAAGGACTGGAAGGCTGGTCACAAACAAAAGTGTCAAAGCCTACGAAGGCCTTGAGGTATGCATATTGATAATCAAATAGACAGATTAACATGGAGGCGTAGGTTTGATGTTGAGGACTTGCAATTGTTTTAAGTATTATTCTTTTATTATCTTCTATTCATATATTGTTTGGTGAACTGTCTGATCCTGATTCCCATTTAATTTTAATGTCCAAAATTATTTACCTTTCTGAACCACAAAATCACTTTTCTATGCTCTTTCTCACAGCCAACAAATTAACTGCATATTTTGTGTTATGTTCTCTTTCAATTTTTCAGGATGGGGCAATATTATCAAACATCTACTGCATCTATATTTTTGACTTTATTTATTACTTTTCTTATGATCACCTCAATTGTGTTTCTTATTTACTGAAGCAGAAAAAAAGGATTTGAAGAAAATTTTTTTGGGGAATGATGATTAAACCTGTTCAGAGAGAATCCTTTTCATAGGAGTGTGTGAATTAGGTTTTGTTGTATAGATGACTATCATCCCAGTATACAAATAATGCATGAACTTATGCATACATTACCAGACATGTCAAAGAAAAACTTTGAGGGATACCTTTAAATTGTGTGACAGGGTGCCTTTTGTCTCTGCTATAATATCTGCCTCACAAATGTTACATCTGGGAGCACCAAGCAAACTTACAAAGACTTTAGATGGAAACATCGATAAAAGTCATTGACTAGTTCATCCATTATTTTCCAAAGCTTGGGTCAAAACATATCTTGCAACTTGTGTAGAGGTGGCTTTCTGCTGTTCAGTTCCATTACAGTTTATTAGAGTCTTTGAATAAGACTGTTGATTGCTTTTGTTTGGTAATGACTACGTTATTAGTACTATTGAATTGCTTCAATCAACTATTTTAATAATTCTTTTGATTCCTTTGTGAATTGTTGATTTATTAATGGAAGACTGCTTTGTTTTAAAGTTATATCCCAATTGATTGTCACTTATGAATGCTTAGTTACTGAGAATAGTATTTTGTTTTAAGGAAGATCTAAATGTTATTTACATCAAATTATTTACATCAGTTAACACTAGTTCACTGAAGTTCACTTCATTTAACTACACAACAGACAGTTCAATGTTAAGTTAGGCCAGTCACATTGATTATATTTACTAACCTTAGACCATTTAAGTTTAGTGTTAAGGCTAGTGTGATATGCATGAATTCTGTTGCTGTGGTTAATGCAGTTTTTTTTTGTTAATTCTTCCATTGGTCATTCTTTTTGTCCAATACAATGCTCTTTGAGATAGAAGTTATATGATTTAATCAAAAGCCTGAAAAGCACTTCACGATGTTTCAGTTCACTCTTTTATGATGATGATGATGATGATGGTGATGATTAACATTACTTACAATATTTACATTAACGTATTCTACTAACAAAACTTGCGTCGTAAAACATTACATTCTGAATTAATAGTCCCACATATAACTTATAACTTAAATGATTCTTTAAACATTGGTTTTTATACGATGTTCATCACCGAAAAAAACCTTGATTTCATAAGAGGGTGTCGCCGTAAAATTGGAGACTAGCGGTTCACATTGTGTTTTTTTTAAGTCCTTACATAGAAGTAGGACAATTTGCTACAGAACCCGAGTCAGAGGAGACAAATAAAGGTGCTCTTTGCCTATCAAATAGAGCAAAACCGACCTTTGGTGGGATAATACTTGACAATGTTCAAGCTGACTTCAATTCGTGTTTCCCTGAATTATGTTCCGGGGTCTTTTTGAGATCTGCGCAAATTACTCAGCTTTGGTTCACTTCTTATGTATACAAAAGGTACTAAGTAAAAACTTACATGACCCCTAGTTCCATCAATTATATTAATAACCAATTACTTGGTTTAAACAAACCCTCCTTTATTGTACAAGTAAACCCAAACAAATGATATATTTGCGGTTATTTCATTAGAGCAATAAATGGCATTTTCTGTTTCTTTGCAAGCGTGATAAACCATTCTTTGGATGTTCGAGAAATATCCGGAAATATTGCATATTTTGTAAACCTTGCTTTTGCGATTCCCACTTTAACTTTAGCAACAGGAGACGTCCCTCTGTTTTTACAATCAGTGTAATGTTTCGAACTTGATAAAAGTTTGTGCTGCAACTTCCCCTGATTATTATTAATTCAAGGTTAACATACACAACTAATTGCGGACTAACCACAACTAGCCGAAATTGATAACCAATAACCTGGAGGTCAATTTAATGAAAATCTAGTTTTATTCATCACGTCAGGATA